TAGGTTTTTGTAGAGATTGGCTCTATCCGTATGCAGCTACTTTCACACCCATCAAACAACGAATATTTTACTGGCGCTGGCTGGTTCGCGATTAAAAAAAAAGGCATTTCAAGGCAAAGACGGAACCCTACACTGGTCGGTACCACTCGGTAACCGGTGCCCACTTTTTTTAATGATCGAAAGCGCATCTCCAATCCGATATTTTTATTTTTTTTTTCATCTTTTTTAAAAAACATCGCCCTTACTTTGGGATAACATTATCCTGTGTTGTAAGGACGTTTTCACAAACATAAATTTCACGCGCACAAACAGCCAGATGCGGAACAACTATCTGTGGGTCACACAAATAGTTGTCCCGTGTGGCAATCGAGTCCACGATCCCCGACGCCGAAGCCGACACCTTGGCGACTGCGCCACGGACTCATCAAATACATAAGACATTTTAAAAACACGTACATATTTATGTGACCCGTTCAGAAGGCGAGGGGTCATACCGCGCTTGGTCACAGGGACGGTTTGGTTTAGGTTCGCGGCTTAGGTTTTCCTCACGTAGTCAATATCCTCTGGGGTAATATCGTATTTTTTCGAACTATATTCGAATATTTTCATCGTGGCAGGGCCACGCAACAGTGTTCGCTGTTGCACGAATGGGCAGGTACGTCCGGGTTAGTACCACGACCTCACAGAAGACCGGCGTAAAGTTGATGTGTCACACTTCTGCGTTTCGTTTGTTGAGTGAGGTAGCCGGGCAATTTATTAAAAGGCAACGCATCTGCAGCCCATCGGGTACTGCAAAAGTCTATGGGTGGCAGTATTCACTTAACATCAAGTGATCCGCAGGCTCTGCGAGCTGTCGGACCACTAATAAACGAAAAAAATATGGCGCGCAGTGTTTAGTTTTTTAAACTCAAAGGTGGAATTAAAAAGAAAGCAGCGAAAAAGAAAATCTTTTTTAGGACGACCAGATTGGCGTAGTGGATAGCTGTCGCTTGTGCCAGGGGGAGTGGGTTCGATCGCTATTTCTGGAAAAATATTGTTTGATAATATAATAGTAGGTTTTTTTTTGAAACTTATGCATTTATAAAAAAATATAAGATAACAGCAGAGTTTTTTGCCGGTTCTGGACAGGTCTAGTTTAGTGAACCAGTGGTAGTTTTTTGAAGTCCAATAAGAGCTTAAAATAAGCCTATATTGAATAAAGTAATTTTGACTACAACTTTGACTTTGAATATTTTTATAGAAAGGCTTGGGTTCCTCCGAAGAGACAAAATGACTCATTTTGACCAACGTTTTATGACAGAGAATAGACTAATAAGTGAAATGTCTAAGGATATTTCCTACTTACTACACCAGAGCCACCAAACGGGACTGAGCTGTAAACAGTATAAGACACGCAATCCCCGCTCAAAACACGAAAAAGCAAGTATTTACGACTTGCACACACGTTTATGGGCCATTAGATCGTCCGTGATTAAGTCAAAGGCAAATATTCAATATGGTTTCCATACGAATAGGATGTAAATTCGAGGATGTCGGATTCTGTCACGAGTTGACAAGCGACAAACTCAACTGTGGTAGGGCCACGAAACAGCCTTCACTGTTGCACGAATGGGCAGTTCCGTCCGGGTAAGTACCAAGACCACACAGAATACCGGTTTGATGTGGGAGTGTTACACTTCTCCGTTCCGTCTGGTGAGTGAGGTAGCACACATTATTAAAAGGTGGCAACCGGTATTGCAAATGTCCGTGGGCGGCGGTCATCACTTAACATCACCGAACATCCATCAATGAACCATCATGAACCGCCAGCTCATTTGCCACTTTCTCACATAAAAAAAAATCAAGAAGATCGAGATGCCGTCTTACGTCTTAACAACACGTCATAAGAGACACGGTCGCCCGCACATTTTCGTAGCCAGTTGTTTTATGTGAAAGGTTTACGTAGGAAATTATTTGCGAAAATGATTTCCGCAAATGGAACAGAGTGAAGTTGTAATTTATCACTTATGGATAAAATATTGTACGATATGTGGATAAGAGATTAAACTCGGTGGCGCCGTTGCTAAGCTATTGGCTTCGGCGTCGGCGCTCGTGGGTCCGATTCTTACACGGGACAACTATTTGTGTGATGTACAGATAATTGTTCCGGATCTGGTCGTTTGTAGAGGAGGGTTAACGTCTGGCAGGAGGCCGGTCGTAAAAACATAGCCAAAACCGCGTACAACATGATTCACATAGTGTGCCGACCCCAAAATGGCAGGAGGGTAATGATGATGATGACGATATAAGAGATTTGGTTGAATTAAACGCAATGCAAGCATTTACTTCAAAATTTAATCATATTTTTGTGCTTCCGGATGGATAACATTGAATGTTTGGCCGAAGCAATCGTCAATAGCAATTAAAAGAGTATTTAACAATAGACACGAATGTTCTTTACAAAGTTTTGTCACGTTCACACCACTAAGGTCACGTTTCCGCCACCGAGTTTAATTCGAAGATAATAATGATGTTTTTCGCGAATTTCTCTGCCAAAATTTCTTCGATAAATATTTAATGAGGCTATCACGTGCCAAAGAGCAATCTCGGAGATTTGACGATTCACCTTGTTAACGAAGACTTTTTATATTTCTGGAAACGTGAATAAGTTATTGACGTTGCCTATGTAGGCAGTAGAGATGGGTAGTATCGCTTTTTCTGAGTACCGTATCTGAATCAGATTTCGATTTCAAATATCAGATTTCGAAACTATGTATTTTAATATCTAGATATTTTACGGTCCCACCTTGAATTCTAAAAAAAAAAACCTGTTTGACTTTATTCGTCGATAGTCTTGTTCGACGATCATTATACCTATACATAACTAAAGCTATTACCAGTGAAACCAACTACTCAAAAAGAATACTTCTAAATAAATTCGAAAACCCACATTACCTGATTAAATTAAAAATTTCATTAAAAACAGACATTGAAGTTATATAAAAATGATTTATTTTAACATCTTATATATCGCTTAATAATTGACTTTAACATATTTTTAGAACACGCAATCGAGTGGCAATATTTTTATTATTTGTGTAAGAAATAATACATTCAGTATTATAGCTTAGGGCGGAAGAATTTAAAATGTACACACAAGGCACATAAGCCTTGGTCTGATTTCCACCAAAGCAGCACAGCACTATTAAATTATATTTTTCTTTTTGTGTACTTTTATTTTTTTCCAAAAATATGAATTTGAAAAATTTAGCTAATAAAAATATTCACAAAAAATTTACCTCCTAAAAAATTTCCATTGTATATTTTTCTTCCTTAATTTAGGCAGAAAATTCTTAAGTAGTAAGTTGGCATCCCTTACTATTACGTGTTAAGTACCAATGCAATCCAGCTCAAGGCTGAACAAAATTTCAAAGACATCGTTAATACCGTAATTCGTATTTAAATGCAACAGAGTTTTTTTCCATGCTGTTAAGATTCAAAATTACTTAACTGCGCGCTTTGTCGCCCGTTACGGCTCAAGGCTAAACAAAACAATAAAAATATAATAATATCGTTGTAGTAATCGCTGATACCAAGATTAGTATTTAAATGAAACGGATCTTATTTGCATGGTGTTAAGATTCAAAATTACTTAACTTATTCATAATATCTGTTTAAAAATCTGATATTGTGCCTTGCTTGCCGTACTGCTCTAACTAGTGTAATATTTGTATCTCACGCGCTTTGTCGCTCGAAATCTGATATCGTGCATTGCTTGCCGTCCCTCTCTAACTAGTGAGTATTTGTATCTCACGCGCTTTGTCTCTCGAAATCTGTTTAAAAATCAGATATTGTGGCAAACGCGTATGATATTGCGATTCGTGTCGGTATAGCGAGCGAGCACGGTACATCAGATTTCGGAAATATCAGATATTATAAAATACATAGATATTGAACGAGCCAGTAAGCGATATTCAGATATTGTACTAATATCTAGTTTTCATATCTGATACGATTTGTATCGCCCACTTCTAGTAGGCAGCTAGTTACGTTATTTTCTTTTTCACTGTATGCATCATATTATTCTTGAATACCTTTTGTATAATCTTTTAGCAGGGGGAAAAAATATTGTATGTAATTTCACTTTCTGAGCAGGCTACAATACTACTATCAAATATACATTTTAACATTACATATATATTTTATTACATATATTATTTTATATTGATATTGTATAATACGGCATCAAAATCGTAAGTCTTTAAACGGGGGTTTTCTTCTTTAATTATAAAAGCTGTAATTCAATTGCTGCCGATCTTACGATTCCTGATACCCTAGTGTGGTGGAGGCAACTCGAGTGTGTGTACTTAAAAGGCTGACCTCAAGGTCGACCGAGCTACCCTTCCCGCGGCCCTAGCACCACACGGACGCTGCAAAACTCTCGAATCGCCGCCACCACACGCCCTGTTGTACTAACCTCAGCGTGATTCAATGCCAGCGAACGTGGACATGGAACGCTATTCTTATAATTGTAAAACGCTCGATCGTTTACATTAAGACATCTGTTCTTTTTACAGACAATGCATGGTAAACGCGCAAGCGGTTTGTGTTTATTTCAGAGGGTTTGGAATCATTAATACATTAATATAGGTACATCTTTTCGAACATAGTCTGTTATTGCAGGGATAGAGGCTTCTGGGGCGAATACCGACGCATACATATTATAAATGTTACTACCCTTGTGTTTCGTCTCGCAAATGGAGTAAATACGCCTATGGAAAGAAAATCCTCTTTAAGATTGGCACTGAGATTAAAACACCATGGGTATTGTGAATGCTCATGGGGTGAAAAGTGCCATGTTTTTTTGATAATTTTTTTTCTTAAAAAAAACCGACATCAACCTCATTGCTGGACGTCGCAACGGCTTCGTGGGGTCGGCTCTACCGCAGAGTAAAGTGGAGCTGAGTAATTGGAACCCCTACATAAAATCTCCACGCTACACTATGACACCCACCGTCTCAGGTCCAGTCTCTGCGGCCGAATAGTAAGTGAATAGTAAGTCTACTTTCCCGCAGTGGCACAGCGTCATCTTTTGCGTAACAATGTTTGTCCTCTATCGTGATAAACACACAAACTCGTAACGGCCCATCCGCTCTTGCCTTGAACACGCTCGCGTAATAGGCGGACGGAGAAACGGGCGCCGGCGAATCGGTCCACGCCTTCGCTGCACACATCACGAACGATAGGGCAAAACTTCGAATGAGCCGATTATCGTCAGTGTTTGGAACTGGCTTAGAGAAATTGCGAACCGAGTACTTGCGGCTTCCGCAATTGACATATTACGTTCTGAACCTTTTGTGATTTATTTCAAATACAAGTTTTTTATTAACTAGAAAACCAAAACGTCTACAAACATCTCACACACGATACATTATCTATTTGATTCGAGGAGTTCCCTGATGTATCTCCGGTTTCTAAAATGAAATACCAATAAAATTAATGTGGTACCACGTGTGTGCTAAATCGAACCCAATGCAATATTAAATTCGGTTCATAAACGACGGAGCTGTGACAAAACTGATGGTAACTTACGAACGTATTAATTTCTTTGTAAAATTTCGACGTTTGATAAGAACGCTCAAGCGTCTATACGAATAAAGATATTTTATTGTTACATAAAAATCAATACAAACGAATTGAGAACCACGACCTTTACTGAAAAATAAGGATCGGCAGTGACCAAGAGACGTGCAAGCGCAAAGCACGATTATATTCCACATTACGCTCGGTACATTCCTCGAGGTAACGAGCAACAATATAAAAGACTTCTTCAATTAGGTTCTTACCCACTAAATACCTGTTTGCACAATCGCTTGTGGACATCACAAGCTATGTTGCAAAAACAGCGATTGTACCTAGGGTTGCCAACGATAGTTTATAATAACCTAAAAAATGGTATAATTACCTTCCAAAAATTCAAGCATAGTGGAAGCACACGAAAATATATCTTGAAGAGAAATACATAAAAAAAAAATCTCAACTTAAAAAATGTTACATTTTATTTTTCTCAAAAACAGTAGGCAACCCTCTTTGTACCACTAAGGACGTTCATGAAAACGGACGCACGGATAGGCGCGGTACGTGTAGGAGGGATCCACACGATCGCGCTACATGGCCTACGTGATGGTTGCGAAATGAAACCGTCTCCGCGGCAGCGGCTATTTGTCTATTTGTCAGGCGGCGACATCGTCGTTTTCTAATTTCCCTTAGCTCCCTGGCGTTTGTGGTTTCTTAGAGGATGCTTGAATACTTCTACAGCTGGGACGAGAGCTTTAAGACAATCTTCTATATCGTTTTTTTATCATTACCAAGATAATTTCTTAATGATAACGAAATCTACGTGTAAAAAATTATAGTAGTGTTTTCACAATTGATAAAGATATTTGAAGCGGGCTCACTTTATTTAAAGGTGGCAACACATCTGTAAACCTATGGATGTTGCAAATGCCAATGGGCGGCGGTTATCACTTAACAACCGCGAGCTAGTTTGCCACCTATTCACATAAAAATCTAGAAGTAGAGGCAGAGGGCAGTTGTAGTTATCTAGACTGATCACGAATGAGTTTGGTGGCCAGCACATAGCGCACTAGTGTGAACCAACGATTTCAGCTGATAGAATTTGTATCGAAACGCTTTTCGACCGATCGACACAACGATTGAAACGATACAAAACCGTCTTTCGAACGAAATGAAAATAAACAATTCAACGCAATTGTGGAGTGAGGAATATTCGGATAAAACTCGGGGAGAGAATCGAGTTGTATCGAGTTGTGTTGCCACGCAATTGTAGAGAGGAACATTCGCATAAAACCCGATTCCCTCCCCGACAAGTGCACAGGCAACGAGGTCCGCGGGCGCTTGGCAACGTGCCAGTGGCGACGCTCGCAGCAATAACGAATTGTTGTTCAAAGTTTGTTCACTTCGCCGGCGTGGGGCGTTGTCGACCTCGGAATAATGACTTATGAACAGTTTCCGACCTTTTGAATGTGGTACAAACGGACCCTTGAAGTGTTGGGGTGATCCGAGGGCTTCGTGGGAAGTAAATACATCAGGTCACACATTTACAAAATATTCTCTAGTCCCAAACTAATCAACGCTCTTACTAAAGGTACTAGATAACTGATAAAAATACTTAAACATACTTTTCCCAGACTGGAAAACGGTTTGGTTTACCACACAATATTTTTCTAGTAGTGGGGATCGAACCCACGCCCACTCTGGCGTAAGAGGCCGATAAAAGAGAGGTATCGATCCGTCAAAATAAGTATCATTATTTTTTGTTTTGTCTATATTATTGCCCTATCAATGTTTTAAATATTTTTTTACGTAAGAAGATGGCAAGCGAGCTCAGGGTCCTGATGTTAAGTGATAACCGCCGCCTATGGACATTTGCCACACCCGAAGGATTGCCGATGCGTTGCCAGGTTTTAATTAAGTTTGCCCCGGATACCTCACTCACCAGACGTAACACAGAAGTATAAAATTTCCGCTCCACTCCGGTCTCCTGTCAGGTGGTGGTAATTACCCGGACGGACCTGCCTATTAGTGCAACAGAGAAGACTGTTGCGTGGCCCAACACCAGGTAAACTATTATTTTATGATGTGGCTGCGCAAAAAACTAGTAGGTGTTCAATAAAGTGCGAAACGGCCAATCGCCGTGGCCGAAGCAAGCATGGGAGAAAATTAAGGGTTTTTTTCAGTCTCTTTTCCCCTAGATTCCAGAGGTGCTACTCGATACTTAAGATATTTAAGATACTTAGGAATCGTTCGCACTTTTTAACCGACTCGGAAGGAGGAGGTTCTCAATTCGACTGTATTTTTTTTGTGTTTGTTAACTTGGAACTATCGACTGAGTTAACCGATTTTAATGATTCTTTTTTTATTTGAAAGCTGTGACTTCCCATGTGGTCGCATATTAATTTTATTGGTATTCGACCTTGGACTCCGGGGATACTTGGGGAAGTCGGTTTTATTTTTCTTTAATAAAATATGGACTTATAAGTCTTTAAACTGTCAGTAAAAAAAACGTGTCAATCAATTTGTCTATCTATCTATCTAATACCTTTAAGCGAGCAATTTGTGTATGTAGGTATATACAATCTGAACTTCGGAAACGGCTTCAACTATTCTCATTAAATTTAGTATGCAGTGGCTATCCGGGCGATAATTCGATATAGCTAGGTTAAATTTTTAATTTTATCCGTATTATCAGGCAATCAAAAATATCATAAAACAATTCGAAGATATAAATTCGCCGGTTCGTAATGCGTTTGCATACCAGCACTACGCCCTAATAGCCATTTAAGTGATCTGCAGTGTCGCTTAGCAGTGACTTTAAAGTACTAACACATCACTTTACATAACAGTCATACCTAATCGACATTTGCTTCCAGACGGGGAATGAAAAGCTCAATTCTAACTGAATTAACTCAAGAGTGGCTGCATGGGGAGATCGTTGGATGCTCAATTCATCGCGGCTCATTAGACGCACGTCTTCAATTCAAAGGTGCAGTCTAGACTGAATCTGTTAAGTAGTCTCATCAGTTCCGTTCATAATGCCTAAGCGATGGTTACAATATTTTAAAACTGTTCATAGAATATGCTAGACTAACTGGAAGTTATGCGAGGCTGCAAAATAAATGCCATCCTACTTACCATCATCTTATTTGGCTTTTCTCCGAAAAATATATTTCAATTAAATTTATCAATACGCCTTTGTAATATATAGAATCATACTAGAGGACTTTACTGTGGACTTAAAAATTTGCGATTTATTAAACTTGTCCATAATAAACTCCGTGATATTTGTTGTAAAATTTAAATTTAGCAAACAACGAAACTCACAAACAAGAGGGTCGGTTGGGAAGCCTTACCCGTCACACCCTTTGAAATTCTAAATTTGCACATAAATCGGAACCGAGCTAAAAACCACAAAAACTTGTACAACTCTCTGTTGTATATTAAAAGTTTTCGCGGTAACAGAATTGACATTGCGAAAATTAAAGTCGATTTTTAGAGGGTTCACTTTTTTAATCGCCCACCAAGTATTCTACACAATTTTATTTAAATTTATAGATATAAAAAATATGATCATAATTTGATCTCATTTTTATCATAAATTGATTATTGTGAATGTCTTAAAATGCATCATATTCGGTCATATGTTGGATTTTATATAATACAGATTCATGCAACTTAAAAATATTTAACAGGCTAAAAGAAAATATTAATATTTTATTTAAATTATATTTTTTTAATTAACACACGATCGAACAGTTGTCAGTGTCAAATGAAACGTAATCAATCCTCGGTTTCGGAACGTAAAAAAATCGGACGCAATGGCGGGAAAAATCACCCACATCGATATCAACTAGCTCACGCATCAAAGATTTACGCGTTTGCTTCCTTCGAGGTCAAATGTAAACAGACTTTCCGAATATAAATTAATTATAATAAACAAGATACAACTCAATCGACACGTTGAAGGCGATAGTGAGATGTAATATTTTACGCTCTAATAAACAACTCAGAGAGCGCCATTTTAACATCGAAAAATAACAGGTCTTTGGTATACCATACAAAAATTAAGTTTTGTTTTATGTTCTACCAATATATACCTACACTTGCAGACTTATACAATGCAAGTGTTTGGAGAGAACAACTGATTTTTTAAAAATCCTTGCACATGAAAGATTAGTCTGGTTATAGTTTTTGATCATGACATAATATGTCATGATCAAAAACTATAACCAGACCCTCGTTGAATCATTTCTAGTTTCTTTTTTATTCATAATTATTTCTATTTACTTAGTGAATATAAGGCCATGATATGTCCTAAATAGTAATGGTACAACAATGAATAAGCAATCACTTCAATAATAATTCAATTGTAACATCAATTGACACATTGACCTAGTCAACGGGTCTGAACCTACATGTATGGTTCATTCAATAATGAAGTCCATTCATAAAAACCCTTGCATTATGTTGTGCGTAATTTAGCAACTCTCGTTGCATTGTGATCATACAATTTGCTACACAACACATTAGTTGTGATAAGCACATGTTGTGTTTCTCCTTTAATTTTTTTTACAAAGTTTTATGTCTAAGAAGTCGTCATCATGTGTGCATCAATAACTTACCAGTGTCGTTATAAATGGATGAATAGTATCCGAATGCAAACAGGCCAAACAATGAGACATTAATTTTTATTATGTTATGAATACAACCAAAATGATGCAAGGATATTCAATTTATAATTCACAAATATAATCAAGTTTTTGATATTTTAAATTATGTGTTATCCTTTAATTGTCATCGCACTTGGAAAAAATACATTTTAAAGAAATTTCATAAAAATTCATTAAAAATGTTGCCAGTTGAGCTAAACTAGTGTAAAAATTCCTCAGTACAAAATAAAAATTCATCACCATCTATATTGTGAGCGGATATCTACACCATCAGAGAACTGCTACTTGATCAATAGAGACTTGAACGTTACTTGCAAGAACATTGTAGAACCCAAATGATAATTTACGTTGTATCAAAACTAACATTGTGTTCATTTGTAACATACAAAAAACCGTATCTTTGAGAATAATTAATTTACATTTTGCAACAAACTGCTTTTAATCAATTTTTTACTCCTAATAGTTCCAGTGACTGAACACAGCCTTCTTAAAATTCTCCTTGACCTAATCATTAAGCAAATAAGCTCTTTGTACAACATCTTACATGGCAATTGTGTTATATACTTTGAATATTATTTCAGAATGATTTCATTTGAAGAAATTGGTACATTATATATGGTATACGGTGATGAATTTATTCCATTCTTTTAAAAGGTGTCATTAAAATTTTATAGAAGATCAATTAGGTAAATAGGAAAAGAAGAAATTAGAGTAGATATAGTACTAGTCTTAAAGTACCGAAATGCCATTAACTAATAAACAAACAAAATACCTTTATCATTATTGTAAAGCAATGTTATCAAATTAAGATAATTTTAGTAAAATTATGTAGTTTTACTAAATTTATGATTCATCATGGTAAAATATTCATTTTAAATTTTATATACACATTTTGAAAATATATAGTCAACGTTTGAGATTTAGCATGTGAACCATGAAATAAGCAAAAAATTTAAAAAGTTAGTACCCATGCTAATAAAATAAGCTTCAAGCAGTATTTTTATTATCTATTGAAAATATTTGAAAAACAGTTTAAAGATCCATCCAATTGGTTTTAATCCTGGTATTATACATAATCTAGATCGATATGTAACCGCATATTATATTAATGCCGACAGTTTTACAAATACAGGAACAGGAGAGTAACATGTAAAAAACTAATGACACTGACCTGAGGTAAGTTCGCAGCGATCTGTCTCTGCAGTGAGTCCCGTTCCTTCTCCACATCCTTCAATCGCACCTCGGAATCATTGAGACGCTCTTGCGTCTCTCGCAAGCTCTCTACTAGCTTGTCTCGTTCATCCAACATAGAAACCATGAGCTGTTCGAAATTCGCATCCTCCCCAGAGAACTGCGAACTCCGCTGGCTGATACTATCTTCGGATATCGTGGGCATCACGTCACACATCATATTCCACATTTTAATTTAACATCAAACCAGAATACTTATCGAACACGATACACCGACAACACAAAAAATTGTCCACCGTATTACATATGTTTCCACACTAACGTTACCTAAATCTAACGCACAGAACGCGTGAGCGTTGCTTCACATTGTCGAAATATTCGGATAATACCTCAGTCAAAATTTCGGGAGACATTATAGTTCGATATTTGAAAAGACACACCTAAAACTTACACTCCTACGATTCCATACTATCTCAGTTCAAGCGGCATGTCTGCCATCTTGGATTGGAACGTCAATCATATCAGAGAACAGAGATAGGAGTTTGACACAGAGAGGATACGCTTTTGATAATAAAATATCCAAATTAAAAAAATATATTTCAGTAAAATTTCCACAAATATTACTCGAATATGCACGAATTTCTACACATAAGGAAATTGCAAATTTATTAATAATAAAAAAGTGTGTGAGCACTTATGTACACGCGTTAGAAGTTATACTTCTTTGGCGTAACCAGATAAAAATCTTTTCAAAAATTTTATCTTTCACCCTAACCTAAGTTTGTATAAAAAACGATACTAACAATAGAAAAAAGGTATTTAATACATTAAAAGTTGTATTACAACGCATTATCTAGTTAAAAAAAATTTATTTAAATATCACAAAATAAATATCGTGAATACAGTTGTCAGTTCTCACGCAAACATACGTAGATGTCTAGCTAACTTCAGGGTGTCAGTTTTTCGTGACGGTGTGCGCGCGCATCGTTTAAATATTAACTCTCATCATTTTTCCCTAACGCGCCAAAAGAAGTATAACTTCAAAAATCGAGTACCCTAAAAACATTTAAATTATTAACCCCTATAGTTACTGATATTACTATTGATTCTTCTATTATCAAGAGTAAATTTTGAGATTTGTTTTGAAATCTAAAAGGCAAAATCTTTGAAATTTATGAACCAATTTACTACAAATATTAAATTTTTATGTCCAAACTATTATTTTATTTTAATTCAGAAAAAAAATTAATTGCCTATTTAAACAAAAATTTTGCCGATAACAATGGAACATATTTAGGGAACGAGAAAAAGTAAAAAACTATCAGCCTATACATGTCCCACTGCTCAACAAAGGCCTCCTCTGTACAGAGGATATCAGGGCATAGTCCACCACGCGGCCCCACTGCGGATTGGCGGACTTTACATATATTCGAAATATTTTTATTGTTATTATTTCGAAAATATGCAGGTTTTCTCATGATGTTTTCCTTCACCGCAGAGCACGTAATAATTCGGCACTTAAAATTAACAATTTCATTGGTGCCGGCACCGGGGATCGAACTCAGATTGCTCGAGTATAATGAATTAAAGGCGAGCGCCCGGATACTGAGCTATCACGGCTCAAGGAACGAGAGCAGTTTTATAATTAACAGATCTTCAAAGTATTTTTATTATTATTTGGTAAATGTTCATGTTTCCTAACGATGTTTTCATTTATTAGTGAATACGTGATAAACAAGCATTTCTTAATTTAAAACGAAAACTACAAAATCATCGGAAATAATCAACTACAAACAAACAATTTAAAACACAAAAGAAGAATCGTATATCACAGTGTGTCCCATGTATTATATGTTATATAAATGATCAACCAATGCCGCCCGTTTATATAGAAGCGTTGATATGCACAATCAAAATGAGAGTCCATCAGCCCGTATACGTATCACCATATAAAAACATAACGAAGGGAGAAATCGAGGCACTGCTTAAATTAACGACTAGGCAATTACTTTTATTGTAATTACTTTGCTTATTCACCTTAACCACCATAAGAAGAGATCCAGGTTTCGTGGCAGCGCCATCTTGGCCGACACAGTGGTTCCATGGATTGCCTCTCTGTGCCTCCATGTGGTGTGTGCGTGCTGAGATGGCACAGGACCACAGAGATTCATTCACCTCTGTGGTCCAGTGCCATCTCAGCATCTCATTACGTGTGGAGTTCCACAGGGGTTGGTGTTAGGACCACTTGTTTGTTATTATTGAGTGCCGCGGGTGTTAAGGACGCCTGCTACGAAGACAAACTTGTCACCGCATTTTCACCACTGCAAGAGTAGATGAATTCCGCAAGCGGGACTATAGAGGTGGCACTGAATAAAATCAAGGTGCTCTGCTTCTACGGTCCTCGGAATATGACATCCGGATGCCCAAATAATTGTGAGCGGCGTCCTTCACATTACCATTTAACCGAAAAATTATTTAAAAATGAGCGACCCACCCCGGCTTTGCACGGGTGCAATGTATTTATACATATAAAACTTCCTCTTGAATCACTCTATCTAGTAAAAAAACCGCATCAAGATCCGTTGCATAGTTTTAAAGATCTAAGCATACATATGGACAGGCGGACAGCGGGACGACTTTGTTTTATACTATATAGTAAAGACAACTAAACATACTGGCAAATAACTATGTATGCCCCTAGATGAAAAGATCACCTGTCTTCAAACAGCACATTTGTACTGTCGTCCACAAGGAACAATAGAAAATGTGTACCTGGCATCCGTCATGGGTGGACTTTTGGTGCCCCATCTGTGTTTCTAATCTTCCTTCGGCCAACTCTTCTCTATACAGAAGTTTCGATAAGATAATAATTTTAAAAGAATCAATAAATATAGAAGTTTGTTAGTCAAAGCTTTTGGGATCTATTCCTCATCCTTCCAATCGTGCATCTGACATTAAGCCGACCTATGAATGTAATAAATGATCTGGATGATACATTAAATAGCACGATAAATTATTTAATTCTTCCACCGCGGCCAGACAATGTTTGGCCTCTAAAAGGAGGAGAATAAGGATTCGGGCTATTTGATGAATATACTATCGTATAATCATAAAATATTTGTTAGAGTAAATTCATTATTTTCGTGAATTTAAATAATATGAATTCTTGATTAAATCAAATTGTGATTCTTCCTCGAGATAGGTTACACTATTGATGGGGTCTTAGCAGAGGTTCAAACCACCATATAAGTCAGATGGAGGTGCAACATTCTTTGGCTCGTGTGGTGCCCCTCCCTTCTTATACGAATGGTAAGTTTTTCATGTCGTCATCATGTCTTGTAGTGTCATCATCATGTACCAGCTACGTTTTCCTGAGTACACGTCGTTTACCCACGGACCTCTTCCGACAAAGCCGTCAAAGTTGCAAACTTCTTTTAAGTAAAAAAAACATCACTTTTTCTCTATTCTTTGTTTATTTTCGTTTTTTTTTTAGTATCTGTGACCTATATAAAGATCCTCGATTCCGGGCCATAAAATAAAAAAAAAGTTTGATAATTTGACTCATGTTGGGCGAGTCCCCAACCAATGAACCAACCAAAGACCAAAGAGTACTTATCAGAGACAAAGTAATCACTACTTTTGGTATTTAAATCTGAATGTTGACGTTGACGATTGACGTTGACATCTGTCTAAGCAACTACTGTATATTATTTGTTATTAAAAAAACATTTCATAATTTATACTTTAGTTTAGAAGTAATTGATACAAATTTAGAATAAGAATAAGAAATTAATCTACTCTAATTAATTCAAATCTACCAATATCTAAATTAAATGAACTTTTGAATGTTATGTAAATTTCAGTTACTTATTGATAAAACTAAGGTTAAATGCCTAAAAAAAAAGGTCAGAATAAAAAAAAGAATAATCAAGGTATTTTCCCACTTGTATCTTTTACTATCGTACTTTAAGTAGTAGAATTTTTATGTTATATACTTATATTGGACACAAATTCTTAAACTTTCACAACAGTAGGAACAATAATCTTCAAGGTCTTTATTGCTTTAATACTACTGGACTTGAGTCACTGCTGCTTCTCTTGATTAACAATCAAGATCAGTACATATCAATGCTTTGATTAAAAATTAGAATAATTTATCTGGATTCTATAAAAATGTGAAAAAAATGCCATTAGAATTGTCTAATTAATAAACATTGGTTAATCCTCTAAACAATTTTATGACTTTAAAATAAAAGTACAGTTAAAGCTGTTATGTTGCAACCTAAAACTGGACCTCAAAGACCAAGAATACATAAGTTATATTTTTCAGCACTTTCAGACTTCACATTAAATGATTGTGCTAATGCTCCAAAACCTGTAGCAAGGGTGACCAAGTTAGTTACCACAGAATCTGTGGTATCAAATCTATCTTGGGATGAAATTTTCGACAATGACTTAGATATTGTCGAAGAAGTAGATGCAGATGGCTCTAAAAGTATTGTGTTCAAGAAGAAACGTAATCATTCCAAAACTGAGCTTGAAGATGTTGAAAATCGCCCTGGTAATATTTACCCAGAGATAATATGGTATCTAATATCTTGGTACATAAAACCTGAAGATGTTGGAAGCTTTGCTAGGATTAATAAAGCTACATATGCAATAACAAAACGGGAATCATTTTGGCGAACCTTATATAATAGGTATTGCCAGTACCATCCTAAATTACCTGAGAGGCTGTGTATAGAGAATAGTTACAAGCTCTATGGTTTACGCCAGAGAGTAATAAGAGCTCTGTATCATACTTATGATGTATTTATAAAGAGGGTCCTGCAACAAGCAGCTCATGATAGCCGACCTCATCAGTTGGTCAAAAGGCGTTGTGTCAATGTCTGGTACTGCAAAGGTTCCTCGCACTGGTCAGTGTATTTCAAGCTAAAGAAGTTGCAGCCAATGCAAAGGATAGAAATGAATAAAAACATTGGTTTTATTGAGGAGCTGAGTAGGATTGATGCCAATCCTGATGAGGATAGTCAAGTTTTACAGGTGAGCATGTTTTAATTGCATATACATTTGTTAAGTTTCAGTTTTTCATTGTTGCCATCGTGTTCAAAAAAATGTGAGATCTATAAATCATACTTAGCAACAGATAGGACACTTCATACTCATATCATCAACTGTAAATATTTTTTCAAATGGCATCAACATATCACAAGGAATCAAGTATAATAATTATCAGTTAAGTAAGTGATTTTAAAAAAAATGTACATCAAGGATATTTTATATAACAATTTAGCATCTGTTTAAAATAATTTAAGCCATTTAAAATGAAGTATATAATTAAATAAGTCAATCAGCGCATAAACCAAAAAATTATTGTCAGTAATGTTACAATTTTTATGTCACTGGTGGAGATAATTGATTTGGCAACTGAAAAAGAAGTTAAGGTACATTCAGAGTTAGTTTTTAAGTTTTTATTATACAAAAAGTAAAATGTATTTTTATTATGACTTTCCATAAAAATGAATATTAATAGTAGTTGATCACAAAAAAAATATTTGTGATCAGCGATAAAATGTTTTCTGAATCAGCTGTATGTGAGGATTTGTCATTTTAGATTCAATGTGAAATTGAAATAATTTACATTAGAATATGAAGTTAATCAAAATGGCTTCTGAAATAAATAACTTATTATTCAATCAAAAAATTTTGTCTGTTATTGGTGTCTTTATTAGTGAGGGGAGTTATTATAACTGTAATAAGTTGTGACTATTATTAAGGGTCAATGACACTCAATAAAATTTATTAAAAAGTGGGGATAATCAATTTGTGAGACAAAGTTTTGTCACTAATATAATACACAAATGTAATAAGTTTTTTTTTAATTACTATTTTTGTCTCATATTTGAGTTATTAGTGCACAAAGAATTCTTGTCTCACTTTTCATTATATCATAAAATAATTGGCTTTCTGAGATTTTGTTGTCTAACAGACTCACCGTCTAACAGTTAAACATACATATTTAATTGTCTAAAGGGATTCAGTATTAGATAATTCTCAAGCACCTTCAATTTCAGGTAACCTGTCAAAACTTCTATGAAGTACCACCGCTGATGGGAATGACCTTATCATCGGTTAGTGTAGTGCTTTCCCAAGGCTTCCGGCACCGCAGGCTACACTTGGGATTCAACACTGGGGACCATAATGTATCAAAGAACATTCTCCCAGAATGTTCAGTTGTGTTGGACACGGTTATAAACATTTACGTATTTGACTGGTGGCACCCTAAATACCCTCATTTTGACAACCAACTGCCACTCAATGTTATGGATGATGAATCAGTGCCCGTTCTGAAGACAGATTTCTTTACTGTGTGCAATGGGGACCTGTGAAGTCATCAAAAATTGTGATAAATTATATTTTTCGAAAATATTAACGTGTTTCATTATAATGTCATAGTATAATAATTTTCCCATTTTTTAATAGTTTTTTATAAATTGTAAAATGGCAACTTTAACAAAATCTGTGAAGAGCAACCGAACACTATAATACATAAAAATATTACAATACAAAACTAGATCATATGCAACATGCCAAAAGAAATTCGGTTATAAAGTCTGCACTTTTTTTTTTTTTTTTTTTTCCTACTATGGCTCCACTGATACGTCAGTGATTTTGCCAACAACTTGGTACTTGGAGATCGATTAGGCTAAGGACATGACAATAATAACCTACTGTATTAAACCACTTTCAGTTGCATACCCGTAAAGAGAGGAACAAAACACCTTATTAGTAACATGGTCATTAGTCATGGGACATCAGCCATACATAAATAAAGAGAAAGAAAAAGGAACAGGAACAAAAAAAAGGCGAAAAACAAAAATCTTATAAACCAGCTTAAAGCCGTATATTGTTAATTTCTATGAATCTAACTAGAATTTTAATGAATGGGCCATAGACAAGAGTTAACAAACAACTAACATTCACAGGACGTACAATAGTGGGTGGGAGAAGATCATATAGAGGGACTGATAACATAGGACAACTAAAGAATAAATGATCAAGAGTACCCTCATCTAACCCGCATTCACACAAAGACGTATTTCGAATATGCAGTTTAGCCAGAAACACCGGTGAACATACATGGCCTAGTCTGAGCCTGATGATAATAGATGTAGTCTTTTTGTGATAGCATCTATACCTAAAGAACCAAGGTTTGGTAGGTATAAAAGGTTGAATTAGACTGTAATATTTACACCTTTTACGTCCAATCGCCCGCCACATGTCACCCCAAACCCTTATCATATTATGTTTAGCAGAGAGACGCAGATCACGCACAAAACATTTATTATACTTAGGGATTCCGAGCTGAATTGCTTCTTTGGCACAGCAATCTGCTTTTTCATTTCCAAGAATGCCGCAGTGACTTGGAATCAATGCTAAAACTACTTGTAGACCAGCACAGTAGCATTTATATAATGCTTGCTTAATTTTTAGTGTTAAGAAAAAGTTATCTTTAGAGTGAAATGGGAGCTTCAAGATATCTTGTAAGCAACCATATGAATCAGAGAAAATTATAGATCTATTTAGTTGATGGGATTCAATATAAGATACAGCATCTAAAATAGCTATTGCATCTCCACTAAAAACAGAACATTGAGGAGGGCATTTAAAATTCAATATAATTTTGTACCTAGGTAACCAGACAGCAGCACCGACATCGACACCATCATTCAACTTTGAGGCATCCGTGTAAAATGTCATCCAACCATTAAATTCAGTTTCAAGAATTCTATTAAATTGGATATGGACATTGGGTGAGTTCTTATCTATACCCATCGATAGAATAACCCTAGGCCTATAAACTAGCGCCTCATAATCTACCAAAAAAATTGGGTATTTTACAATTTTGAAAACTGGATTAGAAAGGTTCTTTATTTTTCGGTATGACTTAATAAGCAGAGGCAAGTCCTTATGTTTCCAGTAAACAGAAGAAGTTGCTAACTGGCTAAGGAATGTAAGATTTTTAAAAGGGGATGATGGCTGTATTGAACTATATTGCATAAATATCTATCAGCAAGATATTGTCTACGTAGATGAAGGGGAGGTTCTAGACATTCAACTTGTAACGCCAAATTCGGAGAGGATTTCATGGCACCAGTGATGATGCGTAGACATTTATATTGAATTTTCTGAAGTTTATTTAGTGCATTCTTATTGCAAGGTTCTAAAGAAATAAAGAACCATAATCAAAATGTGATCTGACAATGGCATTATATAATAATTAATTTTGATTATAAGGATGTGATCCCCAATGGACACCTGATAAAGATCTCAAAATATTTACACCTTTTTCACACTTATTACTAACATAGTTGAGATGATGTATGCCAGACAATTTAGAATCTAATATAACGCCTAAAAATTTTACTTGGTCTAGTACAGCTACAGGATTTCTATCAATAAACAAAAAAAATTAATGCTTGGAACATGGCGCTTTCTCGTGAATACCACCGCATTGCATTTAGAAACTGATAAAGATAAACCTTGATTGTCAAGCCAATCACTCAAATATGCTAATGCAGAGTTAATTTTACCAGCAGCATCATTTAATGAAGATGATACGGCGTACAGAACAATGTCATCAGCATATTGTAAAATTTTACAATAGGGTGAAACGGAGTGGTCTAGATCATAAGTGTACACATTATACAATAGAGGACTGAGTACAGAGCCCTGGGGTAACCCCTTCCACACCAATCTAGATGTTTGAATTGATCCATTAGCACGGACAGAAATAGAACGACCACTATATAGATTAGATATAAAATTGACCAGTCTCTCAGGGATACTCAGTTGAAGCATTTTATGCCTGAGTATTGGAATCTGGACATTATCGTAGGCAGAAGTAACATCCAAGAAAGCGCCGATAACATGCTGGCTATTACTGAAAGCCTGACGGATACTGGAGACAAAGATACTTAAACTATCCAGTGTACCCATACCCCTCCTGAAGCCAAATTGATAATTGGATAATATACCCCTATTCTCTAGAACCCACTCTAATCGGTTTTTAATTAAGTGTTCCATAATTTTACATAAGTGAAACGGATGTTGATATTAAAACTATTTATTGAAAGCAATCACAGTTTAATTAATGCACAAACGGACAGAGTTTCGCCTTTGTAACACATAATCGTAAGAATGCCCCCCCGAATTGGCAATTCGGGGTATTTAAACATTTTTCTGACAGTTGGTGGATGTGACGTCACAATAATCAACAGTGGCGCTAAGTCAATGTTTCCGGCACTTCACTGTAATGGCTTGGCATTGCTTGGCATAGCATGGCTTGGCTTGGCTTGGCTCGGCGTGGCGTGGCGTGGCGTTACAATCGGCCTTTCTGCAACAATTGCTTCCGCAATGGGGCGTAACATATCGATTAGCTCTCTAGAAGGTCAATAAGATCTTCAGTCTCTAATTGGTCGTCAGAACTGCTGGCGCTGTCAGAGGGAGCAATGCTACGATAAGGTCGCAGGGAGTCGACAGGGACTAGGCCTGTAAAATTTTTGTAACCCCTTAAACCCTTTATACTCCTAATTCTGTACCTATCATTACCAACAACTTTACTTATGATGTAAGGACCTGAGTATAAGTCATCTAGTTTTGTGTTGACTCTAGAAGCACTACTTGTAGGGGCCTGCCTCCATAGAACCAAGTCACCCTTTTTATAAGTACGACAGCATTTTTTGGCAGACTGTTTGACCAGTTATTAGCTCCTTCGCTAGGGTCAATGGCGCGTAAAGAATTAAGTATTGTACGATTGGTACGTTCAACTTGTCCGTTGGCACGCGGGCACGCAATTGCGTTTAATGTATGTTTGAATTGTTTGTCGGTAGCGAATCTTTTAAAATACCTACTAGTGAACGCTTTTCCGTGGTCTGTTACTACTCTATCCGGATAGCCAAATAGTGCAAATATTTTCTTTAGAACTCTAATTGTCTCTACCGAATTAACGGTCCGTGTAGCTTCCGCGATAACAAATTTCGAAAATGCGTCGGTTATCACTAGCATATATTCATGTCCTTTTTTTGTCCTACAAAACGGGCCTAAATGGTCGACATGGATCATGCGAAATGGTTCATTAGGTTTAGCAATCGGATGTAACTTACCTTCCTTTTTACCATGCTCCCCCTTCCCATAAGCGCAGTGCAGACAGGATGTTACATATTTTCTAATAAACCGTGTCATTTTTGGGAACCAAAACTCATTTTTAATTAGATCTGTGCAGCGTTTTAATACTACGTGTCCTATCTCATCATGATGCATTTGAACAATTTTCCACCTAGCAGGTCTTGGGACGACGAGCCTATTGCCATGGAGAGTTTTCCTAAATAACCTACCGTCTAATAACATGTAATTATTTGAAAAATCGGGTCGAGCTGATCCGGCCTTTAGTTGATCGATAATATTTTTAAGCTTTTCATCCTGATATTGGACGGTATAAAACCAATCAGTAACCTCTAGACGATTAATATTCACAGCGTCGATTGGATTCCTACTCAACGCATCGACGTGTTTCATACGTTCTCCCGGCCTATATTTAACGCTAATATCATACTCTTGTATTAACAGCCACCACCTTGCAATAAGAGGGATAATGTCTCGCTTCGTAAGAGTAGCACGAACGGCGGTACAGTCAGTTACTACTTTTATGTGTTTCCCTATTATGTATACACGAAATTTACGCAAGGATTCCACTACTGCTAGCGTTTCAAGTTCATAGCTATGATAAACGGTCTCCTCCCTGGATGTTACTCGGCTAAAGTACATGACGGGGCGGATGGTACCGTCGGACTGCTTTTGTAATAATATACCCGCTATTCCCAATTTACACGCGTCAGTATGTATTTCTATATCTAAAGTAGGGTCATATAAGGCTAACACCGGTTTAGAGCATAAACACTTCTTTAATTCGTCAAAACTACTTGCGTGTACGTCACTCCATACCCACGGAACGTTTTTCTTTGTCAATTCAGCTAGTGGGCGAGCTTTAACTGCGAATTTATATATAAATTTACGAAAATAACTACAGAGACCTATGAACTGCCGCACTTCATGAACATTTCTAGGCACAGGAAATTGTAAAACTGCGATTAACTTTAGCTGTGCCGGTTGTACACCTTTATAAGAAATTTCATGGCCCAAATAAGTTACCTTTTCCTTTAGAAACGAACATTTTTTTATATTTAATTTCAAATTTTCCGATTTGAACTTTTGCAACACTAATTCTAACATTTGTATACCCGAATTAAAATCGGTCGAGGGTAGTAACAAGTCGTCTAAAAATGCGAGAATTTCAGTATGCGTGCTGTCGGTGTGTGTAAAACGGATAGAATGAACAATTTTACTAACTAAACGCATAAAAACAGACGGCGCGTTCGCCAAACCGAACGGGACGCGTAAATACTCATAATGACCGTGAGGTGTAATAAAGGCAGTTTTGTGTGTATCTTCTGGTGCAATCAATAATTGATGATAACCTTGAGCCATGTCAAGACTTGTGAAATACTTTTTGCCAGCTAACTTTGAAATCTGGTCGTCGATATTCGGCAGCGGATATCTATCTTTTATAGTTACTGCGTTAAGCGCACGATAATCGACACATAACCACCATCACCATTTTTTTTCTTAACTAAAATAATTGGAGAGGCATAATCGGATTCGGACTCTTTAATAATACCGGCATCTAGTAACTCACTAACTTTAGAATTCACAATTTGTTGTTCATTGTGCGACAGCCTATAAGGTTGACGATATATAGGCTGCTGCTTAGTAAGTTTTATTTTCATTTGTAACAAGTTTGAACAGTCTTAATCTTTTGTGTTATTTGCAAAAGTATGTTTGTAATTTAATAGTAAACTCATTAAACTATTACGCTCGCTCTCGTTTAAGCTACTTCCCATACTAATTTCGGCCATAGGAACCCCACCTATACTAACGTTATTAATTTGCTCTGTGGTTAAGATAGAATCGGGTCGAATAGAAAGTTTATGGGAGTGCAAAAGATTAGTGGATAAATACTTTGGCTTAATTGGCACAGCAGTTGACGAGTCAGATATTAATTTTTTGGCTTTACTCACCTGGGTTAGTTGACTTGTAGATTCTTTACATGTATTTGCCCGAGTGAGTACCTTGCCGGCTTCCCAATAGACGTTTTTGACTCCAGTATTTATGACTTTAATGTTCACCAGCCTTCACCACCTCGGAGCAAAGTAGCCAACAGCGAGTAAGAAACACCTTGCAGTTCGTAGTGTCGTGGCGATGTGCAGACATCATTTCCCTCTGCATTACCCAAAACTCTTACTTTGATAATCGAGGTACCAGGTGGCAAGGACTCTTCGCTCGTCGTTACCACTGTAAATTTTTGAACTTCCTCAACCACATCGAATTCTGCCAGAGACTTAGCATCCAGTCTTAAGGTAGCCGTCCTATTAGTCACCACAAGTGATACACGATCATAGTTAATAACTGGCTGCCCGATTAATAAGTGAATATCCTGCATGTCAATTTCCGTTATATGTGCCGTCCATTGCAGTTGAATATCATCAATTATTAGGTTAAAAGCAACTTCACCGCAGCTAGTAATTAAGCCGCCGGAGAATCCTTTCAGAACTGTGCTTGTAGGTGTAATGTTGAGCGCTAAAAGACTCACTATTTGTCTACTAATAACATTGACTTGGCTTCCTGTATCTATATAAGATTTAACAAAAATCCCGTTTACTTTTACGACCTTCTTGTAAATCTCATTGTAATTTTGTACTAGTTTAATTTCCTTAATGTTATTACTCGATTCATCAGTTACTCTTGTTTGCGTTTTTGGGAGAGTAGAGCAATGTATGGCAATATGGCCTTGCAACCCGCACTTGAAACATACTTGTCGGTCAGGCAACATGCAGTTTCGTAAAATATGTCCAGTTTTTTTGCAACGCGGGCAAGGGTCGATCTCAGGGTTAACCTTCTTTTCTAAAATGGGCTGCTTGAACTCCTTGTTCGGCACTCGTGGTTCTAATATTGGTAAACGATAATCATCGAGGGCGCAGAGGAAAGCCTCGTATAGTTCATCCGGTCGCTGGCATTGAAAGGCACGTGCATTCGGCTGCAATGCGATCGGTAATCCTCTAATTATGCACGAGACACTAGCGGTATCAGATAAATTACAACGGAAGCACATGGCGATTTTGTCCTGGTAATATTTGGTCATGGTTTCGTTCGGCAACTTCTTCCTTTGCATCATTTCGTCTAACAATGCACTGTAATCCCGATGCTTGGGAAAAGCACGCATCAACATGCTCTTCCATTCGTCCCACGTATAGTTATACTCATCCAATCTATTGTACCATTTACGAGCCTGACCCCGCAGTTTGTCTTGCAGGTGAAAAGATTTTACTTTGTCGTTCCAGTTATGTATGTCTCCCAGCTGGTCAAACTTCTTCAACCATGAGAATACCGAGAAATCTACCTCATCGGGGTCAAATTCCGGAATGAGTGAAGCTGCGCGATGGTCCTTGAAATGGCTGAGCGACTGGGCTTCTTGGTCCAGAGCATATACCGCCCTATTGACTTCATTTTCCAGCAGGCGTTTGAGCAGTTTTCTAGGTTGCGTCGGATAATCTTCATCTTCGTTTTCACTGACATGATATTGTCCCTGTTCGGATTCACTCCACCCTGGCGGACGGATCCCTAGGCCAGCTTCCGTAGGACGATAACGCTTCATATCCCACTTCTGAGTGAAACGGATGTTAATCTTAAAAGTATTTATTGAAAGCAATCACAGTTTAATTAATGCACAAACGGACAGAGTTCCGCCTTTGTAACACACAATCGTAAGAATGCCCCCCCGAATTGGCAATTCGGGGTATTTAAACATTTTTCTGACAGTTGGTGGATGTGACGTCACAATAATCAACAGTGGCGCTAAGTCAATGTTTCCGGCACTTCACTGTAATGACTTGGCATTGCTTGGCATAGCATGGCTTGGCTTGGCTTGGCTCGGCGTGGCGTGGCGTGGCGTTACATAAGGTAGAAGACAGAGCTATAGGGCGATATGATGAGGCTTCTTCTGGATCTTTGCCTGGTTTAAGAATAGGTATGATAATTTGGGTTTTCCAGGAGTCAGGTATACTGCAGGATAAGAAAATAGTATTAATGATTTTAAGAAATAAAAGGTGAGTAGATTTGCTTGACTTGATAATAAAAGAATAGGGAATTCCATCTATGCCTGGTGAAGAGTCACGAAGATGGTCCAGGGAACAAAGCAGTTCAGGATAGGAAAATTCATCATTCATTTTATCTGGATATATAAAAGAATGAGAATAATCCGTAGGAAGGGAGTCACGGAACGGAACATAAGGAGGAGATAATTTACTAATAAAGTTTGGTAACCAACTATCTGTGTGATGATAAGCAAGACATGAAAAATTATTTTCACAAGACCTGCGAAAAGATTTTATACGTTTCCACACCAAGGATGGAGAAGAACGTGGGGACAGAGATTCGCAAAACCTCTGCCAACCTAATTTTTTTTTTGCTAAGCAATCTTTTGGTTTGTGCACAAGCCTTACGATAAAGTAAATAATTATCCATTGTTAGATTTGAAACGTATTTGCTTTCAGCTTCGTTACGATACTGAACACTGATAGTACAATCCCTGTCCCACCAGCGGGGAGAGCGAAGGCGTTTAAGAGAAGTGTTTTTATTGGGGATGGCGAGGTCAGCTGAACTTTGTAGAGAAGTGACAAAATAATTGTAAATATCATGTAAATTAGAGTGGGATAAGGATGTATTGGGGGGAAGAGATGCAAGTTTTTGATCCATTAACTGTGAAAACTTGTTCCAGTCTGCTAAATGAAGTCTGTACTTCAACAGAGGGATGTGATTGACTGTTGGAGGAATAGCTTTACATAAATTTAATACTATGGGGAAGTGATCACTACCATAGGAGCTAGGCAGAACCATCCAATTAATTGAAGATGCCAGAATAGTTGAGGAAAGAGACAAATCAATAGCCGAGGGATTCTGTAATGGAGAAACTCTCCTTGTAGGTGACCCATCATTTAATAAACAAAGATTTAAATTGTCCAGCATATCTATGATAAAGTGAGATGAAATGTCACAAGCGAGGGAGCCCCACAAAGTATGCTTACAATTAAATCTCCCATCACTAAGAGAGGAGCAGGAAGAGAGGAAAGGATAGAGCTTAAGTTTGAAATGATGTTAGGATTGGGGTGGGGAATGTAAACAGAAACAAATGATATGTCATTAATTCTAGCGGCAACAATATGGAATTCTGGGGGGTGAGAGGGAATACGGAGCTTGGTAAAGGGAATGGGTCTTTTAGTAAAAAGAGCACACCCAGCCCAACCATCATCCCTATCATCCCGCAGACAAGAGTAGCCTAAAAAGGGAACGAGACCTCAACCAAGTCTCTGCAATAGCGCAAACTACAGGGTTATATTTGTTAGCTAAAAATATTAGATCAGCCTTTTTATGACGAACATTGCTACAGTTCCATTGAAGGATGTTGAATGTTACGGTTTTTTTTTTAATTATGGTTTCTAAGAGCTGTTCTAATAAGGGAAAAGACATTGTTCGGTAGTGAATCACTAAATTTTGATACCATGTTAATCAAAGAGCATGTGAGTAGCTCAATCAGATTATCGTTAGGAGTAGCATAAGGAGTAGGACTAAGTGTTCCAAGCGCACTGCCATTAGGTTGGGAGGATTTGGGAGTTCTAACAATTTCATGATGAGCATGTTTACCATAAGATTGACTCTGAGGGGATCTAGGACGGGGTTGCTGAGGAAGAGATTTATTGTAGACAACAGATGGCGACCTATGAGAGGATGAAGAATGTTCATAAACCGGGGATTGTTGTGAAGGGAGAGGGCAGTAGGCATTAGAAGAAGAAGGGACATTACATGGGACCCAAGAAGGGACGGGTGAATTTTTGGGAGAGGAGCAGATTACATCAGCAAAAGATAATTTGTAAATGGGAAAGCGGCGTGATGATGGTGGCATTACATGTTTGATATTTTTCTGACGCAAATGTTCTGGACAGATAGGCTCTGTGGCTTTATGATGGCCTCTGCACAAGAGACAAACAGGATCAGGTACTGTACAGGAGTCCCCAGGGTGTCGTTGAGCACACTTAAAACATCTAGGCTTAGAACGACATTGAGCACGGACATGGCCAAATCTGCAGCAGTTATGGCATTGTATGGTAGGGAGTTGGTATATGGAGACTGGGAGAGAATCATGGAAACAATAAAATTTATGTGGGAGAGTTTGACCTAGGAAGGTCAACACGACTGTGGTGGATGGTTCCCAAGTTGGTCTAACATTATTGTTTTGCCGATTTTTCACATTTAACCTTCTAGCTCTTATGACAGGACCACAATTTGGAGGGCATTGTATCCCAGAAACCAGTTCTTCAAGGGACCACTCCAAGGGTATTTGGCGGACAACACCCATTCGAGAAACCAGGAACTTTGGGACCTCTGCATTGAAATTATTTTTTTGTAATATAGAATTCTCAATAAAGGAATTGGCTTCTACGTAATTTTCAAATTGAACAGAAATTTTATTTCGGCCTAATACCTTGATGCCATCACACACAATACCAGAAATCTTGTTTTTATGTAGTAGCTGTGCAAAATTAAGTAGTTTAATAGAGAGCCCTTCAGAAGGATGAGCTTCCATACGAGACACGTGGACAGTGAAGGGACCTTGATTAAATTCAGTATACCTAATTTTTTTGTCAGGCTCAAAACCAAGTCTAGTGTAAGTATCCTGAATTGAAGCAGCGGGAGTAACGTTTTTTTGGATATACTAGCGATTTCTAAGTCCGCTGGTCTTTTATGAGGACGACTAGGGTTGATAAACTCGGCAGTTATAGGCGCCATGTCTATATCAGAGGATGTGTTTCCTCCTCCACCAGGGGGAGGATCATCATCTCCTGCATCACACATCCTTCTTGTTAAGCGATTACATATAAGACACTTACCAAATAAAATAAACCCACAACCACAAGAACCAACAACAATATGGATACACAACTAAAATACTACATACTAAATCAAACTTCCAAGAAAAATATCACTAAAGCACGTGTCAACGTCCGAATCCTTCCGAGCTCGCCGACCAAGTGTCGAGCCTGCACTTATACTCCCCTTTTTAATACTTGCCAAAGAGTACCTTTATATATTATATCTGATACTTGCCATTACAGAAAATATTGTCTTTTGTAATTTACTTTTAAAATTAATTACTTATTTATGTTGGCAATAATACTTGCACTTGCAAATATATAATTTAAAATGAAAACTTATTACTTTTAAAACCACTTTACTGTTGGCAGCACTTGCAAATAATAATAATATGACGTTTATTATTCTTCTGTTATTCTAATGTACAAGAGAATCGGTGTCTGGTTGCGGCTTGTCACAGGTAAAATTTTTCATTTGCATCTTGTAAAAATTTGTAACAATGCAATTTTTAGCAATGTTTGGCGCCATTTAGTGTGCATACAGCATGAAACGCCTTACAAAACAACTACAACAATTTATCATTTAGCGCCATACAAAGAAAATTTTACTGCGAACATTTGTAACGAGAGATGTCGCCTTTGCTCTTAACAATCTTTTTTAAGATAAATGAAATAAACTTTCGCTGCTGCGGAGATCTAACCTGCCCCTTCTGGGTAATGCGCTCAAACGCGATTAAGTTAAGGGACCAGTGACTTTAGGGCGCGGAAATCTAGGAACTTAGATAATAGTTCCCAATGATGTTAAATAATATAGATGACGCATGTCCATACTGCGTCGCGTTTAAAAATTGTTCCGCTTTACATTATATGACATAATTATCATATAAGTGAATGTGAGGTTTTACAGCACAAATAAAGGAAAAATACCAAAATATTTAAAAAAAGTTGAAAATTAAAGGGTGTTGGGGTTACCCCCTTAATTTAACATGCATAGTTGACGCCAATTAGGATAGTCCTTTGTTGTTTTTTGTTAGTTGTATGGGAGCAATGCAATTAAATACCAGATAATGGTACGGAACCCTTCGTGCGCGAATCCGAATCGGCACTTGGCCGGTTCTTTTGTATTAAAAAAGAAAAATAATTTCAATAAATATCACTCTGGATCGCAAGACTAACATAGTTATTTTAATGGCGTATTATGGTAACGTCGAATTTGCAATTTGGGATTTTTTCAGACTAGCTAAAACCAGGAAATCGTTTCTTGGTAGATGTATTAACTTATATAATAGAATAGGTGACATCCACAAACAATTAAGTTTAAATAATTTCAATCATTTTGTAAAAGCCACCTTAGGAAAGGGCTTATTATAATGTCGAGGAATTCATTGAGGACAAGGATGTGTGGAAATGGCTCTTGCTCTGCACTTGTAAGTCCCCTGGCTCATGCTAAATTATACTAAAATAATTTTGTGTGTATACTTAAATACTTAAAAAATATAGAAATAAAATATACATAATTATATGACCGCAGAGTTTCTTGCCGGGTCTTCTCTTGCAGGTCTAGTTTAGTGAACCGGTGGTAGTTTTTGACGTTCAATAAGACCTTAAAATAAGCCTATGTTGAATAAAGAAATTTTGACTTTGACTTTGATTTTTAGAAGGCAATTCAAACAACAAAGAATTTTCTCAAAATGTAAAAAAATGTGTCTATATTCTAGAAAACGCACCATATGTTTGTTATATTTACGAGCGTTGTTATTTATAGTCTCTCATGTATGGTAATTAATGTTTTATAGTTATACCGCAAAGAAAAATAGTCTGCGGGTTAAGGAATCCAACATTGTCAACAACTCCGCATTGATAACTAAACTGACCTCTTCACATTAGCCCAAGTTGACCTCTCGTTATCGTTAATTTTTAGATAATGCATGTATAATTGTCGGTGACACCTAATATTTACCTAGTGAGTGTTGGGTTGCCGGTGAATACAGTGTTAAAAATGGTTATCGTACCTCTTTTGTTATTATTTTTTGTAGCGGTAAGCTCTACTCGATGTTATTATATGATGTTAACGCAAAATTAAAATAATTTCTTATAAAACTGCATGAGATTTAGTAAATTTTCGAGGCGATATAGATTCTTGCTATGAAAATAAAACTGTCAAGACGACCATGCTATACCTTATAGAGGCCTTTAATACAAATTTAAGATTAATAATAAATTTCCTGGATTGTCTATTATAAAAAGTGTGGTCACGAATAACGTATATTTCTTCATTTTGCCAAACTAATTGCAGATATGCTCTGCGGACATTCCAGTGACGCCGCCTGTACGATGTGGCGAGATTCCTAAAGATGTATGTATGGAGCACTTTATTATGTAATCGTGGCAGAAGTGGTAAGAAAAAAAGGAAAGACAGAAAGGACTTCTAGCTGCTTGTTAATCTTAAACGTGCCACAACGAAAATATTGAGTTCGTTTAGCTCTCAAATCGATTGCTTCTGTTAAAATTGTACCAAAACTAACTACCTACATATCGGAGATCGCGAAACAACTTGAGCTATAAGTAGCATAGTGCAGGAACAGTTTGTGTATGTAGTTCCTTTTGTCTGATTGTGGTGGGGCCATGCAGAAGTCTTCGCCGTTGCACAAATGGGCAGGTCCGTCCGAGAAAGTACCACGACCTCGCAGAATACCAGCGTGAAGTGGAATTATACTTATATACTTCTGTATTTTGTATGGTGAGTATGGTGGCTTGGGCCCACTTTTTTTAAAAGTGGAAGCGCATTTGCATGCCTTACTTAGGTTATTACTTAACATCAGATAAACCGCCTGCTCACTTGTCAAAAAAATGTACACCTTTCTTGCAACCAATAAGTTGACTTGCGCGGTCAATTTGCGCTGCCGTCAGCCAAAACCAAAATGCCCTGCGATCGCTTATTTATAATAAGTTCATTTTCTTTTACTTGTAGATTTATTCCTGTATGGGAAATCCGAGAGTTGTCCCACCCAGTGTCACGAATAAGTGTAACAAAGTTAAAACTCAGGTATGGAACATAATACAAATTTATTTCACTAGCGTAAATCTTGGTTTTATGTAAAAATGTAAATTAACACACTGCTGGGCAAAGGCCTACTCTGTACCCCTGCGGATTGGCGGACTTAAAATATCTTCGAATTTTTTTTTATTATTTCGAAAATATGCTGGTTTTCTCACGATGTTTTCCTACACCGCCGAGCATGTGATAAGTCAGCACCTTAAATTAACAATTTCATTGGTGCCGGCACCGGGGATCGAACTCAGGTTGCTCGAGTATATTGAATTAAAGGCGAGGGCCCGGACACTGAGTTATCACGGTTTTGGCTTTATGTAAGTACCAATAATTAAAAAAACCGTATATTTACTGCCGGGTTTTCACTTCATGTAGAGCTAATAATATGCTATAACATCTGTGAAGACTCTATCGCGCGGAGTAATATAGGATACATTGAAAAAAAAAAGTAAGAATAAAGAAAAAAAGTTGATATACATATTTGAAATATATTAGTTCTTTTACAAATATATAGTTTAAAATCATATTGACTTTTCTGAATTGTACTTTCTTCTTTTTCTTACTTGCGTTGTTGAAATGTTATTAAGTGTTGTGTCCTACATTATTGTAATAAGTTTGCTACCGACTAATAACAAATCTGTTCTCAGTGGGACTTTAAATATTCACATGCTGTATGTTAATTTTTATTTTGTCTTTTGTTCCTGTTTGTCTCCTATATAGTAAATAAATATTCTGTTTTGGCTTTTGCATATGTGTATGTGTTACGAATTCCAGTGCGACAGAATGACGTGCCTCTTCAGAGAGTCCGGTTGGATGTCTGGTGATGCGGTGGACAAGGCGAAGATCGCCTCGCACTTTGATGACTTTAAAAAGGAGTTCCCCGAGTGGAGCGCCGCGGTGGACAGCCTCAAGGCCTCCTGTGTCAACGCGGACCTGCCACCGCAAGGAGTCCACGTGAACTGTCCAGCCTATGACGTCATGCTCTGCGCCTTGACGAGCTTCATCAAGGTACGAGACAGGCTACCTAGTTGATGACTGTATAGCGTTGATTTCTAATGTTAAAGTAAGAAGAAAAGAGCATTTGTCAAACCATTAAACCTCCTTGAGGCCAATAAACAAAGCCCAGCTGTTTTCTGCAAGCAAAGTCCACGCAGAGAATTTTATGTTAAATATCTAGCAATTCACTTTTTCACTTTTCACATTTATCATATTTTCGTCAATCGGTCGTTGGTTGAGATACACTTTTATGTCATTTTAAAAAAAAAAATATGCACATTTTTCCACAACAGGTAAAATTCTGTATAAATAATAAACCCATTGAATATAACACTTTCTTATAAACAATAACATATTCTAATATTAAAGTATCCTTAAACAAAGTAATACTTACTGTCAGGCAAAAATACATTGAATAATGAACCGATTTAATTGAAAACATACAATTGTATAATAAAATTATTTTATTAAGTAATATAAACATAATTATTGTAACGTACCTCTTTGATCCGAGCGTAAGGTACTGTACCATGAGCGAAATGAAGTTTGCACTAAAGTCGTTCTTCTGCCAGAACGTTCAGCCCAGCCAGTGGTCTACGGCCGCCAGCTGCGAGTACGCGCGCCAGTACGCAGCCTCCTGTCCGGTCTGCCCCAACGACTGCTTCGCACCCCTCGTGCCCACCGGCTCCTGCAACTCCTGTCTGCTGCTGCCACGTTACACATGAGACCCGGAATAAACCGCGCTCTTATAAATCATTCTCTTTTCCACCTCCCTTTATACTCTGACCATATATATGTGAATAATTTTAAGGTACACGAAGAAGGGCGAGCGCCCGGACTCTATCTAAAGATTTTATAGTGCTAATCTCTGCACTTAAGATTGAACATTAAAACATGTAGAAAAAGTACGAAAAGATTGTCGCCGCTGTGGGAATCGAACAAATGCTAAATAACAATGTAGAAAGAAGGCGTTAAGATTTCCGTCGCTGTGGCTATCAGCCGTTTAGCTCAGTGGCTAGAGCGTCAGGCCGCGAATGCCGAAGACGTGGGTTCGATTCCCACAGCGGCGACAATCTTTTCGTACTTTTTCTACATGTTTTAAAGTCCTACATTTTCGTACGTAATAGCTCAGTGTCCGAGCGCTCGCCTTTCAATCAATATACTCGAGCAACCTGAGTTCGATCCGCGGTGCCGGCACCAATGAAATTGTTAATTTTAAGTGCCGAATTATCACGTGCTCTGCGGTGAAGCAAAACATCGTGAGAAAACCTGCATATTTTGGAAATAATAACGAAAAAAAAATTTTCGAAGAATTGTGAAGTCCGCCAATCCGCAGTGGGGCCGCGTGGTGGACTATTCCCTGATACCCTCTGAACAAAGGACGCCTTTGCATAGCAGTGGGACATGTATAGGTTGGTACTTTACACGAATAAGTACATGAAAACACATATGGGTTAAGATTCGACAGGGCTTAGACAATAGCACGCCATCCAAGAACTTTTGGAAAGAAAGAACGAAAGAAACATTTATTTGGAACATATAAACAAAATGTGACAGATACTAAATACCTATAATTAAAATGCACCAAAATGGTCTCCACTCAGCTTTATATTATAAAGTTGACAAACTTCGTAAATGCTGATTTTCGGTGGTACCGTGGGGGAGAAAGATAGATGGCTCTACGTAAAAATTGTAAAGAATTTATATAGTACTAGCGGACCGGGCAGACGTTGTCCCGTACAAACAACTTAAATCCGATAACCGATAATAAATAAATAAAAAACGAATTGTGAATCTAAACCATCCAGGGCGCCACCCAAACGCATACAAAAAAATTCATTCAAATCGGTCCAGCTGTTTAGGAGTTCAGTGTCAACACACGTACAGGAGAATTATATACATACAGCGTGTCGTTACCAACGCGACAATAAATGAACACACATATAGAGGATACATTTACATTCTTCAAACATCAACATTTACAGAGTTATTAAATTTTCCAAAACAAACAATTTTAGAACACCCCCTTACGTATAAAACTGTAACGTAAAGTTCATTTGTAAAGGCCACAAAGCATATGAATGGGTTGAATGAATTTAAAAGAGACAAAACATACTGTTAGAAGGAGAGGCTTGTAATGCGACTCTGTGGCGCGAGTTGTATAGGATGTTACAAATTTTGTTTCTTGTTTACTTATTAGTTTGAAAAATATTTTTTTTTAATTATGGATTTGCTTCACGTTAATATTTTTTTATGATTATTGGCAAGTAGTGTCAGACGTGTGTTCATTTATTGTCGCGATGGTAACGACACGCTGTATATAAAGACTAGCTGACCCGGCAAACGTTGTTTTGCCATATAAATTATTATTATAAAAAAATGTTTGGGGTGGACCACGCCTAACATTTAGGGGGATGAAAAATAGATGTTGTCCGATTCTCCACCCTGGCCAATATGCCCACAAAATTTCACAAAAATCGGTGGAGCCGTTTCGGAGGAGTTCAATTACAAACACGGTGACACGAGAATTTTATATATTAGATAGATACATCAAATCTGCAGAAATGTTTGACTACAAATAATAAACGGTACACATAGAATAAAATTATTTTAAATATATCACTAATTTTCTTATGCCATGCTTGTGTTCTGTGTGACAGAAAAATATTTAGTTGTTGTGTTATGAATTTGAGCGAGAAAGTGTGTGTGAGTGTTCGTATTAAATAATAAAGAAAGCCTCAATTGCTGGACTTTTGTTTGGAGACTAAAAATGTTTTTAGTTTAAATATAAAGGATGTGACGTAATTGATTAAATAATGTTACTCCTAATAATCCAGGCAAGGGTATCAGGTTGAGATTGTCATCGGAGCAGAAGTACAAATTTTCAAGCAAATCGGACAGTTAGATGTGCGTGAAATGATCATTGAAAGGTTTTATCACATTGATATAGATACAAGTACAGACAGCGTTTAAAAATACTAAATAAATTTTCGTAAATAAGTATGTAGCGAGACTTTCCGTGTATACAGCAAGTTACTTGATGCCCTTCAAACGTTTAATGCTCCATAAATATCAACCCACGGATACAGGATTTGATGGTGAAATATATTTCTTTATTGTCTTTTACAAGCGAAACATCTGACATGTACCGATTTTATTACCGAGGCCATATATACTGCCAAAGCTTTTGTTTCCTCATTGCCAAATGGACACTTCTCGACGCCTAAGGTCTGGGCATAAAATTGAATAGGCGTAACATAGGAAATTAAAAAAATACGTTCGTGCAGGCCACTGCGGATCGAACTTGTGAACTCACTATAAAGGACCATGTCCCTGTTTGTAGGGTTCACTGAATTGGACTGATTTTTTTTATTATTACTTCTTATGGATAGCAAAGATCGAGGTCAATTACCCACTTAAGAGGTTAAAGGTCGTCATCGTCGTGAAGTCGGATTCCGCACATCGTCCGTATAGATATCTATACATATAATAAAAATATAAGTCATCGTTGTCTGTACATGGAAGATGTTTGAGATCAACACAAAAGAACCCACCAGTTATTGTTAAAATTTTTGTCTTTTTGTCTGTGCGTTAGTACGCACAAACCTCAGAAACGGCTTAACCGATTTGGGTGCAACTTTCACAAATGAATTGTTGCAAGCTTCATAGTGTTAGTTTATTTAAATCGGTTCATGAATAAAAAAGTGTGTGTGTGTGTGTCTACTTATGTACAAGCGTGAGAAGTTATACTTTATTAGCATAACAAGATAAAATTTTTGTCTTTCGCCTTATTCTACGTTTGTAGAAAAAACGATACTAACAATAGAAAAAGGTATTTAATACATTGAAAGTTGTATTATAACGCATTATCTAGTTAAATAAAGTGTATTTAAATACCACAAATAAATATCGTGAATTCAGTTGTCAGTTCTCACGCAAACATATAGAGATGTCTAGCTAACTAAATGTGAAACGTTGCCAAGCGAGCGGACGGCCTCATGTTAAGTGAATACCGCCGCCCATGGACATCTGCTACATCCGAGGGTTCCAGATGCGTTGACAAGCTTTTGAAAATTGTCCAACTTCAGGGTGTCGGTTTTTCGTGACCCTGCGACTCATCATTTTTCTCTAACGCGCCAAAAGAAGCATAACTTCAAAAAGTTATATCAACTTATAGAACCACATTGAAGATTTGTGTCATAAAAGGCTATATAACAGCTTCAGTTGAATTTGATGAAACTACCTATTAAGGTTTGTAAAATGATAATGTTTGTATGTTTATAAAGGTTAAAAAATTTACAGTTTTGATACTCCCAATGTACTTTGACCTTAGAACTAAATCATCTACCATCTGTCATATGTAATAACAGTTTGGCTGCGGCACATAAAATCATAAACCAATCTTCTGGTGGGGCGGCGGCGGGTCGAATTTGGCCCTCAACGATATTTCCGCCAGTGCGTGGCGGTTCTTTCTCGACTCACCAGCACTGGGTAGATTAAAATGCTATAATTTTACGAAAACCTATACTATATACAATTTTTTTTACTATTAGAATGACCTGGAACCCAACTTCCTCAGGTTCGATTTGCCCCTGGAATTGCTAAACAGAAAAAGAGACAAGAACCAGGGAAAGTGGTGGGATATTGAACTGAACTGCACTAGAAAATATTTTTAGTAGTGATGGGACGGACAAAAATAAGAGGATATCTATACTTAATATAAGCTGGCCCGCGCTACTTCGACTGCGCCAAATCTTACCGGGTCCATAATTATCTTTCGACTCTTAACATAACGCCATCTATTGGGTACTTACTCAATCTAGTCGATAAATTTACCTTACACCGTAATCTGTTAAAATGTTATGGACTAAAATTGGTTGGATGTTGTATAGCTTTTTGGATAGCATTTCGCTCTTTTGCTTCTATTTTAACATTTAGCACCGGTGCTAAATGTTTTAATCATTTCAGGTTTTATACACGTTAACAGACTTGATTAATGATTGCATCAGCTGATCTAAATAGTATATAATAAAGAATAATATATGTATATTAGTATATGGACCACTAAACTATAAAAAAGATCAACTTCAAAATAGATGCAAACGAGCGAAATGCTATCCAAAAAGTTATACAACATCATGTGCAAAGTTCCATTCCTACGCCATTTAAGTTATTATTGTAAAGTATAATTACAGAAGCTTAGAGATATGTAAATATATGATAAGGTCACCGAATGTCAGACATACAAACTTACTACGGCTCATCCCGAACTGTTACGACTAAGCTACACTAATGAAACTAAAACTACATCTGATATAAACATGCAATATCAGTCAATTACGAATTTCTTGCGAGTTCACGTTAAAAATTTTCCATCGAGGCGCTGGCCACGTAACTTTATTGAACGGCAAGGCATTCCCCACCTTGCCCCATCGGCCCACACTCCTCGGAGATACGCATGCGTGGTTGCCAGGCATGCGCTAGCTGTGACATCTGTCAAAAGCGCCCAGTGCCATCCTCGGCCCCTGACGTCACTGGAGAACCTTTCGGGAAATTTGCTCGATTGTTCGCTGGGAAGATCATGTAAGCCGCAGGTCAGTATACAGTATACTTATTTAGCTAATCACGTCTCAGACCTTAGTAGAAATATCACACATGAAAAGTAAAGTCTCGCAGCGATTTCACTGTAATTGCGTGTATGCTTATTTCGGCTGAAAACAAATTAACACTAGAAAAAGAAAACACGAAATATCTATTTAGATTTCTTATGTTGTGAAAAATAAACTTATATTTTCAGTTTGATTTTACATTAGTTGATGTAGTACACATGGTGTGAGAATATCATCCAATATTGCGCTTGCCTGGTGACCTTTAGTCCTAATTGAATGATCTTCATCTTTGACTTCATCTCTATTTTTAACGTGGGTGATCGAATCCAAGGTCATTTCTTATGTATTTTCTAGGATACCCTACAATATGACCCCCGATTATGAATGGTTTTTCTTTAAGGAGATTGTTTCGCGTAATTGGGCAAAACAAGTCAAGCTTTTTGTAATTATTTACTTTATTTTACTTTTACTCGTCTTATTTTGTAATGAGTAGTAATTCTTGTCAACAATGCCACTCATAGAACGATCGATTCAAGGTATATTCGATACGTTTTATCTTTAATCGATATGGTTACAATGTGGTTATAATTAGACGCATTAAAGTGCCAATAAAATTTTAATGAAATATATACATTTATTGTGCAAGTACCTTAAATGTGCTAAAGAAATTAGACGCAATAGAAAGGATCTGCAAGATCTACCTTACACTATAAAGGTTCCGATTGGATGTAAGTTATGAATATAAGCATCGTAATTTGAACTGCATAAACCATTTCTTTCAATATTGCAGTCAGCTTTATCTAACATTCGTTTTAAAACTTTTTGAAACCGGTTTTTACGGTGTATTTTGTATTCGTGATTGGATTTTTTCCATTGATAAAGAATGTAAAGAATAATTATATTGATGCAATAATAATCCCTTTTATTACGATATTTTATGTTACTGTATCTTGATTGTTACAAAGTAACATTTCTGCGCGTCGGTCGCGTGATTGAAGCAATTCTTCATAAGGAAACTTTCATAACCTCTTTATTTCCTTAAGACACGTCTTCATACCCCCTTAAATTAAAATACGAATACGACATTCTATATATCGTGTAAGCTTTCATTACTATTTGACGAAGGCTTATTGAAATTTTATTTTATGTTGTAATTAATGTTGGTATAATTCGGATAAACTTATTTTATAACATTTAAAAACTAGTGTTATAATATTATACACATAAAAATATGTTTGTAAACACTTTTTTCCCGTGAACAAAGTGAAAATATGGCAACGAAAGCGATTCCATCTTAATCGAAATTAACATAACTTCATTTGCATTCAAGCAATTCGTTTAGCGTCGGAACGTTATTATGAGTTTGACGTCTCGTTAATTCCTCCGGCGTTTAACCTAATTCCTGAACGGAGGGAGATTTTATGCTTTTCTTTATTTTTTTTACGTTTTTATGTTTTTATTACAACTGCGCTTGCCAATTTCTACAGAGGCGAATAATGGAAACGCAAGCTTTAGAGTTGAAACACTAGGTTTTTTTATATATAGGATTAAGGCTATGTGAAAAAAGAAATAAAAAAAAACGAATAATCATTTCAACGTTTTGTTTATTTACTAAAAATATTTCAATTTCGAAAGCTTGATATTACTATTATGATATTACTCAAAAGCTATCTACTATTCTTGGAACTATAGAGTCGTGATAGCTCAGAGTACGGACGCTCGCCTTTAATTCATTATAGTGCAGCCCGAGTTCGATCCCCGGTGCCGGCACCGAAGAAATTGTTAATTTTGAGTGCTGACTTATCACGTGCTCAGCGGTTAAGGAAAACATCCTGCATATTTTCGAAATAATAACAAAAACAGGCTGTTAGTTTACTTTTTCTTTTCTATTAGAACTATCTTATGTGTAGTGTTGAGTATCTGCAAATAAGAAAAAAAAACATGAGACAAACGATGAAATATAACGATGAAATTAAATCAACAATAAATAAATTGTGACAAAACACGTATATTGAATAACATTAATAGTATGAACCTTATCATTATCAATAATCGTGTGGTTATCACGGAATACTGATAACGCTTGTCTACATTATTGTATACACGTAAAATTGTCCGTGTGTTCTCTTAATGCGATCCGGACGGAAACGTCACAAGAAATCTTATGTAATTTTGATTCCATTGTAGCCATTGGTTGGGCATTGTTTTGCAGATAAAAAAAATTCTATCATACTGCTTGTTTATTTTGGTGCACAGTAGTGTTATGCATTCAATGTTGTAGGCATCAAAAGTAAATCAATTGATTTCTCTCGGGATTAAATTAGTGGTGTATGACGTCGAAAATTTCTATTCTTATATTCCATAACAAGTCACCAATTTTGATGTGAGAAATTTGCGGATTTTTAAAGAGCCCCGTGCTATGCACCGTAATGAACATTTTAAATGAATTTAGTAAGACATTTTAAGGTATGTTCTTTATTATAATAACAACTTGTCGCTTCATTCAAATTTTTCCTACAGTATGGATTAATGTTTAGGTCAAAGTTACATTGATTTTAAGCCAAATATTCAAGTATTGAGATAATTATCAAAAATCCCGTTTGAAATAAATACCTAACAAAAGTATTTTTAGTATTTTTCAGTTACGAAGGAAAAAACAAATTTCGGGTTAGTTAAGTTTGGTTGATATAATTATAAGTTCATTTTGTTTCAGTTTTCATCAAATGTTTAGCTTAGTTAGTTTATATTAGAAATAGTCGCTTTTATTTTGTAGTTTGAGGTTTAGTATTCAGTTAGCGGATAGATACTTCGCGTATTTTCAATGCTTATGTTTGTAAGCGACGCGTGACGAAAATACTTCAGGTACGAATGTCAATTCGTACCTCAAATATTTTCGTTCCAATGTCGATAATAAACTTATGTGTAGGCAGATCGTCAATAATAAAATAGTTCGAAACGGAAAGGAAATAGAAGAAAACATTCTTAACAGATTTACACGTCTGAAAATTATTTTTACCACCAAATAAAAATAATTAAGAAAATAAACGTATACAATTAAAGTCATTGTTTCAATTTACTTGATCACATCACTTAAGACAATATTGATCAGAAAATCTTATATGGAAATCTAGGTCGTGTTAAGGGCGTAATTATCGACGTTCCTAAAGTTACAACCTCTGGTCGTTATAGCATATAACCTTCATATAAATTTTATCGTCTTTTCAGATTGAGAAATAATTTAAATACTGGTAAAATCACATGAGTAGTCGTAAAACGCCTAAACTATGATCTGCAGTCACATTTTAACTGAATGTTGAAAAACTTATTCTGCAGAAGGGCCACAGAACACTATCAACATGTTCGAGGGCGCTGTCGCCGGCATTTTGAACCGGCTGTTGGGCAAATACGTGCAGGACCTTGACACGGAAAATCTTAATGTGGGCATCTTCTCCGGGAATGTGAATCTAACGGACCTTAAGCTTAAACCGGAGGCTCTGGTGAGATATATCCGAATATTCCTCTTCCTCTTTTTTAACATTGCCCTTACTTTAGGATAACATTATCCTGTGTTGTACGGACGTTTTACAAACACAAATTTCACGCGGACAAACAGCCAGATGCGAAACAACTATCTGTGGTTCACACAAATAGTTGTCCCGTGTGGGAATCGAACCCACGACCCTTTACGCCGAAGCCAATACCTTGGCAACTACGCCACGGAGTCATCAAAATATAACGAAAACAGTATAGTCCTTAGTAAAAATGTTATTTATTAAGAATACTTAGGTTGATTAAGGACTCTAAGAAGAGTCTTGTAGAAAGTAGAGAAATTAAAATTTGTAGAAAAAGTACGACTGAGAAAAAGTCGTCGGTGTGGCAATCAGCCGCTTAGCAGGCAAGCAATCCCGAAGACGTTCGATTCCCACAGCGGCGACAATGTTTTCGTAAATTTTCCACAAATTTTAATGTTTGATCTTAAGTGCAGAGATTAGCACTACAAAAATTTGAATAATACGTTAACATTTACATTTAGTTACATTACATTTAGTTCTCTTTGATTTTCAACAGTATGAACTGGACCTCCCGATCGATGTGAAAATCGGTACCGTCGGCCGTATCAGCCTTCAGATACCATGGTCCGGACTATACACCAATCCCGTAGTCTTCAACATCGAGGATGTCCTGTTGCTGGTCGGTCCAGCCATCTCCAATAGTTACTTCGACCCCGAAAGGGAGAGGAGACTCACGAGGGCTGCCAAGAGAAAGATCTTGCAGGACTTAGAAGCGGAGAGTGAGATTCTGAAAGGCCCGCAGAACTTTTTTGAGAGCCTCTTCACAGCGATTGTGAATAACATACAGATATACGTGAGAAATGTTCACGTAAGGTACGAGGACTCTATTAGTTCCAAAGACGGACCACTGGCATGTGGTCTCTGCTTACAGAGTCTATCTATAGAGACTACAAACAGGTATTTTTTTTATATTTATGTCAATCAATCAATCATCAATCAGCCTTTTGCAGTCCACTGCTGGACATAGGCCTCCCCAAGAGTACGCCACAGAGTACGATCTTCCGCTTTCCTAATCCAGCCACTACCAGCGACCTTTCTCAGGTCATCGGTCCACCTGGTAGGGGGGCGTCCGACACTACGTTTTCCGAGACGTGGTCTCCATTCGAGAACCTGTCTGCTCCAGCGCTCATCGGTTCTACGACAGATGTGGCCAGCCCACTGCCACTTCAGCTTGCTACACTTACGGACTATATCCACGACTTTGGTCCTCTGCCGGATAATTTCGTTTCGGATTTTATCCTTTAGCGAAATACCGAGCATTGATCTTTCCATAGCCCGCTGAGCGACATTCGGTGGGCCAGCCTCACCGTCATGTTCCACGTCTCGGCCCCGTATGTCATGACTGGCAGGACGCACTGATTGTAGACCCTGCTTTTTTTGTATATGTATTTATGTAAGACGATTAATTATTGCGAGTTTAGCATGATAGACATTACAAAACTTGAGAAGAATTGTTTCTTTAAATAACTACAATTTAACATTTTTTTAAATATTCACCGATCTATAAGTCGTCTAACAACCAACTCATCACACGATGGTGCCAAAAACTCACTGGTTGCATTTTGTTTCTGTTGAAATTGTTATAAAATCTAAATAAAATCAGTAGTAGCATCAAATTAAAAGCAAAAATATTTTATTTATATATTTAGGATAGGTTAAAGTAAATTCATTCACAGGTTGTAATTAAATAGTAAGGTTACTGTAGACTTAAGTTATTGGCACCTGTTGTGTAATGGTTATTGATGATGTTTATTCCACTACACCAGCAAATGGAAGCCATCGGTGACACCAGTAAATGCCTCGACTGTTTATCAAATGATGCGCATCGAATCCCTCTCCCTGTACTGGAATCCAACTGCCACAGCCTTGGATGACAATGAGACGGCGCATATAACGCCAATGCAGTATTACAACTGGAAGCACTACATGCTAACAGGACTTAACAAGTTCTCAATGCACCACGAGGATTTCGAGTTTTGTAAGCACCTAAATTTGCCTTTTGGCTTTAATAATGCTCCTCAACGATACCTGTACTATGCGATATATATTTATTACTGTTCCACCGAAAGTTTGAGAGTCTGTTTGTAATTTTTCTTTTTCTCAACTTAGCTTTTCAATTTGTACTGTTCCAATATTTCACTTAAGTAATTATTTTATACAATTCTGTATTAATACAATGACTTATTTTACAGTGCTAAAGCCCGTCACTTGCAAGGTGAAAGTCTTAATCAACAGGTCTGGTGAAGCTAGAGTGCCGAGGCTTCTTTTAGATGCAGTATTGCAGGATAGTGCGCTGCAATTGTCACGTCGGCAGTATTTATCGATTGACAATTTGTTATCTTCGTTCTCACGAATAAAACTAAACAGGTTAGATCCAACGTCAGTAATTAATTTAAATCCTTACTAATGTTATAAAGGCGACAGTTTGTATGTTACTCTTTCACGCAAATACTACTGAATGGATTTTAATGAAACTTTACAATAATGTCGCTTATACATCAGAATAAGACATAGGCTATAATTTATATACATATTTAATGTATATATCTGTCTGAATGTTACGCCTTCAGCCTATTCTACGCAGACGTAGTCGCAGGCAGCAGCTAGTACAATATAATGTAATGTTGTATTAAAGTGGAAAAGTCAAAACAAAGGTGTAATTAAGTGTATATGAAAAATAATACATCCTGATTTAAGAAGTACTAACATAAAATATGTCCTGTCTGTAACTTTGTGGCGTATTAAATTGTAATATTTTATAACAATTCTAAATATTTCACAGGAAATACCGTCACCTCCATCCCGGTGTGCCCGTGTCGAAGGACGTGAAAAAGTGGTGGCGCTACGCTTATAATGTGGTGGTCGAACAGCGAGTCAGGCCCTATACTTGGAATGCCATCAAAAAGCACAGAGAGAACTACAATGCGTACAAACAGACATACAAGAGCACACTTAGAAGTCCCAACGATATAGAACTGAAGTTGGATCTTCAAAAGTGTGAAGACAATCTCCCGATAATATCAGTGGTGATCGCGAGAGAGCAGGCTAAATTTGAAGTAAGAACTTGATTTATTTTCTATCAAAACAAATTTATGCGATTGCTTTTATAATATATTAATAATAATATATTGCAAATACAAAACACAATGATCACAGTTTTGTATTATTTTAGTTTAGATAATGTTTTGTCACTTCACAACAATGTCGAAAGAAAAACTAATCTTGCACCAATCTTACTATATCGAATAAACTGTCAACGATCCAACTCCCGTTGTGTTATTAAAATATTAAACAACTGTTTTTTTTTAATTCATAAGTAAGTCATGATAATCGTAGGTAACACTCGATGATTGATAGGATTTTTTAAAAACGAAAATTTTGGCTGAGCTGTTTATTTGTATTCGTAACCTACAACCCTAGGTTGTAAAACATACTAAATAAAAATCTCTGTGGCATTCATCAATAACTTTCATTTCAGATCTATTCAAAGTCACTATTTTACATTGATCAATATCGTATATCTTGGCAAAATTGTGCCATAAGAAAAGCTTACTACGCGTGTTCACTTCTTAGGTATTATAAGCAAAATCCTTTTTTATCAATTTCAGTTACTCTCACAAGAACCGGACCGAATCGAAGTGGTGGAGACTGAATTCGACTGGTGGAAGCCCGCTAGTTCCGAGGTAGAGAGCGACTCCGACGCAGAAAGCAAGGCGCAGGTGGAGCTTTGCGTGAAGACCGAAAGGAGCCGGAGCCTTTGGAGCCATCTCTCGAGCCCCGAAAAGAGGAGGGTCTGCGAACTGATAGGATACGTCGAAGGGGCACCGAAACAAGACAAATCCAAGCAGTATATAGGTAATTTTAATAAATTCTTCGCAAACATCCAAATTCTTGTGGGATAAGTTATAAATTTTTGCTTTATTACTTAATTAAAATTCATAATTAACTCGAATTTTTAATAGGGATAAAAATATACGTTAAATAGTCTTTGGGCTTTTCTTTTAGTTCTTGAAGCGTAAGTTAAATTCTGAGAAAATTTCTATTTGAACATATTAACACAATTACGCGCACATTAAAGCAGCATTCTTGTAACACACAGAACACAAATTAAATTTGACTCTGGCGAACTGCTCGTTGACATTGATGAACAGAAGCAAGGAGGTATTGGTGGTGACTTTGACCCAGTTCCTCGCCTCGTTGGAAACTCGACCGTCAGCGAAGGCCTACAAGGTTTGTCTACTTTGTCCTTTTTTAATAAAACTTGTAAATTAAAAAAAGGACATTTTTCCCTTCCGAATCTACGCACATACTAAATTTCATGAAAATCGCTGGAGCCGTTTCCGAGATTCCGATTATAAATATGAGAATTGCTCGTTTAAAGGATAAGATTGTAGACAAAATCAAAAGTCAGCGTAAAGATCTTATCCTTACGTACATACATATAAACATAGTTACATAGACAGTAAGTTAATGATAGCATGTTAAAAGAGTTCTATTACCATTTTTAATTCTTTGTTAAGTTAAAATAAAGTTTGAGAAATACCCTTCTAACATTCGACAGCTCTCCGCCCGGGCGGAGAGTATGGTGATTGAAGGGGCCACTTCGGACGGTGATCTCGTGCCGCTGTTGACCACCGAAAGGGGAAGCGCCCTGACTGGTGCCAACCTACTGGCGGTAGACTTCGAAAGGAACCCATGCAACAGCGAGGCGGACTACGGCCTCAGCTGGCTGATGGAGTCTGTGGAGGTGCTGTATATCGAAGTGAGTCTTTTCTTATCACTACATAGTATAAAACAAAGTCGTCCCGCTGTTTGTCTGTCCCTAGGTATCCTTATATCTTTTAAACTACGCAACGGATCTTGATGCGGTTTTTTAATAGATAGAGTGATTCAAGAGGAAGGTTTATATGTATAATACATTGCACCCGTGCGAAGCCGGGGCGGGTCGCTAGTTGTAACATAATATGTATTGTTCATGTCGGTACAATCACACGATGTTTACGGCACGTACCCTCATTTATGGACCAGTCGATAAATAGCGGTTGTACTGTTCGCGTGTCCACTAATAAAAATATAGTATATTACAGTAGCGACGAGTTGTTTTTTGTGTTAATAATTGATTAATTGAAAGTTTAATTTACGCGTCAAAATGTATATATTCAGTAGTCTTCGATTGCAAAACTGACGAGTGGAAAATAATTATTAAATTTCTTCGTGGCAAATGAAATCAATGAAGTTCCGACCTACAAGGCACGAAAAGACGAACCAATTTTATTGAATGGCTTCTCACAGGACTCCTATCGCCGGCAGTCAAGCGTACTCAAGTGGGATAAGCATAAATACGGAAGAGCAACACTCATTTGTCATTACCATAATGTATGCCTAACAAACAATTAAATGATTTCGGGTTTTTTTGTGAAGTAATAACTTTCGTGAAGTATTTAATGGTGTTTTTTTTTTAACTCAGCTACTGACGGGAGCTGAAGACCCAAACAATGTCTTTATCCAATTGTCTTTGGACGTATTATACACTACATTAGCAACTGCATCTTCCAGCTCTATCTATTTATCATCTATTTATTTAAAATGGTTCTCGAGAAAGATCCGTAATAATATTTTCTGTTTCCCAGCACGCGTTCACGGAACTTATAAACTTCTTCCAAACCCACTCTATGACGTCTGAAGATTTGGCGGAGGAGTTGTCTCTGGTGGTGGAACGGGCCGGTGGGGTCGGCCGCTCGGTCCTCGCTTACGCCATCAGCAGGCGAAAGGTGTTCCAGGTCAATGTGGACTTGAAAGGTCCTTGCGTCGTCGTTCCCGAGCACGGTTGCGTTCATAAGTGAGCTTCGACCTTTCTGTTTAATTTATTTATATTCCTTCTATGAATAAAAGTTACGTAACGATAATTTCCATTAAAACACGACAGTTTTATAAAAGTTGGTAAATGCACAGGCGTTTCACCTGATGTTAAGTGATCTCCGCCGCCCATGGACATCTACAATGCGTTGCCAACATTAAAATTCCGCTCCCATGGACAATGCGTGCCAACATTAAAAAAGTGTTTATCAGTTACCTCACTTACTAGACGCAACGAAAATGTATGACACTTCCACTTCACGCCGGTCTTCTGTGAGGCCCCGGTACCTCTCCAGTGCCTGACTTTTCGTGTAAAAGCCAAAGCTGCTTCACAAAGCATTAGGTAGAGCCACGGCTCTACCACAGAAAAAAAACGTGCGGTCGTATTAACTAACGGTCTTATAGACGAGAGTTTTCGTATATCTACTCAAAAGCGTATACATCATCTTTTTGTATGTCGCAGCATAAGTATTTTGAAAGCGGAAACGAATCTAAATGAATTAATGATTATCATTATCAATATTCTAATTAAATGTAACCTTACAGATCAGGTCGCGTGATGATCCTGGACGTGAGCCGCGTGTTGGTGAAATCGGACTTACAGCCGTCGAACCTTGTACTCGAGGACGCGACCTGTATGGAGCTTGAGGAGAAACTCTACGACCGACTACATGCTGAGTGTTCATATCAAGTGAGAGTCGCTTCTTAAGTCTCAAAACCTTTTTTGAATGTTCAGCTTTTGCTTTAGCATAGTTCAAGGGGTCGATTGCCTCATAATACAAGCTTGCGGGGCCATCTAAAATTTTCTTATCTATGATAATTTCTTATATTTACGCGAATAGTTCACATTACTAAATGACTCTACTTTTACTAGGTCTACTTTAGATATCAGAAATACGTCTGCAGGTTTAACTATTTTTTCTTAGTCATTCATTAAACTTATGTATGTTCTTTAAAAAAAAAAATCATTTTACTTTTTACTTTAGACTATATTTTATGGCTGTTTTTTATGATTTTGAGACAGCGAGTATATTGTTAGTGGCTTATGCTTTAAATCAATTATTAAAACAGTGTTTTTTAACGGGTGTATTGACGCGAAAGCCATTAAGATTGATAGCAGTTACCTTGTAAACGGTGTTTAAGTCACCATAAACTCACCTCCAACAATCATTTACTGTTTGTTATATATTAAGTTCTAACATCGGCTTAATGTATTAGAGGAATCTAAATGCTTGTCTAATACCAAGGACTGTCATGATTTTAATGATTATCATTATTAGGTTCTGTTCTGCGATTGGAACGAGCCGTGGCGCGATTCCCGCAAGCATGCCGATTCCGAGCTGCATCTCGTGCCCAAGGTCAAAGCTCAACTGGTCTTCTCCAGTAGCATCAAGAAGGATTACAAATTGTTGCCAAGGTAAACAATTATATAGCCATAAGTTACACTACTACTACAGTAATACATACGACAATACATCATTAAGTTTTAATGTAATGAAATTTATCCGCGTGCTTGCTTATTTTTAACAAATATAAATATCCTATTGTCAGCAGAGTGTAAAAGCTTACAAGATGTTTTGTTATTTTATGAAAAAAATATAAATAAATTTATTCATTCTCGATTTTAATACGATTTAGCAAAATTTGTTACATTTTGTGACGAGGACGTGACAAAGGGATGATTTAATTAGAGATTTTCTTGATGTAGGCGGCGTATCTCAGTTTATCAAAATTCATAACTTTGTGTCCGATCGATAAAATATTAAACTATCGGTTGAGAAGTCCTAATAAAGAATATATGTTTCGAATAAAAAACGTTATATCAAGAAGATTTTAGTTAATATTTGTAATTATGGTTTTAATAGTATTCATATATTTATTAGTACCTATTCATACATTAGCCAAATACCATACATGAATACTAATAGTATTCATGTATGGTATTTGGCTTACGAAAGTTATTAAAAGTTATGTAAACATTTAAATTTTCTCGTGTTTCTTTTTCAGATATAAGCTGAACATCTCTCTCTCAAGCTTGAAACTAAATCTGTCGGATCGTATAATTGGTCACCTTCTCGACTTCTGTGACAACCTTCCCGTACCTGTTCCTAACACGGTGCCAGTTTCCTTTATGGACTCCGGGGATTACGTCGAAGAGTTGGAGGACCCGGAGCTGGTAGAAACGCTGGTACTAGACCGCGTTTCTGCAGACCCCGGCTACAATGAACTCGTGAAGCTAAGGCAGAAGATAGTGGCTGCTTACCTAAGTAGAAACAGGTAAGTATTGTAAATATAGTTCATAATCAATTCTAATTACACCGACAATCAGATCAACTTGTTTTATTGTTATAAGCGATATTTTACATGAAATCTCCGAAGATCCGATTTTTTTATTTAATTTGAAAATTATACAACCAGTGTCAAACAATTATTGCCTTTAAAACCTCAATCTTATTGCTTGAGGCTTAGTTCTCATTAAAAAAAATAACTAGTATTTCAATGGAAAAACGAATAATTGAAATGACACAAACATAAATTGGTTTTTGTTTCAAGATATTTTTAATCTTACATGCTAACATTAAATACAGGAATTTGTATCTACCATTAAGTATTGCTTAATGTATTATTTCGTGTTTTTAATATGTGTAGAGTAGGTGGTAAAGGGCCATATGGATACATCGGCCACTTACAATTCCAAAGATCTTGCAATAATTTAATCTAATTTAAAAAAAAAACCCCAGCGTCAACTGGTCCAGCAATTTTTACCCACAAAGAGTTCCACAAACTGTGGTAGAGGGATGCAACAGCTGTTGCACGAATGGGCAGGTCCGTCAGAGTAAGTAGAACATCACAGAAGACCGACGTGAAGAGGACGTGTCATACTTCTGCGTTTCTTCTGGTGAGTGGTAGCCGGGGCCCACTTTATTAAATGACCACAACGCATGTGCAACCCTACGGGTGTTGCAAATGTTCATGGGCGGCGGGTATCACTTAACATCAGGTGAACCGCCCCATCACATAAAAAATGCAGGGCATCCGAGACGAAGCACGACCACACGGGCGTGGTGACCACCGCGCCTCCAGAGAGCGCAATCAGCGAGTTGAGCGACGACGACGTCGAGGAGTACGCACGCTCCGTCGACCTTCCAGGCTTCGACGACAACGTCTCCCCAAGCAACACGATCGGCACTCTGATGCGATTCGTCATTGGTGAGCTCACCGGTTATGTTGACGACCCGATTGGCGTGGGGGGTAGTGCACGGGCCTCGTTGCGCCAGATGGTGTGGCGATCCCCGCTACTGGAGAAATGTTTTGTAGTGAACATGGTGTTTTTCCAGTGTCTGGGTGTTTATGTATTTATAATGTGTTTATTTACAAGAGAAAACTATGTTTAAGTATGTTTATCAGTTATTTAGTACCCATAGTACAAGCGTTGCTTAGTTTGAGACCAGAGAACGTTGTGTAAAATGTCTTCTAAGTGTTAAAAATAATCATAATGTTCCACGCCGGCGCAAGTGGACAGCTCTTGATAGTAAAGTCCATTTCAAAAGACTTATTGTTCGTTACACCAGAGCAGCTGAGTTCGGATTACAGCTGTAAGTTATGAATTGTAGTGCTCAATGAATTGCTACAGTGGGCAGGTTCCGCAATGGAGCTGCATGATGTAATATCCCCCAATATCCTGCGTAAACAAATGGCCTTTTCCAAACTAAGGCACGTACATATGTGTATACGCTTTACTTTAGTTAGTGATAGTCCTAAGTCGAAGTTTACTATTCAATTGTTTCGAACTCTATAATGTACATACTGCCTGAGTTTGAATATACGGAGTGGAACAAAGAAAAAAACTCTACGTCTATTATGCAAAGGTTGACGTTACAAAACACCTTGAATACAGAACGAATCAAAGATGTCGAATTCTTAATTAAGATTTAGCATCGAAATAATAGGAATTTGGATTATATTTACAAACACCAGCAGTTTAAAACTTTTTATGATCAATTAGTTTTTGCTTGCATATTATCCCACAATGACGGTAAGTGGTGAATCAACAGATGCAAAGATGCGGTTAAGAGGCGTACCCAAAACCACATCAAAAACCTTTCCACATGTTCAACAGGTGAGATAGTAATAAACTTGAGCCGCTCCAGCGATCAAGTTGATCGCCCATATATCATGCTGAGCGTCACTAAAGTTTGCCTGGACGTGGCACTGATGGAATTCGGACCGGCTGTCCAACTATCGGTGGACCAGGCACTCCTCACTGACAAGCAACACCACAGCAGCACCGGCCAGTACTTAGAGCTGTTGACAAGTTCCGGAGATCTATTCAACTTGTTGTATAGGAAGGTGATTTGAGATTTTTATCATAGAAATAGTCATTATATATGTAGCTTTTATTTTTAGAAAATTATCACGATTTTTTGGATAAAAATAACATAAGTTATGGCAGATACCATAATTTTTAATCGTATGCAGAGAGCCGTGATAGCTCAGTGTCCGGGCGCTCGCCTTTAATTCAATATACTCGAGCAACCTGAGTTCGATCCCCGGTGCCGGCACCAATGAAGTTTTTAACTTTAAGTGCTGACTTACACGTCATGAAGGAAAACATCCTGCATATTTTCGAAATATAACAAAAAAATAATATATTTCGAAAATATGTGAAGTAGACGTGATCAGCGTGGTGGACTAACTACCCTCTGTAAAAGGAGGCCTTGGGGACATTTTTTTAGTTATGCAGTACTAGTGATTTGATATCAAAGGTATTCTAGCTTCGTCCACTAATTTATTGCGCATAACAATCTACCAAACTAGATGGAGTGGCACGGTTGCCCTTTTCGAGGTTTGTCATTAACAATATTAGGATATTCCACCGCAGTTACCACCAGGAGCATTGATAGTTAACACAAGACAATTCGACAAATAAAAACATCGCCGTACGTTACATCAATTGTATTTAGGACCACTATATAAAGCCGTGCTGTCGAATTCTATTTTGACAATGTCAGCTGCTGTTAGAAGATGCTAGGTATTTGCTTCTCTCGCCAGGTGCGCGCCAACTGCCCAGAGTTTCGGTCGCACTTCCATAGCGTTGAGCAGGCGCTGGTGGCAGACGCCGGCCAGATGACCCTGCTGTTGCACGCCGACGCCCTGCGCACCGTTGTCAAATATCTGCAGTATCTGACTGACAAGTGAGTAACTATTGAACTCTCAATTCAATTATCATGTACGTTCTTTTATGTTCTCACTTGTAACTTTAACCGCGTTTGATGAATTTTCTTGAATTAAAATTTTGCAAAGACGTACTTGTCAAATTGCTTACGATTAACAAGCAATTTGAGAAGTACGTCGATCGACGAGAATATATGAGTAGGTAGTTCTATGGAAACTTAAAGTATATAAAAGTTATTGCAAGATAATGAATTACCCGCCGGCAAATTGCCTGATTCTGTACAGGATTCAGAGCAGGCATGCCTTAAACTTGAAGAAGACGGTGCTGCCAAAAGCGGAGTCCCTCTGGGATTACCTCATGAAACCGGAGGCTGACCCACCTGTACCTCCTGGTGCCACTAAATTCAGCTACTCCGTAAGGTATTGTAAAGATTAGGTACCATTTAAAAATTTCGTATATACATGTACATTTTTATATACCTATAATTTAAAATAAGTCATCTCGTCATTAGAATTAATACCACACCGTAACTTTTTTCATTCGGAATATTCCAAGCAAGTAGTCTCTGGCAGATAGAATAGGCCTAAAGTATCCATCCTCTTTATGTCGAACACGGCGGAAAATAGGGGACACTAGGTTCTTGGACGATAAAAAGTGGCCTAGTGTTGCAGCGTGGGGATTGGGGAGGGGCGTAAACTTCCCCAAAAGTGCTTACTGATGTGCTGACGTAATACGGAACGCCACTATAGGGTTCTGTAAGAGATCCCGGAACTCCTTACTCCCAATACTTTTCGAGGATTGCCAGCGAGAGGATTTCAGTGGTTAAACCCCAAATGATTCTGATTTCCCCTGATACAAATAAAAGGTAGCTATCAGTTACCAAGCTAATGCATCTGGAAGTTAACAGCAAGTACTCTTGTCATCTTGTCCTCTCTGTTTTTGTTCTTTACAATATCTTTTTCGACTGTGAAGCTGTCTTCATTTTCATAGATATCATAATCAATGAAAGTTTAATTTTTTGAATAGTTCATTACATAATAGTTTTATTTAAAACATTTTGTTAAACATGTTTTAAATACATCTTAAACATTGGTTAATGTTGTTTGAATCAAAAGTTTTGTCGATTCATAGTTTTCAAATTTTTTAATTGCTATTTTCTGTTTTAATTACCTTAGGGCAACGGCCGTCACTATACGCCTTTGTCACTTGGATTGCTCGCTAGTGGAGATCCGGCTCACAGATCTTGAGAGTGACTGCGTGTTTCGTGCCAACGACCGCATGATCTTCAAGCTGTACCTCGGATCCCTGCATCTTGACGACCTGTCAGAGAATACGCTCTACCCCAAGGTGTGCATTCCTTTGCCACGTATTTATTGTGTTTGAATTTTTAGTTTTTTCATTTAATCTACCTATACACTTGTTTTTAAGTTGTGTTGCGGATGCATATTAAGAGAAGACGCAGATTCTAATCTCGCAGCGTCGAAAGTTTTTGTTCGTTTACCAACAAACATTTAAAATTTAAAGAGTTTCCGATTCAAGTGTTGGTGTTGGTTGGTTTTGAAAAGACCCTGTGCACATACCAAATTTACAATTATAACCAGATTGAATAATTTTGCCTTTACAACCTGGATTGATTTTCTTATCCTGATTGATTTTCTATTGAATATGGAAGTGGAATTGACCAAAGGGATGTGACTAAATAGGGGCGTCGTTATTAAATTTTGTGCCTCAGTTTTGGGCGTTAGATTTTTCATTTACTCACAACGTTCAACAGTTAGTGTGGCCGGACGAGGACAAGGTGCTTGAAGTGAAATACGTTCGCGCCGCGACTCGCTTAAGGGCACACGCGCACGCCGAACTGCGTATCTACTTGGGCCGCCTGCACGTCGTTATGTTCTGCTCGCTGCTGCACCATTTGCAGGTAGGAACACATTTTCCCAATCTTTGATCAGTAGCAAATATATAACTGACTCTTAATAATAACTTGGTAATCCATATATAGAATAACGCACGGTAGGTTTCGACCTTTAGCCAGCGTCTGGACCCAGCTGTACACTCAGTGTCTGCTCGCTTTTGAATTATACTCGAGCAACCTGACTTCAAAGCACTTATCACGTTTTCAACTATGCAGGAAAAAATCGTCAGGAAACATGCATATTTTCGATATAATAACAAGAAAAGAAATTATAAATTCGAAGATAAGTTAAGTCTCCTAATCCGCAGCGGGTTTGTGTGGTGTACCGTGCCCTAATACCTTCTTTACAGAACAGGCATTTGCCCAGTAACAATTGGAGCTCCACTATCCGGGACTCTGTCGCCATTTCCAAAAAGTGAAAATAATATAACGCACTTACGAAGTTCATATTTTTCAGCAATTCGCGGAGCCCCTGGTGGCTGGTCCAGCGGCGGCCGAGGCTGCTGCAGCTGCCGAGCGTGAGGCGCGACGTCGAGCAGAACGGCTGAGAGCCTGTGCCTCACGACTCAGTCTAGCTATAGAGGTATACAGGAGCTTTTTCCTCCGCCCCTCAATCTTACCTCGGCTGAGCGTGAGACACGACGGTGAGCAGAATAGCTGTGAGCCTGCGCCTTGCGACTCAGCCTAGCTATATAGGTATCATCATCATAATTTCAGCACATTTGCACAGGTCGTCACTCCATCTAATTGGGGTCGTCCTACTCTGCGATGGCCAGTACGAGGCTGCCACTCGAGAACCTTTCTTCCCCAACGGTTCTACGAGCTATATGGCCGGCCCATCGCCACTTCAGCTTGCTAATCCTCTGAGCTATGTCGGTTATTTTAGTTCTACTGCGGATGTCTTCGTTACGAACTCTATCACGCAGAGAAATACCGAGCATAGCCCGCTATATAGGTATAGATTAACGTAATGTTGATGACTTTTTTTTACTGGCGCCTGATGTTCAAGACATTAAGCGCCAGTACAGAATTATAAAAATTAGAAATTGTTAATAATACGTATTCATGAAATAGAAATCTGCAAAGTAATGGCGGATTCCAACTTTAAAAAAATTATAATTTTTTTCTCGTACTTAACGGTTTGTATGGGAAATATTAATCGATAAAAAAATGTTTGAAGCTTGAAAAACGGTAAGTAAAAGTGTAGTTTTTTACTTACAAATAAAAAAATACCAAGTTGTCATCAACATCTTAAATGAAATCTTACAGCAAATATGAAGAAAACTTTTAAGCTTTTAATCTCATTATTTTCATTCAATTATTTCATTATTTTATCCCGTATTTATTCCGCTTAACTACTAAGATCTGATAGTGAAGACGGAGCGCCAGGTTATAAGTGCCTAGCTCAGTAGAAACCTACCCTCTAAATTTAGCTTAACACGTAACGACGAAAGAAAAATATCTTTGAAACTAAGGAAACGTAACAGTGAAACATTGTGTTTAATACATTCCTTTCCATCATTGAGGAGTTTCACAGCATAAAGTAAGAAGCGTGTCACTGATTACAAAACCTCTCATCAGTTAAACTGTCACGAGGTTGTATGTTACTTTCCCCCAAAGTGAGTTTTGTATATTATCAATATTAAAAACTTTTTTCCAGCTTCATGCCCCAGTGCTGCTTCTACCACAAAAGCCGTCTTCTCCGGACTTACTCGTTCTTAACATGGGTAAATATAAAATATTACCTGATATTAAACAGCATTTTCTCTACATTTACACTACTTTTAGGATTGTCCAATTAACGAAAAGATTTGTCTCTTTAACTACTTTCCAAAATCTGGATGATTTTTTATTTTTTATATAGTTTTTGGATTACCAGTCAATTAAAATGATGTAGCTAACTAGGTTATTAATTGCGACACGATAGTATATAGTTGCTAAATCATAATATTTAATATTATCTTTATATTATAGTAATTGTTTACGTTTATTTTGTGTATGTGTTTGCAGGTGATCTACTGATAGAGAACTTCTTTAAGCCAATCAATATCAGCCAGGAAGCAAGTAGCCCGGTAGCCAATCCCATCATCGACAATATTCTTATTAAATTGCAGAATGTCACTCTTTCTAGAGCTGTCATGACCTTGGCTGGCACATTGGAAGTTCAGGTAATTACGAAAAAGAATAAACTTACAAACTATTTGTTCATTTTTGTGGGTAATAGTGTATTCCTTTCATATCTTATTCATTAATAAATAATATTTTAGAAAAAGACAAACAGCTTTAATACTCTTTGAAATTATCGTTATCAAAGATATTTTGCATCTTTGCTGCTTCTCAATTCTTAGATGGAATGACCGATTGCTATTTATAACCTTAATTATTTTTCTTGATTGTCTAATCAAATGTGTTATAGTGACGGTTTAATAATAATGAACTCGGTACTCAGGTTGACGATGTTGCGTATAACTGAACATGATTCGTGGTGGTTTTTACCGTAAACATAATCACTACACACGCCTGTCTGATTTGGCTCTATTCGGGCATCAATCCCGTGTTTAGCAGACAAGCATGTGGTCTATAATCGCCATTGTCCTCTAGTCTTACTCTTTTCACAATATATAGACGTTGGTATAAGGAAGTAAGGGATCACAAAAACCTGAAAAAAGTATCGGTAACACTTTTTTTTTATGGGGAAAACGGACAAACGAGCAGGAGGCTCACCTGATGGCAAGTGATCACCGCCGCCCGTTATTATCACACTACCCTAAGCTATGAACACCTGCAACTCCCGAGGGCTCACAAATGCGTTGCCGGCCTTTTAGGAAAGAGTATGCTCTCTTCTTGAAGGCATTAATCACACTTTCTACTATACATATGACAAATTCTCAGTAGTAATTAGTAACGAGTTCATCACCACAATTTTCTTTTGTATTGCTTCCCTAAATCATTGCCACAAACCGTCACACACCGATACAATTAAATTTGTTTCCCTTTGCTTATATACGCAGGAACCCATTCTCGAACCGGTCGCGATCCGATGTGATTTGAAGCGCGCAGTGAGCTATCAACAAGTAGCCAGCGCTTACCGCGACCTTTTACTATGCGAGGCAGACATCGTAGTCGATACTGTCATGGTCAATCTGGGCCAGAACGACCTGGCTACAGTCCTCGCCGTCTGGAGCGGGAACCTCAGCGAGGCGCATTATATTGGTAAGTTCATCGCGTGATATGTCAGGGTGGTGCACGATCGATGGTGACGTAAGAGTAAGTTGCTGCTCAAAAAATCCTGTTCAGTTTTCCCTTGGTTTCTTCTCTAGGGAATTCATGGGTAGTTGAAGGTTTCCCAAACATTAATTCAATAAAATAAAATCTAAATTCATCAATATAAGAAATATACATATTTTTTTCTATCGATAGTGATTTTTAATTTTTTTTTTAAATCAAGTGCAGATTGAACCCATAATACATAATACAGCGGGCAATACGCGAAGGAGTTATTATACATTTTTGTTTTTTTTTTGTCAGTATTCATCTTGAAACAGTCATAAAGATTTCCGACTCGTAGCGGAATTTTCGCTCGTCAATATTCCTTTAATTTCATAGCCTGTATGAAATGTCATGAATAGAACCAGGAAGAATTTGTTGCTTGGAGATTATTGCTCATGTATTTACATTGTCGACATGTCTAGAAATTATAATGGGTTGGTACTGATATATTATTACGTGTCATTCATGACATTTGTTTTTGTTAACCAGGAAACGTTGTACCAGGTTCTCCTGTAGACATGGCACCTTCAGATGTGGCTGTGAAGAAACTGCAAGCGTTCTTCGCTCAGAGTGAACCGATAAGAAAGGAGATTACTGTCAGGTAATGAAAGAGAATGGCTTAGGAACACAGTCGGCACAAAATGATATTTCACTAGAAAATGTTAATTGAAATTGGGTAACTGCTGCTTAGTTTCGCCATTACTCGTTGATGGATGGTAGACCATCGCTACATTTAAAGAGTTTTTTACTGTGTACAACTACTTTGTTGTAGCAGTTGTCGCCAGAAGTATTTCACTTTCGTACCGTGATAACCAACTGCCCTATTGTCATAAACATAGGCGATCCTATACTATCCGTTGTGGCGCGTGCTCTTCTGCCACATCCTTCATGAAAACACATATTACGCTAGCTCTACTTCTTACTACTAGGCATTAATATTTTTCACATAATTCTCCCTTAACCCTTTCCACATAAATTTTCGCATAACGTCTAAAATTAATAAACTGTAAAAAGCAGCTAAGAAGTAATAGAAGCATTAAAATTTGATATTGTATTAGAACGTTTCTAAAATAAGTTTAACCGGAATAAGAAACATATTAAAATAACTGCTCCCTAAATGTATTTGATTAAGGATCTCATATCAAATCCCCTTACAGATTCACCCTAGACGGGATCGAACTGAAACTCTTCTCTGATATGGACGAGGTCCTTAGCTCTCCAGTCCGAGATCTGAACCACGGCCTAGCTAAGTTAACAGCCGGCGAGGCAACTCTCTCCCTGGATTGCTATTCCGACAACAGTAAAGAATTGAAGGCTAGCCTGCAAAGTTTGCTTGTGGAGGACATACGGCCAGACACAAGCGTTGTCATTCGACGGTAAGTAGTTAAAATGCTTTTTGGGACTATTTGTTACCTTTGTAACGGAGTTTTAAGATGATATGAGAGCTTCAAGGTGTGTATAACATTAAAAGTTAAAGCATATTATTATGACAGCATGCTCTTTTCCGTTGTCTTCGAAATCTTTTGAACATAAAGCCTTTTAGAGAAAACCGGATAGACAGTCTTCATTTTCTAATATTTCCGTAGTCACTTAAACCATGCTGTAAAGAGGTACATCTTTGCTTGTTTTAATATTAAATATGTGACTAGCATCTGAAGAAACGTAAATAGATATTTGAAATTAAATATGAATATAGATTTTGGTACCCAGTACTATCGCGCCTCAACCAATACTTACAAATTTTCTTTGTCTGAATAGACAAGACCAACTTTGAAGACCATTCTACTTACATTAGTACCCATTACACTTCTGTTTTATTTTTTTAATTCATCCTAATATTAGTAAACTGTTTTGGTGTGCAGCATATTCCAGTCTCAGGGTGGTGGGTCCCGAGCAGCCGAGGGCATTTCAGTTCTGCGGCCCCCATTATTAGACGCTAGTATACGGTGTTCCGCGCGAGCCGCCACCTGGGATCTGCGGTTGGACCGGACACGTCTCAACCTGGCCCTGCCCTTCCTGCTGCAGCTGGCCAGGACCTTGTTGGACGCCATGCCCGGTCGGTTGCTGAATTGGGGCGTATTTACATTACAGTATTTTTTTCATATGAAAAGTTGCCAAGCGAGCAGACGGTTCACCTGATGTTAAGTGAATACCGCCACCCATGGACATCTGCTATACCCGAGGGTTGTAGATGCGATGACAACCTTTTGAAAATTGGGCTCCGGCCACCTCACTAACCAGTCAAAACGCGAAAATATTATACTTCCACTTTACGCCGGTCTTATGTGAGGTCGTGGTACTTACTCGGACTAGCGTGCCAATTCGTGCAACAGCCGAGAGTGCTGCGTTTCCCTACCACCGACACTACATTACAGTAGGTTTCTTGTTCAAAATTCCTTTATCGGTAATACCGTAGCTCCAAACTGGTGCGACAGGACTATGGCGAATATTTTGTTTAGTTATAATTATTGTTATGCAACAAGGCTGCTAACACGGATATAACATTACTATATGTGTAGGTATAATTATTTTTACAGAATTTTCATTTTTCATAGCTCTATAAGGTAAACGTTAGTGGCAATGAGTAGAACCGTTAATAAGATCATTTGAGTAATAGATGTATCAATTGTATATACATTAGAAGCACAAACAAATAAGTTACTGCTTATGGACATTAAATTCATATAGTACTTTGAATAATTTTCTAGATATGACCTCTCGACATTTCATGTTACGTTAAATTTACTTATTCAATTTTCAGATACTTGCTTTTAAAATAATTAGTTTGTATATGCGAACAATGTACATTTTTTTTTATGTGAAAAGTTGCCAAACGAGCAGACGGTTCACCTGATGTTAATTGAATACCGCCGCCCATGGACATCTGCTACACCCGAGGGTTGCAGATGTGTTGACAACCTTTAGAATATTGGGATCCACATAAATCATTACTGCTATATCACAAAATATATTCGCTTAGGTGAGAAAACGATGGACGGTGGTGTGGTCAATCACGGGTACATTGGTGACGTGGATCCTTCACGGCCCGGGAATAACAACTGCAAAGCTCGTTTTCCAAGTTCAAGCGACTCTACGAGCGGGTATTACTCAACTTGTAAGTATAATTGTTGTTTCGTAATCACACAAATATAAAGAAAAATATAGTTGACTTTTCTTGTAATTTTGTTTTATCAAGGGTTCCAGGGTCTAAGAACGAGTTGAGGACAGTTTATGTCCTTGTACAAGCTAATGAAAGATTTTTTGATATTTTCCGGTGCTATTGATGCCGAATGAGCTGAGAATATCTGGAAATTCGATATCCTTTTATTAGTTTTCTTTAAAAACCTTGCCTTTCATTTAGGATGACATCCCCACAGGATAATGTCGTCCTAAATTAAGGGCAAGATTAATATATGTTTATAAAACGGCCTTACAATGTGTTGTACCGTTTTATAAACACGTATTTTACTTGTACCCAGATGCGAAACGTTCATCTGTGGGTCAGACAAACAGTTTTTCCGTGTGAGAAACGAACCCCGACCTCCGACGCTTTTTGTAATTGTGTTATATGTGTGATATATATTGTGTACCCAAGATGATTACATATCCAACCAATATCTGTATAGAAAGTAGGATGAATGCTTCTTCATCAGCATGAGAGTCTTCTTCACCATTTATTATTTATTACATTTTCACCATTTATTTAATCCCTCACTGCAGAGTGAGGGATCGGTCTATCGCAAAGTAAAAATTGAAAAGATCAAAATTATTAAAATTTTCATCTACCTAGTAAAGCTCTCAAGTGTTGCAAAAAAGAAAAGTAAAATAGAAATGAAGCTTTTGATCGGACTATCTTGAAAGTTTATTTAACTCGAGTTTATGATGTTTGTATTACCATGTATTACTCTAGCAACATCGTCGGCAGACGAGAGTCCGAGCCTCTCGATATCGATCCAATGCCGCCAACCCGAGGTGATGTTCTTCACGGATCTGACGAAGAGCGAGGGTCATGCACTGCTCCTCCGTACCGAACTGCTGATCGATTACTCCAGTCATTCGAACACGGAGAGCCTGGTGGTGTCCTTGGCTGGTCTGCAGGTATGACGATCGTATGATGATTTTTTTTGTGATAAGTGGCAAGTGAGCAGGCGGTTCGCCTGATGGACATTAGCAGCACCAGCAGGTTGCGTTGTGAGATTTTAATGAAATGGGCCCCGGCTACCTCAATCATCAAACGAAACGCAGAAGTATGACACTTCCATTTCACGCCGGTCTTCCGTGAGGTCGTGGTACCTACCCACGTGGTTGCGTGGTCTTAGCACAGTTGATGAAAAGATGTTAATTAATGCAATTAGACTTTTTTTGTACTAAAAGCGCTAAAGCGACTATTTTATTCACCTCCGCAGCAAACTTTGCAACACCAACCAACAGGGAGCGTTAAAAGTTTTAATGCCATGAACTTCAATCAAAAGGAATCGAAAAATCGTTATAAAAAATTAATAAGGAAGAACATCAACCGTTTGAAAATGAGTTTTCGATGTACCTAGTCCGTGACAGTTCTGTGTTTTTTAACTAAACATTCAGTGATTAAGCTTAAAAATGAGCTGATTTTCACAGTTTCATGTTTACATTTTGGAAAAATAAACATTACCTCTTCCGCCCAGGTGATGTCGAAGCTGCAATCTAAACTGAAAAACCTCCCGCCCCAACTCGTTCTGAAACCATGTGACGTGGAGTTCTCAAAGTCCTTTAAAAACATCGAAGAGGGTGTCAAAGGGCGACTATCCGTTTCCGAAATCGAGTTCCACGTGGCAGCTACCACAGTACACACTGTTATGGGTAAGAGTTACGGAGTTATACGATTCGACGACGAGATACCAACAATTCTTTTCAGCACAAAATTTATCTTCATTGATTAAAATAAGGGCTTATTAAAGGAAGTCTAAGCTAAAAATATTCATAACATACATTTCTTCAATTGCTTCATTTTCAGAAATAGCCTTGTGTGTTTTACACACTACAGAAATTTAAACAATAATACGAGTAATGCTTCAATTAATTTTTATTGAATACGTAAACGAAACTGCAACGACACCAGGCTAATTAGTATTGATATTTATTATAGTTAAAGTTTTAACTAAAGTTTCAAACCAAAAATTAATAAAACTCGAGAGCTATAAATATTAAAAATTTAATTTTATCTTCACTTAACTCTAAGATTAAATTGTAATTGCAGACATTATTGAAGAAGTAACTAGCGAGTTAACGATACCCGATGATAAGGAACCTTTCAATTTTGCAACGTATAACCCGAGAGTGGATAGGCCTGACGAGGATCTCTGGTCACCTAAGAAGATCGAAAGCCCTAATGTACAATTTAACATGGAAGACAGTTACGTGCAGCCAAAGTATCCCACCATCAGACCCGCCGAGACCTTCGAAGTCATGGTTCCAAGCGTGAGAGTCTTGTTCGAGATCGAGCAGACTGTTAGGATTCCCGTCTTATTGATAAAGGCAAGTCAATCGTATTAGTGGATTTTAAAATGATTTGCAACCTTTTCCTAAAGATTAAAAGCAATTGTTTCTTTATTAATGATTATAAAAAATTCCTTAGCAAACTTGTCTCACACGGTTATTAAATATCTCGGTCTAGAAATATTTGTTTTTTAATTTATGATGACTCCGAGGCGGAGTTGCAAAGGTATCAGCGTCGGGGGTCATGGGTTCGATTCCCACACGGGACAATAATTTGTGCGACCCACAGATAATTGTTTCGGATCTGGGTAATTGTCCAAGTGACATTTATGTATGTAAAACGTGTTTAGAACACAGGATAATGTTATCCTACATTAAGGGCAATGTTTTCAACTTAAAAATAAAAATAAAATTAATTAATTAACACACCAATATCCATCGCCCAGAACAAAACCAGTTTATTCAGTAATGATTTCTAATCCAATAATATGTAAAATTAAACCAATCACAAAATTGTGCCACAATAAGTTGAATACATTTCGCTTTGGGCTTAAGGTGTCAGCAGAGATTAGTCTTCACGATTGGTCCCGCCAACTGCACGGCGGTGGTTCGCTGAGCATTCAGGCGGATTGCTACAACGAACGGCTAAACGCCTGGGAACCGGTGCTGGAACCGGTGATAGAAGATAATCGCCAGCGGCCTTGGGAGATCACAGCTAGCGTGTTTCAGGTGACCTACACGCCTTCAATGGATCCTGTTTGCGGTTTCGGCCGCGTTATTCTTTTAGAAATATAAAACTTCAATACATGAATGCTCAAAGATAAGCTATTACACAATATTCCAACGTGTATATTTTTTTCATCGAAGATTACATTCAAATCTGCTTGTTGCGACAAGAGATTCCATATATTAAATAACAATATTAAAATTATTTAATTTGTCTTGTTCAAGGCAAAAGCCTACCCGATGTCATCGCGGCTAGACACGGGTGGCGCTCAAGACGAAACAGAAATGGACGGTGGTGCGTCGCAACCACCCAAAAAGCAAAAGAAGCGAAGTGGATTCGAGTCTGAGACGTCTGCTGATGAAGCGGACACAGATAATGAAATGACGTTCATCAGAAACCCCAGTGGCCGGGAGAACACGAGTTATAGTTCGGGATTCAATGCGGGGAGTTTGTCATTTTTACGAGCTCTGGATATTGAGGACTCCGACTCTGATAACGAAGGTGGGACTAGGGACAGGATGTCGACGGCTGTTGGACACTTATTTACCGAGTAAGTTGACTAATGACACGTTAGTTGTATAAAAGTTAAAGGTTCGTTGATGTTACTTATTACGTCAACTTTGTTTTTGCTTACACGTTTCGTAGCGATTCCAGCGGAGACGAAATAAGCAATGATGACTCCTCGGCACCCGAACAGAGCGAAGCTTACGTCCTCAGCGAGCGGGAAGATGATGAAGATAAACCCGAGACCTTCATCGACAGCGAAGAGAAAGTGAAAAAAGAGGTGGAGCAGAAGAGTGTTACACTACAGGTATGGTTGCAATCATTGATTTAATTCTCTTATAGTATTTTATTTATTTTGAGCACCATTCGTATTTTTGTAATGATATACAAATTATCATAACTTGATAGCAATTCATTACATTCCAAAAATATAATCGGACAACATTACGGTATTCAAATTCCTTCTAGTCTACTCTAATAGTCTTATGGTAGCCCAGATAGTGTGTAGCTTACTATAAGACTTTACTATTTTTTTTAAAGTTGAAGAGAAAATAACAATCGAAAAACATTCTTGCATTAAAAGTTTAGAAAATTCATTTCAATACAAAAAAAATTAATACATCATCAAGGTTTAACTGGTTGGCCTTCACACACCTAATGAAAAGGACTATTATCCAATGGCACTTCTCCTGCAAAAAATATTTGATGTAAAAAAGACAAATCATTTCTAATTTTTACGCACAATTTTGTGAAGAGGATCAAGCATTTTTATACTAATATGGTTTTAAAAGGACCTTCCATCCTTGAAAAGCTTTATTACTTTTACATAACGTCGGTCTTCCGAAGTAGTAACGGTTTAAAGGTGCGAAATAATTTCAGGAGCCGAGCCGCGGCAGCAGTGTGGACTCGGGGTTGGAAGTGGAGGGCCGTTTGTGTACTTATGTGACCCTGGAGGCGCGTGGGCCTTAAACGCCACTTTGGCCCCGGCCGGGGTGCGGACGCTGCGGGCCCTTGCCGAGGGTATACGAGACCGCACCGCCCTTGTCACCGCCATAGTGGCGGCGGACGGTGGCTTGCAACTGGTCAACGATATCGGTAAGCGTCACTTACCCGAGCTGAATGCTTCAACATCTTTACGAAATGATGTTTATGCTTTGAGTCTTTAGAATTTTTTATAATCAGACAAACGTAGAGCCCACATAGAGACTGTTATGACGATCGTTTAAGAGGCCACGAGTTTTTTTATCTGAAAAGTTGCTAAGCGAGCAAGCGATTCACCTGATATTAAGTGAATACCACCACCCAAGGACATCTGCTACACCCGAGGGTTGCAAATGCTTTGACAACCTTTTGAAAATTGGGCTCCGGCAAAAGTATTATACGGCAAAAGTATGTACCACTTCACGTTGTGATACTTACCCCGACGAGCCTGCCCGTTCGTGCAAAAGCCGAATCTTGTGCGTGGCCCTACCAGGTTAAGTTGAAGCGTGCATGTATTCACGTTTGCTTTCAGGTCCTGGCTCGACCGTGTACCTTAAGACTCGAGCCGAGATAGACCTGGCAGGCAACGATCGAGTGCTAGCCATTGCCGATTACGACGTCGACACCAGCCGACCCAGCACGCCTGGTGAGCGGACATATTACGCCTTTACCGATTATCTTTTGATATTCATTTAATATCGGTGTAAGTAATAAATATGTGGAGATGAATCACTAAGAGAACCAGAAACAGAACCTCTTTTGCTTATAACTTAGTTATTAACAATATATTTTTTTGATTATTAACTTTCAAAATGCTAGCATGTATTCTAAAGTTTAAATAACGCTATTTTTCACAATAATTTGAAGATTGTTTTCTCATATATATAATATGACTATTCAACCAATGTGTTCTGTCTATCATAATGTACGGAACGAGATCTGGGAACAAAATCAATGTCGCATAGAGTTGCCCATACTGAGGTACCACAGAACCAACTGGCTGGTACGGATCGAATTCTCAGTTGCAGCGTAAAAAAGAAGAAAGAAATAAAGATAGGTTGATTTTTTTTTTTTGTTAAAACATGGTACAATATAAGTCTTAAAAGTTGTAACGTCCCTTATGTTCTACCATTTTTGGTGTACAAATATTACATTTAAATCTAAAGCTGAGTCTGTTCACTACTTTTGGAAGCATAACGGTGCCTGACTGAAGAATATTGAATAGTGAGGTAGAGGATTACATCCAGCAGTGGTATAAGAAAGGCTGCGGATGATGATGATTTTTAATTCCAGGCTGCGACACTTCTGGAGCAGACTTGCTGGATGAAGTTGAAAAGACCACTAAGCAAGAGATCACAGACGTCAGCGATGAATGGGATTGGTAATTTACCATATTGCCTTATAAAGCACTAACACATTTTGAAGTTGATTACGAAAATAAATTTTCATATTAAATGACAATGACTGACAATGACAATATTATTTGTCCATCTCCTGTCGCTCATCATTTGGTTTCTCCACACAGTTCAAGTTCTTAATTCTGATAACGATCTAATGTTTCAAAACTTTAGAACAACTTTGAATTACTACTAATCATGCGTTTTTTTAACGTAAAAGTGAGAGTGCGCCGAGGTATGGCTTATCGATTAACTCACAGTTTCACATTAAAGTATTTCAAATATTGAGATAACGTTGAATGTTTCTTAAATGTAAAAGTTACAACCAGAGTGCGGCAAGGTATACAGGACAGTTATACAGATTAAAAACAGTCTGATTACGACTTAATGGTCTTGTATGAGTTGTATCCGGACCATGTATGTTTAAAAAAAACTGAGTCTGTTTCTATACATTTTAAAGTTTCAACCATTAATGATGTATTGCGGCAGTTTTGAGGGTGGATTCGGCGCGGGGGCGGCGGCGCCGGCTTCCCTGCACACATCGCCGAGTGCTCCGCCCCCCGCAGCCGAATTGCACCGCCGGCTTACCGACCACACGCTGTCCATTCGTCTCCATGACATGGACCCCCTCAATGTAAGTACTGTTGTCAACACCGACTTTACTCGTATTAGAGTAATGTTGTTGATTTTGAGGAAATTTACATAATTATTAATAATTGCGGTGTTTCTTTTGAGTGACGTAATAAGAGACATGGACATAACACGATGGTCAATGTTCCTGCAAATATTTTTGTGACTTTCATGACCGGTAGCATAAATGATGAGACAAATAACTACTGATACATTATAACTAGTGGTATTATTGGCATTAAAACCAAAACTGAAAGATAGTTTGTCGAAATACTGCATAATTTTCAAAGGTGATTTCGATTTGTGTCGTCTAAAGCCATTTCTCTTTTCATGGTAGATCATCTGTCCACAACGCACCGTGTCCAAGCTTCACGTACTCCATCCGAGCAAGAACGGCACTCGGTACTATTTGGTGGTGGAGAGAACGTCCAAGTATAACGCTAAGAAGATCGTGGTCAGATCACCGCTGCAGGTAGCAACGCAGTGACATTAGAAATATGACTGTTTGTGTGCATGTCTTCAACAGAATCATACCGAGGTCCGTCTGGCGTAGAGGATAGTCAACCTGTCTCTTACGCCAGTGGATGGAGGTTCTCTCGCCATTACTGGAAGTATATTGTGGGGTGAACAGGTTGTTTCTCTAGAATCTGAGCATTTATATATCTATGATGTGTATTTATTTACAAAATATGTTTATCATTAAACCATTACTTATAGAACACGCTTTGCTTAGTTTAGAACTAGATGAGGGTGTCTATAATATGTAGGTTTCCTCACGATGTTGCCCTTTACCCGAAATATTTATTTTTATTCAATTTTTTACTTATCTATTCATCACGGCTAACTGTTAGTTCACAACTGAAAATAGGTGAATCGACTGATCATGTGCCACCTTCTCCTTCAAGATGGCCAATACTACGTATACTTGATGACTCCGTGGCGCAGATGCCAAGGTGTTGGTTTGAAAAAAATCATATGTGTTGTATGTGAGCCAAACTTAAATATCTTTTTATTCTGTTTTTTAGTATTTGTTGTTATAGCGCCTACAGAAATACATCATCTGTGAAAAATTTCAACAGTCTAACTATCACGGTTCATGAGATATATCCTGGTGACAGACGGAAACACGAACAGAGAGACAGCTGAGCCTTAGTAATAAGGTCCCGTTTTACCCTTTGGGTACCGGACATACGGACAGTCGGACAGACGGACAGTCCAGTTTTACCCATTGGGTACGGAACCCTAAAAAGAACAATATTAGGTCCGCAACGAGACCACATACGCGCTGGAGCTGCTCTACCGCAAATCGGACCTCGAGGCCGCCGGCGTGGAGCCAGTGGGCTCGATGAGGAATCCCTTCTGCGGCCTGCTGAGGCTGGCCGTCCTGGCACCCGACGACACCTTCAACGTGCCGCTGTATATCGCTTACCACTGCAAGCTTTACATGATGCCGACTAACTTCGAGTAAGTGTCATCTTCTTCTATATATTGAAGCAAAAAATTTGTACCCCATTTTACGATAATTGCGCGGACGGAGGGGTATGAAATTTCCCACACTTATACATATATTTATACAGCGTGGCGTTACAACCGCGACAATAAATGAACACACTTCTAATGCTGCTTGTCAATAATCACAAAAAAAAAGTATCATTACAAAGTAAAGTAAAGTAACAGCCTATAAATGTCCCACTGCAGGGCAAAGGCCTCCCCTGTACAGAGGGTATCAGGGCATAGTCCACCACGCGGCCCCACTGCGGCGGACTTCACATATTTTCGGTTTCCTCACGATGATTTCCTTCACCGCCGAGCACGTGATAACTCAGCACTTAAAATTAGCCGTGATAGCTTAGTGTCCGGGCTCTTGGCCTTAATTCAATTTACTCGAGCAACCTGAGTTCAACAAAACAAAATTTGTAACATCCTATACAACTACAACTGACTGACCTTTGCAATTTATGAAGTTTACGTAATAGTTTTATACGTAAGGATGTTTATTCTAAAATTATTTGTTTAGGAAAGTTTAATAACTCGGTAAATATTAATGTTTAAAGAAAGTAAATGTTTAATACAATTTTATAAAGTTATCCTCTGTATATGTGTTGATTTATGGTCGCGTTAGTAGCGCCACGTTGTATAGAGAAGGAGTGCAGAATGCTAACATTGTTTTAAAATTATGCATAAAAAATACGTTAAATCATAAATAAACATTTAAATATATAAACGTAAAAAAACATTACATCCTCTACTGTATGACGATTTTCTCTAGGAAGTTTACACACTTAATGAAACTCACGTTAGTTAGTCGGATAATAATGTCATCACAATTAAAATCGCGGTTGAAGTCATTACGTAGTGATTACATTCTCTTTGGTTGAAGTTCGCAAGACGTCCACTATTGAACACCCTTCGTTCATTTTACCAAAGAAAAATTAAAATCTTGTTCCGACCATTGCTATCTGTTTACAATATGTTTCTTTTGCAGAAGTTACCAAACCACAACTCAGGGCATTTGGTGGATGGATCTAGCGAAGGACTTGGGTACGCCTCGTGACGTCATCTGCCCAGCGAAGAGTGACGATGACCCCAGAATATTCGCAATGAAAATAGTACCTGTTGAAGGTACTTTTTACTGACGTTAATACGTTATATTATACGTAGATTAATTTACTATTGTGAAGGAAAAGGTGGGTTAATAAATCTGTACTTTAACTATTCACGGTTTCGGTATTCAACGGCTTAACCGGCACGTTTTTCAACCGACTTCGAAAAAAGGAGGAGGTTTCTCAATTCGACCGTAATATATATTTTTTATGTGTGCTCGCGGATAACTTCGTCGTTTATGATCCGATTTTGATGATTCTTTTTTTATCGGAAAGGAGATATCCCAAGGGTGGCACCATAAGGAAACCCAGATCCGATGATGGCATCCCAGAGAAATCGAGGGCCATCATTGAATGGTATAGGTATTAACAATGTTTTTTAATTTTCTGATTGAAGTCGGTTTTTTTTTGTTAAAAATTATAATTTTATACGCTCGGTGAAAATTGGAACTATGACCATAAATAGCACCATGACCGATATCATAGATACGAGACCTGGTGGAGCGATACGTCGTGTTGCCGTAGTGTGAACTCATTTACAACACTAGGGTTTTATAGTAGTCTATTGAGTAAGGAGAGAAGAAACTATGGTGGTGAATGTACATTATACGTATTACTGTGACAGGGCCACGTAACAGTGTTCGCTGTTGCATTAGCTGGCAGGTCCGTCCGGGGAAGTACCTCAACCTCACAGAAGACCGGCTCGAAGTAGAAGTATCGTACTTCTGCGTTTCGTCTGGTGAGTGGGGTAGCCGGGGCACACTTTATTCAAAGGTGGCAATATATCTGCAATCCTACGGGTGTTGCAGCTATCTATGGGCGGCGGATATCGCTACCGACGGGTGAACCGCCAGCTCGTTTAGCACCTTCTGACAAAAAAAATGGCTTTTTCGTTGCCAGGATGCCAATCGCAGAAGGTGTCGCGGGCGATTCCGAACTTGCTTGTACGCGTGGTGCCCTCTCTCGGCGTGCACAACTGTCTACCACACGCCCTTCAAATCAGCGGCGGCGAGCTGAAGCTGCGAATCGAGCCAGGAGAGCGGGCTCACGTCTACACCCTGGACCTGTCCAAATCCCACCGCCTCACGCTGGACGTGCTCTACCTGGGCTTACCCTGGACCGGTAGCTTCACTCTGTCACCAGGTAACATTTGTAATACGTACATTCTAGAATTACTTTACCAGATTAAACGTAAGAACGGCTAACGATCAATTTGAAGCATAAGATATAAGAAAATATATGATAATCTTATTGTACATCACCAATAAAAATTTGTCGTTTAGGTTTGTATTTGAACTGGGCACAGTATCGCCAAAGAAATAATAAGTTTATTGGTTACAAAAAAGTTATCGTTAAAAGCCCTGTGGCCTGTGGTAGTTTAGAAATGTATATATACAGAGTCAAATATAACATGGAAGCCAGAAATCTACTCTTGGGGAGTTGAGTTGTTTATCCAAATTACCAGATAGTCTGATAAAGTGTGATAAATTACTGTTAAGGAAAATAAAGTCTATCTAAATACACATACCGCATTGCTTACAAAAGACTAATCGTAAACGGCATCTTTAGTTTTTCACATTTTGTTTCTAAGATATGACGGAGAAGACAGTGAACATGGTGACAGAATGCGACACCGAAGGTGGCAATAAGCAATTGGGGGTGTGCGCTCGCGTCCAACGCAGCGATTCCTGGCGCCTTTTGCTGTATGCCCCCTGCTGGATTATCAACAAGACCGGACTACCCTTGCAGATTAAGGTACTGCCTCTTTATCTCTCATTCCTGACATGAATTGTCATTTAGTTCTTCCCTTTTCGTGATATTTTCACTTTTAGCCTCACTTTTTAAAACTGCATAATATGAGAAATGAATCTTGTTTCTAGCAATGTCTACTTTTAATTCTCGTATAAAAATTTATTTGTGATCACGCATTTTCTCAAATTTAGGTATTTTTCCAAATATTTGCTGTAATAAAAGTGCGAGTAGAAAACTATACAATTATTTATATTTATTAGCCCATTTTCTCTTCTAATATTCAAAATACAAGTAAAATAGTTTTAGTAACAAACAATAAAATACTTCGACTTCAATATTTCACTCTGTTTTTCTGTTCCATTTGTGTTTTTCTGTTCCTGTAACGCGTGGGTTCTGGCTAGCCCACCGGTTCTACGTCAGATGAAGCTTTAATAGTCTCGGGACTGAAAGCAAAAACATCAGTTAATACAAGATACAAGATGTTCCATTTTGAGTAGATCACTGTTGTGTCTCCGAAGTTTAAGATCCAATACCAATATAAACCATATACGAGCACATGATTGGAATTTTAAAAATCGACTATCTTCTAATACCATCTATACGGAGACGGCTCAGCAGTATTTGCTCAGCAGTGGGACATGCCGCACCTTTAGAATTAGTTTTTAAAAAATATTTAAAATAATTAAAAAATAAGTATTTATTAACAAACACGGTGATTGGAGGGGAGTGAAAAAGAACGAAGGTATACGTTATGTAGCTTTCTACACCTAATTTGGCCCTTTTTAATAAGTCGCAAAAGGTAGCTGGTTAAGGTCATGTCATATGTCATAAAAATCATAATTTTCTTAGTTAGGTCTATTTAGTTCTAAATGTGCGATGTATAGGCTGATAGTTTACGTGATTATTGGCAGGGGGGCCGAGGCGAGCCGCCCCAAGAGGCGGCGGAGGAGGCCCTGCTGTGGGGTGGGCGGGGCGAGCGGCTCCGGGTGCGCGCACACCAGTCCAGCTGGTCTAGGGCGGCGCGCGCCCGCCCACACGCACCAGGACTTCTTGTGTGCACCCACGCAGAGCGCAAAATCAACTATCGCATGTTGCTACACGTGAGTGTCTGATGTTAAACTATTGATGACTATTGGTGGCGCAGTTGCTAAGGAACTGGCTTTGCGCGCCGGCGATCTTGGGCTCGATTCCCGCACTTGACAACGATTTGTGTGACCCACAACCTAACCTTAGTCCTTATAACACAGGATAATGTTTCCTACAGTAAGAGCAATGTTTTTTTAATTTAGAAAATAAAATAAAGAAATACTTTATTGCAATTACCTTAAACAATTACAAAGGGCGAACTTAATGCCTTTTCCCAGTCAACCTGGTAGAGATCAATTATGGTAGGTGCAGTAGCTAATGCTAATAGGTATTACCTAAGTAAAAAACACCCGTAACGTTTAGTTGTATTGAAAAACTTTTAGTATGCGAGTCTACCTCACTCATCAGAAGAAAAACATCCAAATCCTGCCTAGACGTGCAACAAGCTTCCAAATTACTCTACTATAGTAAATCTGTCACTCTCATTATAGTTTCTTTCAGAATAGAAAATTGTGAACGGCTACTTCTGTAGACATGACACAACTATATATAAATAGAATGTAAGTATAATTATGTAAAACTAATTCCGTGTTAGGATTTGAATCTTTGATTCCAGGGCTGATGTAAAATCTTTGCACATAATGTTATAATTATAAGAGATCTTTCATCGACAAATGTAAACTTGTCAAATCAAATCAAATCAAACGATTTATTCATCGAAGTAAGAACTATACATTTCATCTATAGATAATTTTTTTTAATTTACCATCGTTTCGTAATGAAGTTCCATGTCATAATTAAAGACTAATGATCTACTAATAATGAACAGCACCATGGTAAAGTAAAAAAGTAACAGGCTATAAATGTCCCACAGCTGGGCAAAGGCCTCCTCTGTATAGAGGGTATCAGGGCATAGACCACCACGCGGCCCCACTGCGGATTGGTGGGCACCATGGTAGCATAAGTAAAAGATCATACAACTAGTTCAGCGTCAAATCGGCATTTGACAAAGAACTTTTGGAATCGCATTTGTTTCCTCAGGTCACGCTTTCGGAGCTATGTCCTCAACTAACGAAGATCGTCACGCTCCTACCATACTTCCTCGTGTACAACGACACGAAGAAACACCTGCGGTACATGGAGGAGAACGAAGCGGCGGACCTGTGGATAGACCTAGCACCGCAGCAGTGCACGCCGTTCTGGCCGCAGACCGACTCGATGTCCATGCATTGCAAGTACCGGGACTCGAACGTTGTCTCGCAGCACTTCCCGATAGCGAGGAACCACTTCACCGTACTCAGGATGGACAAGGGGGTGAGGATTGTGAATCGATAAATATATTGTAGACGGATTTGTAACCACAACTGCAAAGATTCAGATGATTGTCTTGAATCTGCCTGTCCTATGATACAATTTCGTGTAGAGCATCTTAATCCAACAGATGTATGTTGGCAAAATTCTATTATCGAGATAAGTACTAGACTATAAGTGATTGTGAAAAAATAAGAAAGTATTGACCAGTAATCATTTCGAATAAGCAAGCTTTTAACGTCTATATTTTTATATTATTCGTCCAATCGTCTTATAGGTAAAATTATGCAATGAAACGAAGGCATTTCATAATATTTGAAACATCTTTATTCAGGTTTACGACCGGATGAAACTAATTCAACATCATAAACTTACTCATCTTCATTAGAAATTCAGATAAATCGCCCATTGTCCTCTACGTGATTTTAGTAGGAACACCGATATTTAGGCAAGTAGCATAGAATACCCCAAGATAAAGGAAAAATCGACTAGATCTAAGCAGGCCCCAGTACTAGATGCTCTGGAGTCGGGTAACCACAGCGACATCTCTGCCATAATTTACTTTTGGTTTAATCAGGAAATATAGTTAGGGCTTCCTAAGTAGCAGACACACTACTCACTAGTCTATCCTATAACTAATACCAATAAAATAGCATTTTTTTGAATAGAATAAAATAGTTAGTACTTACTAATTTATCGTATTTTATGTTCTATTATATCATAATAAGTTAAAAACTTAAAGATAAAACCTAAAGATAAAATTTAACCATATTTAGGTCTTGGTCGAAGCGGCCTCTCTAGGGATAAGGAACCATCTGGGTGCAAGTAGTAGGCTGTGCCTTTAGATTTATGGGTCCAAATCTTTGTAGCCTTGAGGTGTGCGTCGCTTTGATCCCGGTAGTTGGTGACGGGTGGGGCAACTTCCAGAAGTGGATTGCCATCCGCTGGTGGTGGTGGCGATGATAAAGATTTCGATTGTTGTGCGGCCGGCTGATTCATATTGGGTGTTGTTACCTGTGAAAATGGTCAATAAAAATAAGTTCTTCGAGGTAAAAACAAGTTAATCGACTGATATTCGAATTTGATAATCATTAACGATATTTAATTTGACGTTATTTTATAAGAACATCCGAGTCTTAAAGATTACGAAGAGCGTAATTTGTTTAAATGACTAGTTGTTAAAGTTCGTTGCTTAAAACAAGTTTTGAATTATTTTGTCTTTGATACTGGAAATAATTGTTTAACTAGGACTCACAGTATAGTGCGGCACGTTGTATGAGCTAACTGAATGCAGTTTGGAGTTGTAATTCATTAAAGGCAGCTCGCCGAAGCTTTCGACTTTATAAGAGCTGCCGTCAGCCTTCACGACCGTTGGAACGTTGTTCGTGAATGAGATGTCGTAGTCTTCATGTCTCAGATTCAGCGGGGCCGGTAGCTGTTCTTCTCTCATGTCCTTGCCGTCGGTGAATATACTTAGGCCCTTTTCGCCTCCCATCCCATTGATCTCCTGCTGGATGTAAGCATCCAATACCGCGAACTGTTGGCTCTTAATCGTCTCCTCGGACTCCAATGGAGCATCGAAATATAATTTGCCCGGTGCGTCTTGCAGGCTACCGTCTAATGGCCCCGTGGGGTTAGATTCGGCTATTTGGTTTCCCCTATGATAAGGATAATCTATGTTAGTCTGTTTGTAGCCGTTATCGGGATTGGCATAAGGGCCTCTGAAAGAAAACTTTTGGTTGCGTTCGAAATCTTGGGTGTGGTCGTAATTATTTTCAGGTTTCGAATATATCGGTTTCTCGCCGCGCGTAACCATATACTTATCTTTTTCAACGGCATACTCGACGATTTTATCTAAATCCTTTTTGGACAGGTATTTCATGAGGTTGTGTATGTCTTCATCGCCCAGGCCCTCGTTGCCTGGTCTCCTGCTGTGTCTAGACGGTCTGTAGTTGGGTACTTGATCTTCGTCGTCCATCATGTAGTTTGGTGGTGGTGTGTAGGAGAATGCACCGTGTGGGCTCGTAGGTGGCCGTTTGTAGAGCCTCTGTGGTGGGCTCGAATAGTATTTCGCGCGTTTCATCCTCAGATTTCCGTCCATCGGCCGGCAATCATTGCAAGGGTTAGAGCACACAGTCCCAACAACTAAACACGTTAAAAGAAGCACCTCGTTAAATCGCATACTGCGTGCTGCTTCGCGACGTGTCATCTCAAAACTGAAAGGAAGTGAAACTCGTACGCCAATATTATAAGTTTCGTTTTGAAAGTGGTGTGAATTAAGTTAGAAGCGGTGATGTAAACAAAGACATGTTACGTCCACCTTCTTCAATGGCGTAGGAAACGTATATAAACAAAAAAAATAAAATATTAAGCGATTAAATGTTCAAAATAGTACTCGTTTAGCATAAAATTTCTTTTTCAAAAATAAGTTGTCAAAGTAGTGGTGGATCAAATGCCATTTATAAATAAGTTTGTAAAATAAATAAATTATTACAAATCCACGCCTGCTGCATGCAAGGCAAATCTGCAATCAAAATTAGGATCAAGTAATGTCAGGACTTGTTTTGTTCTTAAATATTTTAGTTATATTTAGTTATAATATATATATTACAACTAAAAATATTCATTAAAATTTAGCATATATAATTATACAGTTGTAAGTCTATCACGGGTATATTTCGAACATCGAAATGAAAAGCAGTAGTTACAGGTCACACTATAAATACGATAGCAACCTAAGCCCTGATGTTGTAAGATTATCTTTAACTTAGTATTTTATATATAACTTCAAATTAAAATTTTTAACAAATGTATGTATTTAATTATTTATACAGACACACCAGTGGAATGGCGTAAAGAAAATCTTTTGTATAGTCATCTTAGAGAGTACCCTTAATTGGCGCAAGAGTACCAAAGTTATTACCATAATGTTATGGGACGTATTTTATTGGGTTATTGATGAGTAAAAAAATAAAAAGGACAATGTTATTCTACTATATTTATTTACATTTAGACCTTGTAACACTTATTATTCGAAATTCATGGAAAGCTAGTTTACTTTTATGATAATTTGATAGATATGTAACGGTTTTCACTTTCATACGGGCCCCGCGTGGCCAGTGTTCGCTTTTGTCAATTAGAACGGGTCAAACATTACGTGGTTAACTTATGTTACGCTCACCAAATAAGGTCGTATACTCAGAGAATATGTCCGCTGATTTATGTTTACTTTTGCTTTTAGCGACTTCCCTAGTGGAGGATGTCCTAACGGCACCGTCGACTCTGTCCGCTTTTGATCAGTCTTTATTGTTATATTTTTGTGGTGAAATAAAACTCCTCTATTGATACTGATTTGCGTTATATCGCCTATAGAAATCTGCAAAATACACTTGTGAAAAATCTGTGAATTTTTATACATTCTATCAATTTGATAACCATGATGTTTGTATTCGGGAGATCGGCATAAGTCAAGTTGTGTTGGCAAGGAGTCATAGCAAGTATACAATAATGACAAAAATTCCATTTAAGGAACATTTCAATTTTTCGATTTTAATAGTTATATGTAAACTAAGACTAGCTCATGCTTTATAGCTCATTACTTTAGAGCACTACACTTCCTTCATTTCGTATTGATGGACAGAGAAGAATCTAAAACTATGTAAATATTAGAGAAATGACGAGAAATTGTATTGTTCGTTATGTCACTCTTATAAGCTTCTATTACCTTACATATTACTTTGTGTGGCCAGACTGCGGTATGCGTGGACGTCACCGGTGGTACCGACCGTCCGTTCATCATCACCTTCAAGCAGTTCAACAGCGGTAATGCACCAGTCCGCATTGAGAACCTCTGCGACGACCTGTTTCTCAAGCTGCACCAGGTGGAATCTGGACAGGTGGCTCTCTTGAGCCCGTACCAGTCCATGCTCTACACCTGGGACGACCCGGCCAAGGAGAGGAAGCTGGTGTGGAATATTTACAACAACAAAGGGAAGGGGTTCGTCGCCGACTTCTCGCAAGACGGGTAAGTATGTTTTGATATGCTGTACATCATATTAATTCCAGATGCTTTTGAAGTAAACATTTCTATAAGCACTTCGGGAAACTTTGGATTCGGATAAACCATAGGTTCGCGTCACCAAAACGCTGTCAAAAATTTATATGTGCAAAATTTTTATATCATTTGGTTTTCTAATATATAAAATAAAACTTTCTAGTTGTTCGATAGTATTTTTTTCTCTTTATAAAAATTTTATAAAACATGGGTTACTCAAAATTATTGTTATTTGGTTCAATTAGGCTGTCAAAAATAAAATAGTAATAAATAATAATAAAAATTTCACTTCTGTCGGTATAACCCATGAATGCAAAAACCATCAATATTAATCTCGGCCTACCGGCCGATACCGTGCAATATTTACTACCATAAATATTGCACATCGACCTTCGGAAAGAGACAATCAGTTGATTTCGGTTTCGAAGATTTCTGTCACACATACAGAATGTGTGACAGAAATCTACCATCGCTCGCTTTTAATTTAATAAATACTTAAATACCCTGAGCTCAACCCCCGGTGCCGGCAACAATGAAATTGTAACTTAAGTGCTGAATTAATTATCACGTGCTTAGTGGTACTGGTCTTTAACAGGAGTTCTACTCTCTCTTTTCTTATGCGAAAGGGATATATACAATCATATTAGGTTGGATTCAACTACTACGTGTATCTTAATATTTTAAATTCCAATCATCCACTCAAAAAATTTATTATATTCTGTTTATATAAATGTAAAACCACGTAAAAGTTTTGTATGAAAGTTGCAATTTAGTAACATTCTTGGATTCTTTAATTTGCAGTTATGGTGAAGAAAAAGTGAGTTTCCATTCCGTGAAGCACTCTACTCTAGTCGCAACAAGCAGTGTGACATCAAAGCTGTCGTCTACCCTCAAACGGCTGACTCCAAAGTCGCCAGAGCCCTGCTCCTCTAGCAGCGACGATTCCGACAGTTTCGAGCTACTCGAGAACCTGGCCAAATCCAAAAAGACTCGGAAGGACAAGGTGATCGTCTACTGGGTGTCCTACATGAACGGTTACCAGCGGGTCTTCGCGTTAGCACAAGACGAAAGGCTAGCGCAACAGTACAGGATGATGATAGACTCGGAGCGCAGTAATTACGAAGTTTTCCTGTCTCTATCCAGCGTCAGTTTGTCAGTGTGCGTGCAAACAGGTGTTGGTGTGAAGGAGTTGGCATATGTCAGTGTCACCGATTCGCTGCCACGGTGGGAAGTGAACGTGAGCAGCAAATGGAAGCAGCTTGCCCCCGATTTGACCGCGTGGATCGAGGACAAGTACCAGAGCGAGCAAAAGAAATGCAACCTGAAGGACTACATCCACATAGACCTGGAGAAGATGCACATGACGAAGCCCTTCTTCTCGGAGCTCCGCCGCACGTACTGCCCTGGCGTTTGGTTGCAACTGCGCAAGTCGGACACGCACACGTACTGTCACCTCAAGCTGCAGAGGCTTCAAATTGATAACCAGCTGTACGAAGCCGTGTTCCCTAGTGTACTGTACCCCGCACCGCTGCCGCCACACGTGAAAACGAGAGATGCGAGGCCGTGCGTCGAAGTTGTCGCAATGAAGCAATACCAGCCGAGTATGAACCAAGACATATACAAATACTTGAAGGTTTTAGTGCAGGAATTCTGCGTGAATCTGGACAGGGGTTTTGTCAACTACATCTTCGATATATTGAACCACTGGAAGGTCGAGGAGAAGCCGGCAGTGAGGCTCCGCGCCGACTTGGCTTTGGTTCACATGCCGCTGACAATGCTGGCAATAAAAAGCCAAACGTGCGCACAAAGGAACGTGCTGTTTGAGTACGTGCATCTGTCTCCACTGAAACTGGTCCTCAGCCTGTCATCTCGAGGGTATGCGGACAGCGCCAGTAGCCCGAGCCGCTCCCACTACGGCAACCAGAAAGAGAATCGCCCCAAGCTCTTTAACAGTGACTTGTTGGAGTACTTGTTCAATTCGTGGGGCTCCTCACTTTGCGATATGAAGGACGTGGTGATAAGGTAAAGTTTACATAATTAACTGCATCACTTATTCACGTTTTATATATATATATATATATATATATATATTAAATTAGAGTCTTAATCCATGATTTATTTTACTCAAAACTGTTAAGTTAAAACTATATAACACTTTTGGTTTTTCCAAATACAGCAAAACTGAAACACGGTTAATTTTATTAAAACAGCTGTAAGCATTATTTAGATATCAGACAAACAAATTTCATAGTGATTCATATGTCTAATCCTTCTATTAATAACGATGAGTTTGGGTGAAAATTACGATAAAAATAATGGACGTATAATATGCATGGACGTTAAATTTATTGACAATTGTCATAATGGTATGAAAACATTACAGAATGTCATTCCTGGAGCTCAGGAACGCTCCTATCACCAGAACAGCTTTGGTGGATGCCGCATCTAGACATTATTGGATCCAACTGGTCCAGCAGTTCTATGTCCTCGTTCTGGGGCTGGACATCCTCGGGAACCCGTACAGCTACATCGGAGACTTCTCCAAAACCCTGAAGCAGTATTATGAACCGTTTTTGGTATGAGTTGCACATTGTTTAAATTAATTCCTCTGCAGCAGGCTTTAGATGACAATAAGTAGAATTTGTTGCTTGTCTAATAAACTCTATTTGTGAGATATCAAATAATTCTATCTCCTTATAAGATATGTTACGAGACAATAAAAAAGTTTTAAAGGTAAAACCTTATACAAAGCATACCAGATTAATCTTAATTTACAGAGGAAGATATCTTACATTTTAAGCGTCGTATTCAGAACATAATATCGCGTTTTTAGACCACAGTCGACCACATACGCCAGACTCAATACGTAATAATCGCTGCTTCGCGTAGAGTAGATATTTATACTAATGTCGAAGCTTCTGAACTCGACACTAAAAAAAACAAAACTGAAAGAAAGTATAGATTAACAAGTAACTTAAAAATAGTATTCTGGCCTATTGCCTAAAAAAAGTAAAATCTTATACAAAGCATAGACAGCTTAACCAAACACTGATTAACCTTAATTTACAGAGGAAGATTACTTAAATATTTTAACAATATTTACGTTTAGTTGTAAAAGAAAAACTATTCAATCACTAGAGTTTTTTTGGGGCAGGGTAATTCGTGTGGTGTCCAGTTGTCGGCGGCGGTGCGTGGTGCTGCCAAGATATTGAGCTGCCAGGGCGGCGCATCTCTGGTCGAGGGCACACCGAGGATTCGTCTACCGCGGAAAAGACCTGGTATGTATCCTGTGGGACGCCTGGTGCAAACACTATCAATAATTGCGCAAACCGTGGTTTTTGAAGTGAAAACTTCTTTCATCGCGGTACGCATATTTGTATATGAGATAAAATCTCTGGACTCGCTACACCGTTACGAGACGCAGCTATAATGTTTCCTTACTTCAATTTTTGAATAGAGAATTTGGTTTTACTATGTCCAATCAACGCAATATTAGCATAACGAGATATAAAAGTACAATTACTGCGGTATTCACAAGATATTGAAATAACTTCGAATTAAAATTGTTTATTTATATTATTTTATTTAACTAAAAATGTCTAACCAGTCCATACCACAGTAGAATTTGATTTTATATTGTTCTATTAGTCACAAACTGACGCCATAACCCTTATTTCTAAACATTGAAAGGTAATGTTTAGATGAGTACTAATGAACATTAACAGTACCACACCGGTATCGGTAAAAGACGAAACGAAATGTGACGAATGAGTGATATTACTATCGACTCTTATCGAAGAAGTATAAGCTTATGTTCTTAATTGAGGTCGCGTAAAAGTCGAAGCTGTTGTATAAATATACCCACTCCACTAGGTATATATCACAGGAGACTGGTGTTGTATAACACGATACAAAAAACAAAGGTGGCTAAGCACTAAAGGCCCTCTGGATAACTCGAGTGTATTGGTTCATACAAATTTGCAATGCACCTGCTAACACTAGTTGTATTGCGAATCTTCATGAGCATCAGCGATCATAAACGGGAACCAATCGCACGTTTGGGACTTACACTTTACAATTTATATTGTAGAAGAAGAGGGCGTGATCATCGACAACTTGCCAGAAGCTCTCCTAGAGGCCAACAGAAGGAACCCTAGCAGCGTGGCCCTCGCCGTTTCTGGCCTAATCGCCAGGCCCACTATCGGTATACTCGGAACAATTCTCCCCCAACAACATGCCACCAACTTACTTGCATGCGACACCATAGCTATATTATCAATACATGTATAGTGTTCGCGAAGCAATGTTAGATAAATACGGGGAATATATATTTCGGTCCTGTGTAAACTTCCGTTATCTCTTTGTAAGTTTACACTAAATAATTTTATTACCCTTAATGCTTTATAAACATTAAATTAATTGAATTATAATATTTATAATATTAAATGTGAACGAAATTACAATATTAATAAATACAAAGTAAATTAAATGTTATTAAAGAATTGATATCAAATGTCTATCAAAACTGTGGTAAGAGTTGCGGTGATCGAGATGATCTTTAACAAAATTAATTAACATAAACGTCATAACTAAAAATAGTTTAGCGCAAGATATTGCACCCTTTGAACATTTATACAGCATGCCTTAGATATCGATGTCCACAATCCCCGATCTCGCATGTTTATCGGTTTTCAATCACTGGAGGTCAAAATTCTTATTGCTTCACAATTATGCCATTATACAATCTAATTCAGTAGACAGCACGGGTTGCACTTTAATTTAGTTGCCCGTAAGAAAGTCCATAGTATGTTGGCATTTAAAAGGGAAAATATAAAGTTTAAACACTCTATATTTATGTATCAGTTCATCTCCATTTTCATACCTTACAGGAAAAGGAAAGGGAAAAACAGCTATCCTGTCAAATCTTAGTAAAATCGAAGTTTATACCGTGCAGTATGTCTAACATGTAACTTGTTTGTTCAAAGTTAATAATTATAATTTTAACATTCCCAACGAGTCTGTGTAATCTCAATATTTCAGTGTATACGATACGAGAAAAAGAGATGAGTAAAATTGTACTTTCTCTTTCTAACTATTAAATAGTGAACAAGTCACGATGAGTTGTAGAACATTTCACAAAATCAGCGGTTCGGATGTGTACACATCTTTTTGCATGTCCTCTTTCATTACACTGCATGGGCGAAATAAAATATAGTTTAATGTAGCATACTAAACTTGTCACGAACTCATCAACATTTTCTCATTCCTTTCTACGCCTGTGCGTTTGGTGTGGACGAGTAGATGAGGACTGTGCTATTGTGAAACGTGAGTACCTACACTTCAGCATGCGTAGTATGTGGCAGTGTATGTTTTGTAAGTTAGCAATGCATACAGTATTCCTTAACTTCAAAATAATAGACCCCAAATTGATCTTATGTTGCCTTCCACAATTGGCTTACGCTTCTCTAATCCAAAAGGTGATATGCACATTCTACACTGTTTGTTATTGCGATTAACTGTTGCTATGAAATCGTATATCTGCACTCAATAATAGGTACAATCATCATCGGAATTTATAATACAAATGTTCATGTAGTGATTTTAAATCTACTTCGTAATCAAGAGTGAAACAGGAATCTACGAATATACTAAAATTATCCTACGTATATGTTACTTAAATTCCTGTTATATTTTCTTCTTTTGCTTTTACATAAAAGAAATCAACTTAAATTCTGTTTATCGTATATTGAAATGTTTAGAAAAGAACAGACAGCATTTACTGGGGGGTAAACAATACATTCTTTTAATAGTATGCCACAGACGTGTGCTTCGTAAAATATATCAACAAACGTTTAAATTTGTTGCTACAATTAAATTTTATTTAGCAATCCCTGCCTACCCGAAACGTGAGGACTGCTTTTTTATGTATATATTATACAACACAACTTATTGTGTTAAATAGCCCCTTTTCTTTTATAGACGGCATTCAAAAGTTTAATGTTGTGAGCGATTGTAATGGTATTTTAAAACGTGGTGCACTTGTCAGACGTGTGTCGTGAGGCGGCGCGGGCGGCCCTCTCGCCTCAGCTGGGGGCAGACTGCGCTGAGGCCGCTCTGAGGGCTTTAGTTGAGCGCAGCGGAGGCCGGCTGCTCGCCAGACGCCGCCTCCCGCGCCACTGCCCAGTCAATGAGGTGAGGAACCCCTGGGGAAAACGTGGGGGAAATGCCTAGAGGGGGGGGGGGGGGCAAAGACGGGTTATGTCGGACTCGCATTGAATAAACCCTCACGATGTGATATCCAGGTGCATATCGCCAGGGCGACGGGAACGCTTTCGCACACTTCCGCGTCTCCGCCAGCGCTGGCCGCCTGAGGAACCCTTAACTCATAGGTTGCAGATGCATTGTCACCTTTTTATGAAGTGGGCCCCGGTTGCCTCACTCACCAAGCGAAAGGCGGAAGTATCACACTTCCATTTCTTCTGTTAGATCGTGGCACTTCCCGGAGGGACCGACCCAGTGGTGCAACATTGAAGACAGTTACGTGGCCCCAATCATCATTACAAAGTCGTCGCTTAGATCTTTAAAACTGCGCAACGAATCTTCATGCGGTTTTTTTACTAGATATAGTGACTCAAGAGGAAGGTTTATATCAATAATACATGCACAATATGAGCATATTTAATATTAGTGTTGCTCCTGTGCGAAGCCAGGGCGGGTCGCTAGTAGTTATATAAACTTATAAGTATATTTGGCAAAAGATTTAATACATCAGATAACTTGCGAGAAGTTCAACGATTCATAAAGAAACAACTTCAAGTTGTTGCCGATTTGCCAGTTTCAATAGAAACAATGCACGTAGATGAGTCTATGAACGGTCTAATTTCAGGGTCTGCGCGCGTACAACGCCACAGCGGCCAGGGGGGCGGCGCTGCTGGCTCAGCTGTCGCGTGGCCACTACTCGGACACCGACAGCTACGTGGCCCACGTGCACCTCACGCGCACCTCGCTCACCACGCTCCTCGTCACCACGCAGTCAGTACCGCAATAGCCTATTGGCTTGAATGTCTATAAATAAATAAACATTTTAGGACATATCTTTACACAACATTTTCTAGTCCGAGTCGAGAGTCCGAGTAGAAAATATCGTTAAAAGCTGTACTGTTGTGAAACTCTGGACATCGAGGTGGTGTGGATGGGATTTCTGGTTTTGGCGCGATGTCGGATGATGAATTTCAGCGGCTGGGTTCGATCCAAACAAATGTTTCAAATGTTATCTGATTGTCCGACCACTCCAATGATAGTTTCCCAATTAGATCAGTAGATAGACTATCCACTGATCTAATTGTGAAAGCACAATGCCTGAAGCTCGAGTCTTTGTTCAAATTTTACTATATTGCTTGGTGTCTGGTTCACATTGCCATTACCTCAACTAAAACATTAACCTGAATATCTGTGCTTCACCCAGTTCCTTTGGGTGAAGATCACACTGCGGGATCAGCGATAAAGATAAGCGCTTGTGCCGCTGCAAACATTTTTTGAAAAAAGTATACAGTTCTACTGTAATATATTGTAACGACACATAAATTGTTATTACTTCTCTTAAATATTTAGCATAGTTAAGAATATCGATTCATTTATTCTTTTACAAACCAGTCGTAGATCAATACTTGCATTGGCAACTAGATCTCTATATCACCGTTTGACTTTTATAAAAGCCATCGCCAAATGTTTGATTAATGTCATAAATATTCTGAAATCACATGGGATTTTGTCTTATCGTTACATTTTATGTTACGTTAATAAACAAAAAAGGTGGTATTAGTAAAAACGTGGTGCGTAATTCACCTTTGTTCGTTATTATTCGATGCAGACATATATTCCTCGTGCGAGCCGGTGGCAACAGTAACTCTTGGCACATCGAGTGGGTGGTGAAACTCGACGACCTCATCGGGGTACCCGCCGTGGAAGGGGACAAACTTGTACTGAACATCAAACAGGTAAGCTATAGCCTTAACTGACGGAGTAGATAAAAATAAAAGAATCAAGTGAAGTTAACGAAGAAAGACATTTCCTTACAATATTGTTATTGTTATTACACTTTTCAACGGTGGTAGGGTCCGTCCACGGTTAGTACCACGACCTCGCAGAAGACCGGCGTAAAGTAGAAGTGTTGCATCCATCTTGCATCCATCGACTTCCCGCACACTTGTACAGATCCAAGTACAGTTTGTCTCAAAGGTTATAATATCTTTAACTTATGGCAAAGGTCAGCGAAACGCATTTCGTCTAAAGACCTCACGTGCTTGTAATCACACCAGCACCTACCAAGTTTTCCTTCTATCAGTTTTCTTAAATACCAAATAGTGTATAATAACTGTTAGTATTAACATTGGAAATTAAAATACTTGCACGTATCACAGAAAGCATCAATTGGCCTAATTTTTGAACACTTCCTAATTTCCAGGATGAAATGGTCAACTACTTCTCAACTGACGAGAAAGTTATAGAGATCGCGGATCCCGAAGTGTTACTGTGGCTGCAATCCAAGATCGAATGCGCTCTTATTCTTGCGTTGGAAGATAAACGCTGCCCGGCTGAATAAAGGGTATATGACATTTCGGAGAAATTTATGTACCTACTTAATAACTAACTATCTTCAAAACTGTCTTTTGTAGCGCATCAGCACCATAGATGTATTTATGGCGTATTTTTTTTTTCAGTTTTGAGATTAACTAATGCCTATTAAATATATAATTGTGTATTCATATTTCCGCCGTTTGGTATTTTTCTTATCATTATATATATGTTCAAAGGCTATTTTCCCTTAGATTATTTCTTTATAAATTTCTAGAGCATCTAATAATAAGTGACTGTAAAATGCCAACTAATTATGGATTAACAAGAAATGTTTAATGGCTTTGTTTTAATAACGTGGTAAATAATAGCATACCTATATGACTGACATTTCTATACTTAATTAACGGACTCGTACTAGACTAGATAAATGACAGAAGTTCGCGCCACCCATAACGCATTTTATATGAATGACAAAAGTACTCTAAAAAAAAAGAGTAAAATACTTTGTTGGGTAATTTTTTTTTTATACCTGCCTTTTACCGTTCATAGTCTTTGCTATACATTCTAATTTGGAAATGCGTTTAATTAGTCTGAGTCTGTTTTCTACCCCTAAGAAAGTCTGTTCGATTTCTAAACTTAAAAAAATGTCGACAACATTTTTTTTACGATAACTTTTTCAATATCTTAGTTCATATGGATGACTGCTATCTTTCGTTACATATTGTTATTTATTCATGGTATACAAAACGTTTGTGTAGTTAAAATGTATACTAGGCTTGTTTTGAATGGAATACAATGATCTTCACTTCTGCAGTTTCTATTTTTTTTTTATTTTTGTTTTTTTATGTGTGTTCGCGGATAACTTCGTCGGTTATGAACGGATTTTAAAAATCCTTTTTATTTTGTGAGCCATCCTAAGGGTGGTACCATGATAAGGAAACCCGGGTATGATGATGGCATCCCAGAGAAATCGAGGGTAATCCTCAAATGTTATAGGTATGTTTTTAGTTTCTGGTTTGAAGTCGGTTTTTTGTTATCAATAAATTTCTTCCTATTCAATTATTGTTCCAAGGTAGATTTGCTGTAGGTTTCCTTTAAATATATATAAAAATAATAATACTTGCAAATTTGCAATACTTGCAAAAACCTTTATTTCTGAAGTCTTTAGAAAAAACAATAAAATTGATTAATATGGACATATTGGCTCACTTACTTTAACTTATTATTTTTGATATGCGTGGCACGGAATCCTGATATTTTTAAGTCATTTTCTAAAATGGTCTTTAGTCCAATACTATTTTCAAGCGCTTAAAATTTTACTAATTATATTAATTTTAAGAGCATAAACTGCACAAATAATTTAAGGAGATTATTGCAAAGAAAGTTCTCGCATTCATTAATTAAATAACAGAATCAGCACTTCGTTACTAGCGCTAATAATACAGTATTATAACATTTAATAACCCCCTTATTGAAATAATAATTGCTGTCTTGTAATTTATTAAACTTAATTTAATTAAACATACGCAATAATTATTCCCAGTATAGATGTCAACTCTACAATTCATGATCTCTATCTAGTCCTTATTTTTAAGCAAGCGTTATGTTATCTATTGTATACTATTTGTGATATGTTCCATATAAAAGAAATTATAAATTATTTAATACATACGTAAACTTTTGTACTCATAATAAAAAAAATACTATTGTACTTTGTTTCATTCATCATCAGTTTTCATCTTTATAATATTGTAATATTGTATTCTTATTTAAGAATATGATAAGTCATGACATAACTTCAAGTAATGATTTGATGATAATCACGAGTGAGTTTCATTTTTAATTTTTTCTTAGTTCACTATTTCAATTGAAAGACCCGTAAAATCTTTAAGATATTGAGAATGTAAAAATTATAAAATTAAATAAACTTTGAGATCTTTATACATTAGCAGCAATTATGTATATTATGCAGAGTCCTAAATATTTGTCCGATCGCATCCTCTCTCCTCCTCTCCTCCCCCTTGGTGATACGCGGTGAAATTTAAGACTACACCCAACCCCCAACCAAAATTACGTGTATTTGTAGTACCTACAAATGATCCTCCCCAAATTTTTCTTTTAATAAAGGTGTAAAGTATAATCTAATTTTATTCTGAAATTAAGGACCATGATAAAAATGGAACGGCGAGTCAAGGTCACACTGCACAGCGCTTTTAGAAATCTAAAAAATAAATACACGTGATATCTTACTTCACCCCTCCTCCCCTCTTGTGATATTTCGTGATTTTTACCAAACCCAAAAAAATGGACGGTCCCAAACACGGCGTGATTTTTGGCAGCAAATACGTTTGGTATTTACCAGAAATACCACTGCCTATCTGAGTATTGTCTCTGTGTAAATTTATCAGGAAATAAATATATTGTCATATTGTGTTCTGGTTCCCCGAAATTTAGACATTGTGTTATAAATGTTAAAATATTCTTAGAAACAGGATTAAAGATCTTTCTTAAATTATCATTAATTTAAATACAATGCGTTAAAAGTAGCTGTTGTCGTAATTAAAACTTAGGACTGTTTGTGTTTAGAAGGTTAAAAATATATTTTCGTATAACTGTATTTATATGTAATTATGTATTATCTTATTAATTATTGATGTCTATGCTGTGTGTTGTAATAGTTTAGTGCTTAATTAGTTTGGATGTGAGAAGTTGTACTGAAACTATTTTAATTGTAACATTTTTTCATTTGCAAATAACGAATACGTATTCTACCGACGTAAAATATTCAAAATTCAATTACAACATATTTCTTAATACTCCTATAATATTAAAACTATCAAAAAATGGAAAACTGAAAGAGGCCTTTTTTATATTGTTTTTACCTGATATTGTCAAACTTAGCATTAATTAAATAAAGAACTGGGAAATTTAAGCAGACGTTTGTAACGAAAATCCTGTTAATAACCCGTCGGAAATATCCGCGCACCAATTTCCGAGTTAAAACCGTTACTTTGATACGGTTTTAACTCGGAAATCTTTGTGAGGCATATTTTTTATGTATAACCAATGATATTTTTATTATTTATACTATAGATATGTTGTTAACGCGTCTGTAGTGAAGCCACGTGGCAAACAAAGAGGCAGCAAATAAGTTGACGAGAAAGATGAATGCACCTTGAGATTTTTTAATTTCCGAATAACGGATATTTCCGATCGGTTATACCTTAATGGTTGCGCTAATAAAATGTAAGCTACTTTTTTAACTGTAATTTAATGTCGTTGTTCTGCATGCGGATATGAAGTTTATAGTCTGATTTACAATTAAAGATTTCACATCTGTTTATCTGTTCTTTAAAGGAAAAATGATATACGACAACGCTCAGAAACGCAACATAATTCCACGACAGTGCATAATTTAGTCTGGCCACACCTTTAAAACTCACAGGGAAATCCCATTTTTGTATAGAGATCTGAAATTGTGAATCATATTATAAAATATAAGACAAATATCTACATCGAAAGAATTGATTGTGTAAATGTTTTCTAAATGGTAAAACCAAATTAAACTCGATTATAAATAAAGTATAGTTTTATTCAAATCCTTTACATGTGATAGAAAATCATCACATAGGAGCATAATTTTATAAATTAAATATTGCTTGTGGATATATATATTTTTTTTCATAATTAAAATAGCGTGTCATTACAACCGCGACAATAAATCAATACACATATAGAGGATAACTTTTTAAAATTGTATTAAACATTAACATTCGTTGAACATCAATATTTAAGTACCGAGTTATAAAATTTTATAAAACAAACATTTTTAAAACACCCTTACGTATAAAACTGTTCATTTGTAAAGGTCACAAAGCATATGAATGGGTAGAATGAATTTAAACGAGACAAAAATACTGTTAGAAGGAGAGACTTGTAATACGACGTTGTGGCAACGAATGAAAAATAGAGATGGGTCGTATCGCTTTTTCTGAGTACCGTATCTGAATCAGATTTCAAATATCAGATTTCGAAACTATGTATTTTAATATCTAGATATTTTACGGTCCTGTATCCACCTTGAATACTTAAAAAAAAAAAAAAAAAAAAAAAACGTTAAAAAAAATTCAATGAAATTACCATTACTATTACCATTACCAGTGATACCAACTCTTAAAAAGAATACTCTACTCTAAATAAATTCGAAAACCCACTAAAATTGACTAAATTCCAATTACCTGATTAAATTAAAAATAGAAATTGAAGTAATATAAAAATGATTTATTTTAACATCTTATATATCGCTTAATAATTTTACTTTAACATATTTTTAGAACACGCAATCATGAGTGACAATATTTTTATCATTTGTGTAAGAAATAATACATTCAGTATTATAACTTAGGGCGGATGAATTTAAAATATACACACAAGGCACATAAGCCTTGGTCTGATTTCCACCAAAGCAGCACAGCACTATTAAATGATATTTTTCTTTTTATGTAGTTTTATTTTTTTCCAAAAACATGAATAAAATTTAACTAATAATATTTACAAAAAATTTACCTCCTAAAAATTTCCATTGTATATTTTTCATCCCTTACTATTACGTGCTAGGTACCAATGCAATCCAACTCAAGGCTAAACAAAATTTAAAGACATCGTTAACACCGTAATTCGTATTTAAACGCAACAGAGTTTTTTTCCATGCCGTTAAGATTCAAAATTACTTAACTGCGCGCTTTGTCGCCCGTTACGGCTCAAGGCTAAACAAAAGAATAAAAATATAATAATATCGTTGTAGTACTCGTTGATACCATGATCAGTATTTAAATAAAACGGATCTTATTTAGATGGTATTAAGATTCAAAATTACTTAACTTATTCTTAATATCTGTTTAAAAATCTGATATTGTGCCTTGCTTGCCGTACTGCTCTAACTAGTGTAATATTTGTATCTCACGCTCTTTGTCGCTCAAAATCTGTTTAAAAATCTGATATCGTGCATTGCTTGCCATCCCGCTCTAACTAGTGAGTATTTATATCTCACGCGCTTTGTCGCTCGATATCTGTTTAAAAATCTGATATCGTGCATTGCTTGCCATCCCGCTCTAACTAGTGAGTATTTATATCTCACGCGCTTTGTCGCTCGATATCTGTTTAAAAATCTGATATCGTTCATTGCTTGCCGTCCCGCTCTAACTAGTGAGTATTTGTATCTCACGCGCTTTCTCTCGAAATCTGTTTAAAAATCAGATATTGTGGCAAACGCGTATGATATCGCGATTCGTGTCGGTATAGCGAGCGAGCACGGTACATCAGATTTCGGAAATATCAGATATTGTAAAATACATAGATATTGAACGAGCCAGTAAGCGATATGCGGATATTGTACTAATATCTAGTTTTCATATCTGATACGATTTGTATCGCCCACTTCTAATGAAAAAGTCTCTGAATGTATGAATCAGTGAGTTGTAGTTGTATAGCGTGTTAAAAAAATTGTTTCTTTTTATTTACTTAGTTTGTTTTAAAAACATATTTTTTAATTACGAATTTTTTTAACGTTTTCTATTTTTTTATGATTATTGGCAAGTAGTGTTAGATGTGTGTTCATTTATTGTCGCGGTTGTAACGAAACGGTGTATATGCTGTGAAAGATTTTATTTAAACAGCAATGAGTACAATTGAACAACTCTTCTTATTTTCAAAATATTAAATAACAAAAAACTGTCTTCTTCACATTTAATTCATGGAAATCATGTCGTTATTAGTTTGGTAATTTTTACGATCGGCCCCCTGCCTAATAAAACCCTCCCTAGAAATAAACTCCCACATCTGGAACGATTTTATACGTGTGGGAATCAAACCCGCGACCCACCCGCGAATCGAAATAGCTTATCATAATTATTCTCCAACATATCACATCAGTTTATTACTTAATGCATGAATTGTACAGTCTGTTATATATTTTTTATGTGAGAAGGTGGCAAGCCTGATAACAGCCGCCCATTGAAATTTGCAAGATCCGTATGGTTGCAATGCGTTGCCACCTTACAATAAAGTGGGCCGCGGCTGCCTCACTCCCTAGACAAAACGCATAAGTGTAACACTTACACTTTACGCCGGTCTTCTGTGGGGTTGTGGTACTTCCCCGGACGGACCAGCCCATTCTTGCAACAGCGAACTGTTGTGCTCTTCAACTTAAACACAATATTGATGTTGCATTGCTTATATGGATCGGCTTGCAAGTTGAACATCATTTGTGTGCACTAAAGTTTTTCAAATGTATTACATCCAAGATGAACTATCTCTGTTCCCACAAAGCTGGTTGATGTCAGACCTCAAGCCTGAAATTGTTCAAATGAATAATCATTATGACTGTTCATAATTATTCTGAACCTTCACCGCTTGAACCATAATCTCCAACCAAAGATAAAGCACCACCAGCTGTCAATGTTGCAGAATTAGCCTCAGCATTATTGACATCTAAACTCTGGTTATTAGACATAGCATCTACTTCTTTCTTTGATTCAACATTTGCTTCTGTGTTATCGACTTGCAACATTGTATTACTGTCTTCCTTCTCGCTCGATTTGTTCCTTTTCAATGTTATGCCTAGCGTATTTCTCGTAAGCGGGGAGTTTTTGCTCAGCGATTCCTCCTTTTTGAGACCTCCGAAACTGGTAATCAGACCGCTGGAGCTCGGTAAAGCGGGACTGTTCAGGATCTTACTGCGAGCTACGTTGCGAGACTCCTCTATACTACGCGATGGTCTGAGAGAGAGGAGCGACGCAAGATTCCTGTCCTCCTCGCTCTCTGGCAGTAAAGCAATGTCGAGTGACGATTTGGCCAGAAGGTAGCCGTCGTTTACCGCTGCCTCCTCTAATTCTTTTCTCCTTTTCTGCAAGACGATAAGTTATTTTTAATTGCAAGGGGTTATTTATTCAAGCATCGTTATAATTATTTGGCATCGTAAAAAACCCAATCTAATATACACAAATAAAAAACACATATAATAATCGACGACCCGAATGGCGTAGTGGGTAGTGTGACTGCCTCCTGCGCCAGAGGGTGTGGGTTCGATCCCCACTACTGGAAAAATATTGTGTGATGAACATAGTGTTTTTCTAGTGTCTAGGTGTTTATATATGTATAATATGTATTTATTTACAAAAGAAAAGAATGTTTAAGTATGGTTATCAGTTATCTAGTACCCAAAGCACAAGCATTGCTTAGTTTGGCACAAGAGAATGTTGTGTAAAAATGTGTCCTTAATTATTTATTTATTTTAATCATAGCTTCTTGGTGCTTTTACAAAGCATGTGATAAGCCAGCACTTAAAATTAACAATTTTATTGGTGCGGACACCAGGGATCAAACTCAGGTTGCTTGAGTAAATAGAATTACAGACAAGCACAAGGACACTGAGCTGTCATGGCTCAGGAATAGGGTATGTTTTGATAAAAAAAGAAGGATTTAGTCTCTCATGACACAAAACATATGTTATAATATGAGTAACCATAAGCTGAAAGCAATTTTAAATATCTGTACAAATCTTCAGACTTCTAAGGTCTATCCTTAGTCTAATTACTCAAATAATATCAAAAAACCTACCCTAAAGTTTCTGCGCAAGGAGCAATTAGCTTCATAATCATCTTTCCACACAGTCTCGTTCCTGCCAACAAGTTTGCCAAGACGGGGCTTGTCTAATTTACTGGTATCTATATCCCCAGTCTTGTGTTCTAATCTGAACATAGCATCATCGAAGAGACGCTTTTGAGTTTCCTTAGTGTCAGGAACAATTTGGCCATTCTCAGTTGGATCCCATCTATTTTCTTGACGTCTGGCTCCAGAAACTATTACATAGTCTAGGTTCTGAAAATAAATTATTACTTTCGATTAGCATTTTTATTTTATTTTATTTTATTGAGCAACAAAAATCCACAGTCTTTTATTGTTATCACATATTCTTAATATATCACACATGTATATCACATATTCTTAACTTACAGCCAAGAAAGGACAGATTATTGATCTCAGATTATTAATCTCTATTATTTATCTATTAATCTCTATAGGGACACATTGTGATGTGTGGTTTAGTAAGTAAGCAATTCATATAGTAATGCATATATAGCCATCAGCATTGTAATTCAATTTTTAGTTGCGATACAGTGGCAATGTACTAAGTATACATGTTTCATTATGCAATCCTTCTCACAAAAAATTTAGATACCTTAAAATCTCTCACATATTAATTTTCATCTTAAGTACAGAGCACTAAAAATAAAATTTATTTTAAACTTCAACAGTAATTCAAAGTTTTCAACTTATCTCCCTTAATACATAGGATTATGTTATTAATACTAAGGGTAATATTTTTTTCAAACAAAAACAAATAAACAAAAAGTTTATATGTATAATAACTATACTTACACCTGGGTCAGTCTTAATTTCAAAGTGATTGTCGCAAAGGTGGCACTTCATGCGAAATTGATAAACTGGTGTAGTGTAGTACATTCCAACTTTCTTCTTTTCTGCATTGTAACGCACCCCCATGCCAATGTGATTTTTGCAGCCTTCGCACCAAATGTTGTAGGGCATCTCAAATCTAATGATCAATATCCCCATGTGGAGTTTCCTCGCCCTTTCTCGGAGTGCATGAGTTCCTTGGAACTTATTCAGCCCCCCGACTTTTGGATCATAATCGGGGGGATAGTACAGATTCTGCCCTTTCCGTTCACCCATTTTAGCAACAGCTAAATATGCTTCTATTCAGATGGGAAAGAGCTGAAAAAAACCCAAAAATTATTTTAATATGCAGTAGATGTGAATTGAACAATATCTAAGGGTATTTTTTAACAAATATAAATAAGAAAGTTATAAAATAAAAATAAAATGTATTACTGATTACTTATAGTAGGTTGTACAAATAATTGAAAGTTATCGCAATAGGAATAAGAAAATTAGAAATACAAAAATAAAGTTTGGATTTTGGAATACATCAATACACATATGTCACATTAATTGCCTAAGTGACAGTTGTGAGTAGGGATGCGGAAAAAATAACGATATATCTATATCTTTTTTTTTTAATAAATATAGATATTTTGGCCGATATATTTTGATCCAATATATCGATATGAAAAATTGAATATCGAAATCATATCAAAAACGATATTTTTATTCAAATTGATTGAAAGCCGTAAAAGATAAAAATGAAAGGAAAAAAACTGTGGTCTATTACTAGTATTGTCGCGGATGCAGAGTTACATTTTGTACTTTAATTATGGTATTTATACTATAATTTAATGCTTCGTACTTTATACTATTCATGTAAGTACAACATGGTATAGAGGTGTTATAAATCATTAATGGAACTAGATAATTTATTATGTTAATTTATAAATAGCATGCAAAATACCTATTAATGGCATCAACTAAAGTTACTTTAATATGTAAATAAAAAGAAAATAAAGTTAACAAAAATTTAATTATAATCAAATTCTCAATAATTAAATGTCACATAAGATTATATCGAGTTTTCATAAAAAATTATTTGACGTCATTAAAATTATTATCATTTAACCACATAAGTAACTTTAAATTGTCGTTCAGCATTTTCATGTCAATCAAACAACTATTACTAAATTCTGTTGATCTAGGCCTGTCTTATATGTCACACAAGTCTCTGCTGGTTTCTATTTGACCCATTATTAACTTTGTATTAAACAATTCTTTGTTTTTTTTTTTTTACAAAGTTACATGTTTTTTATTACTTAGCTGTTTGTTTTTTTTTTCAATGAAGGTCTGGATAAATAATATACATAGAAATTTAGATTTATAAATTTATAAAAGAAATTGGATTAAAATTAATGAATAAATAATGTTTTATTAAAATTTCTCATTCATTAAAATTAAAGTGATTTTGGTATAAAAATTACTATATTATATATTATTATTGAATCAGACTGAACTAAACCTATGTATACGTTTTGTCTTCGGTATTCGAAAGTTCGATCACGTGTCACACTACCGAACTAAGCTGAAGTGGCTCAATATACGGAACCGAAGGAATGTACACGCACTCACCATGTTATATAATGTACTGCACAACGATTGGTCTCCGCAAGGAGCTGTTCTCATATATACAGTTCGTTGGACGTGTACCCCGCAAAGGTTATAATAAATATTTAAATACCCCCCGCATGTCGCACGGATTACTATTCCAGTTCTTTCACCTGTACAGCAATAAAATTGTGGAATAGTCTGCCAGTCGATATAAGAGAGGCCCCGTCGATTGATGTTTTTAAAGCGCGTGTATCTGAACACTATTTACTTATTCCGAACAGTGTGACTGATTGATTCTTTATTTTATTTGAATTTATATTTATTATGTATGCATAAATAGTAGGTATGTAATATATATATATATGGGTACATATAAATATATATATATATATATATACACTATATATATATATATATATAATATATATATATATATATATATATATATATAGTGTACAATAAATAGTATGTGTAACATAATATATACGTGCAAGTATGTGTATAAAATTGTAATTATATATATTTATGACGAAGTATATTTAGTTTTGCCATATTCTTTATGATAGACACTAAAAATTTTGTATGTCATTTTAGCGTTACTACCCATAACTTGTACTCAACCACCAAAGGTTAGCTGGAAGAAAATGCTATTTAGCATTAAGTTCGCCTTTGTACAAACTTCTAGTACAATAAAGAATATACAAACAAACAAACAAACTAAGTACATTATTTTTTTAAAACCGAAAATTTTACCGATATATCGATAAATCAATATTTTTTTATCGATTTATCGAGGCCTATATTGATATTTTTATAAATATCGATATATCGATATTTTTTTCGACTTTCAACATCCCTAGTTGTGAGTTGTGACTGTGTGCCTAGTATGGATGGGCAAAAAAAAATCGATATTTTTCCATACAGTTATATATCGTCGAAATTTTTTATGTTTTCATCGCAAAATATCGATATTTATTCAGACTATCGAATTCATGTGAATTTCGATCTATTTTTCAAAATGTCGATACGATAATTATCAATATTTTTTTTGCTTGCCCATCCTTAAGTCACAGCACAGAACATTTTTGTTTTTTTGAATTTTATGGCCTGGTATCAAGGACCAACAACACAGCACATTAAAATCCAATCGACGGCATACAGTCTAATATGTTAAATATGAACTTGCCTGTCATTCAGCCAAAAATTTGCATTCAAAGTGGATACTGTTGATTGATAATCTCAGATTATACATACTCTTTTGATATCAACTCTGATCTTCTTGGTTTATGTATCATGTTTGAATTATTTTAAATTAAATTTAAAATGTTAGTTTTATTTGTTCAGACTGAATTGTGTCATATTTGATTGATTCCGTCAGTCTGGCGAAACTAGGAACAAAAAATTTTTCTATGGACTTTACGCGGCAAATAATGGCGGACATTGCTATCACTCTCCCTCAATGCGGTTTCTCTTTCTTGTAATACAAGAAGTGCCATGTTGTTTGTCAAAACTTAATTTCGCACCGCGTATTTTGAATGTAAATGCTTATTTCATTGTAAATTTAAATTGTTTAGAGTAAACTTTCTCACGAAAACTAATGACAGGTGATCAGAGTTGTACTTTTAATCAAAATGCCAAAAAGACGGTGACCTGTGAAATTGGTGAAAATCGAGCAAGTCATTCGAATCTTGAAAAAAGGATGTTTATGGCGAGATTTCCCTTAGATGAAGCCCATGTAAGCACTTAAATATGATACTTTGCAGCCATATGTAAGTAGAGCAGACTAAGAACAAATAAAATTAACAAATGTATCTCATTTAAATTGTGTGTAGTGTAGTGATGTACTGCAACTGTAATATCCACATATCGATAACTACGTTAATGTTTATCATTGAAAAAAATAAGAAATAAAATGTTGCGTGAAATAGTAGGGGCACAAAGTTTTACATATTTGAATGGTGTGCCTACATAAATGACCGAGGATCGGAATAGGTGAATTTTGCAGGATTTTGAAACATAATCTCTGTAATATTGATGTCATATAATTAATTTCGTGCGCTGAGTTTGTAAGAAAACTAAAATAATTTTTGGATTTTGATTCTATTTTTATATTTCAATTATTTCCAGACTCGTGTACAGCAGGACAACAGCTTTTGGCTGAAGAATCAAGAAAAAAATTTCATTTCAGTAATAAAATTTTATTTTAATTAACAGAAACCGTTTTTTATCTTATTTCGGGTCCGTATTAAAGTCCAATCTTCTACCAAATATCCCCTTATCAACATTTGACATAAATACGGTCTCGATACTTACCTACTAAAATTATAAAAAAAATATTAAGTGGAAACCTCGGTTTCTCCCTAGTATCTTTTATCGATATCGATAAGAAGCTAAGCTAGCTTGGTTAAGCACTATTTGTCTCGTTACGTTGGTACTCAAGTTGTTTGACATCTTTGTGGTATTTTTGTGGTATGGTTGGTATTGGAGTGCCGCGCAAACTGATATTTTTGGCTAGTATGGGAGTCCCGTCTCTTAAACGTAGTGATTACATTCTCTTTGGATTCCGTAAAAATCGTTTGAAGATGTAACATGTATAGCTATCTGACATAACTCCTGTATTTTATATAAATTCAATAATGATTACGTTTGGTCCAAAAATAAGTTCAAAATGTTTAAGTTGAAATAAACAGTTTTCCTATCAGTCCTTAAGTGTCTTTTTGGTTTGAGAGCGATCCCATAAGCCACATCCACCATTCAAGAGATACATCGTTATATTTTAAACATAACAATTAAAAATATGTATTAGGGATGAGGTGTATATACTGGAACAGGTATAAATACCCAGTATGAACATACCAGTACGCACACCGAGTATGTACGGCAGAGGCCCGTTCCATACCTGATAGGTATGGCCTCGTCCGACGGTGGCGGTATATAACGCTCGCGACAACCCGCCGGCCGACCAGTCAGATAATAGCTACCGATCGAGCCGAGGTCCGGCCCTCTCGGGCACCCTCGAATCGGAATGCTAAACGCGTGCTGAGTGACAGCCTAAGCCGAGGTCCCCTCTCGGGGACCCTTGAGCCTGATCACTCCATGGAGCACCCGCCAAAGCGCTCTAAGAGCTTGGCGGCCTTCCAAACCGGTAATAATAATAGCGTGACGGCCCGAGGCAAGGCTCCCCCGGGAGCCCTCGAGCTTAGTCACCATAACGCGTAATAATAGTACGCAGAGGTTCAGGCTAGGCGCCTCGTGCGCCAGGCCACCTCAAGTCCGTCGGAACTGTAAAGGCCCCTAAGGCCAACAGTGGCTCATCCAGCCCAAAAAAAAAAAACCGCCAGCCGAATAGGTACGAAGTTCGCCGAACGCTTACGGCGGCTCTTCCCGATCATGCCCGAATTGAAACGTATGATTTAGGCATTTTATACCAAATAATTCCTTGAGATAAATTTATTCTTTATTTCTATGACCATAAGTTAAATAAATAATTGCGTAATAAGGTGAAACAGTAATATTTATTTTGAATTACTTTTTTTTGATAATAGGGTTCTTTACGTTAGTAAAGATGGACCTTATTTTATACTGATTAAATCTCAATTAAAAAAAACTGATTGCTAAAAAAACATCTAAATGTTCCAATTCCAACCAAAGAAAGGTTCAATTCCATAACGAGTCTCCAAAAGGAGGCCTGAACATAACTAATACCTATACGTATTTTGATACTGGGTTTTAGCATCCGGGTATACGGCGATATCCGTACCTTTGAGGCCGGGTATAGAATGTTGCAGGTATATCTCATGTCTAGTAAGAATACAAACTACACATGGTTATATATACATATCTATAGTTCAAGCTTGCCAACTTAGGGCTTTTAGCCCCAAATTTGGGGCGAAAAAATGCATATAGGGCCTTTGTAGAGACCAAAAAAGTTAAGGGCCATTTTTAGGGGCATGAATAATATTTAACGTATTACTATTTGGACTGAATTAAATTTGTAAAAAAAAGAAGTGTCTATTAATGTAATTAATGAAATTTAGATAATATTAAGTTGTTTTGTTAATGATTTGTAATGAAAAGTAATTAAAACTAAGTTATATTATTTACGTTAATAAAATGTGAAACTCATTTAAACAGATATTTTTAGATTTATTGGGTATATAATCTTGATTTTATAATTCTCGGGCCATTAATTGTTAAATAGGTAACACTGTCACAGCTGTTTGACAGCTTTGCTTATTTTCGTAAGAAAATCTCTCTAGTTACTACTTTGGAGACATTCTTATTATTTCGTATAACATTTTATCGCTGTTTATCATTCACAAATCAAAATTTTATACAAGAAATTGCACCGTGGGGTGATATTCTTTTTCAATAGATTGTTCTAAGTTAGTTGGCAATTTCGGTGGATTTGGGATGGTATTTTAGACATATTGAAGAGTTGCTTGGCAGCCATGGGGAGAAGAGAGGATCCTGCATGGGCCCGAGGTACGGTCGGTTTGACCGCGGCCCGAGAACGTGGCTATGTGGATCGAAAATTCCAGAATCGTCTAACTGTGACTCGTAGTATGATAGACCGATTGGGTCTGGAAAAGGAACTCCACGGGCATATGGGCTGCGTGAACTGCCTCGAATGGAACTACGATGGCTCGTGAGTATGGATGAGTGAGAAATGTGCCTCCTTTCGTTTTTCCGATTGCGTTAAATGTTTTTACGTCACCAGTGTTTTGGCGTCGGCGTCGGACGATCTTCACGTCATCCTGTGGGATCCATACCGATATAAACTGCTCCATAAAATAGCCACTGGGCACACGGGAAACATATTCTCTGTGAAGGTGAGTTAATTTTTATCTTGAAGATTAATCTGGCTATGAGCAATTAAAAAAACCACAAGTTATTTTAACTTGAATTGACATCTTTCTCCTGTCGTTTTCCCACCTAGTTGGAATGGGAAACTCAATCATATTTTTATTGGTAATTGCTAGGTTTTTTACAACTTGCTGTTATTAGTATATTATTATGTAATATGTATTCTAAAAACACATGTGATAATTTTGATTAAGCATGCTACTACATTGTTGCTGTGATGAAGGTTTCATTTATTATATTGTAAATTACGAGGTCTTTGATAACTTCATTAAACACAACAGATGTTTCAGCTTGCATAAGGAGTTAATAAGTCCATTATATCTTTTGTTATATTAATTTATGTAGCTATTGGACAAAGAAAATGTAAATTAATTTTATGTTAAGTTATTGCATTTAGACATACCAATTTGAATTTGAAAATTATTGAGAATGGATGATATCACATTATGTACAAGGAACTTGAAAATAAGCTAATTTTTATTGTGTGAATGAAATTACTCATAACATTTTTGTGTTATTGACATTGTTTTAAAGATCAACATAATTATTTTATTGTTATATGACATTACAATAATTGTGTATATTTGCATAAGTAATTGCTTGTTATAACAGTAATGATTTATCAATAGATATTTATGAAACAAAAGAGGAGAAAGTAAGTAGAAACTATACTGTTTTCACATTATTTTTTCATTAGATATGAACATTTAAAACGTTTTCATATAGCTTTTACAAGTTGTAGCAAGTGATAAATTAAAATTAAATACAACTACGACTACTTCTAATAGTGATACATCAAAGCAATGGATGGGTATCACTGGTAATTACTAAAAACAATCATGTCATTGGAATTTTTGGCAATGTCACACCTATATACTGTCGGTATGATTGGGAAAAGATTCACCATGTGTGTTGTAAATGCTTGCAGTTTTTATCGAGTGATGCGCTGGTCACTTGCGCAGCCGATGGGTCGGTGCGCGCTCGCACTGTCTGCGGCTCGTCCTTATGGGAGTGCTCCTGCCACTGTGGCAGAGTGAAGAGGCTGGCATCGGCGCTGGACAACCCCTACCTGCTCTGGTCGGCTGGCGAGGATGGCCTTGTGTTGTAAGTGTGACTTTGATGATTCGGTGGCATAGTTGCTAAGGTTTTGGCGCCGCGACTCGTGGGTTCGATTCCCACGTGGGACACTATTTGTGTGACCAGCAGATATTTGTATCGATCTATGTGTTTGCCCACATGAAATTTATGTATGTAAATGGACCTTACAACACAGCATGATGTTACCCTACAGTAATTGGGTTCTCCTGAGTTAAGGCTCAGAAACTCAAAATACAAATACAAGTACTCGCAATTGGTTGAACCACATGTTGTTTTCTGATGTCGCTGGACAGGCTTGGCTGGAACTATCATGGCCTCATAAGTCTAAGCCTCAGAAGTCAGACTGTTTGAATTCTATTTTATTGGGTGAGTAAAATGCCTAGGAGCCCGGGCCCACTCTATTTAAAGGTATGAAACATATCTTCTAATAAGGGGCATTAGTGGTGGCAAGAACACCAAAACATAAAAAAGACCTGTACTGAACTAACAAACAAGAACAAGTCAAAGTCGTGTGATATGGACAAGAACAGATAAGGCGTGTCTTAATGAGGGTGCTTGGTTGGGTATTAATGTCAAGCAGTTATTAGTAGCCAAGGACGGTTGTAGTCAGTCGATGAGGCTATAGCTGAATTTGTTATGCTCAATTGACATAGACGCTCCAGCTGTTAAAAAAATAAACCAACTTGACTGCAGAAGAGCAACGTCTCATAGGGAACCGACATAAAGCCATTGGCCAGAGGCCAATTTTCAAAAGGTTGTCAACGCATCTGGAACCCTCGGGTATTGCTGACGTCCATGTGCGGCGGTATTCACTTAACATCGGGTGAACCGTCTGCTCGCTTGGCAACTTTTGACATAAAAAAAAAGCAGAGGACGTATCTGTATGTGTGTCTTCTTCAAGGCAGTCAACGTCTTGTGACAACATTGTCAACAATGACCATGACGGCAGTGTCGACTTTTTTGTATGCGGAAGGCGGCAAAGAGCTGGCGGTTCTCCCGATGTTAAGTGATAACCGCCGCCTAATTGACATTTGTGGAACCCGTAGGGTTGCAGATGCGTTGCCACTTTATTACAAAGTGGAGTGTTACACTCCTAACGCCGGTCTTCTCAGAGATAGTGGTACTTACCCATTCGCGCAAAAAAGACTGTTGCGTGGTCCCACCGTAGACGTACAAGTAATAGTTTTTAACAAAAAAAAAACCGACATCGAACCGGAGACTAAAAACATTTTTTAATACCTGCCGGGATGACATCATCAGATCCGGGTTTCCCTCATCATGCTACCACCGTTTATATCTCTTTTCTAACAAAAAAAAAAAAAGGATCCTTAAAATCGGTTCGCAAACGACGAAGTTATCCGCGAACACAAAAATATATACGGTCGTACGAATTGAGAAACCTCCTTTCTCGAAGTCGGTTAAAAATCACCCGAAGCGCCCACCGCCAGTGTTGCTCTCGAACGGCGTACAGGCAGCACGACGTCCGCACCGCGCACCGCTGCAACTCGAGCCACGCGAACGTTCTGGTGAACCTGACGAATCACCTGGGCCGGCACGCGGAGGCCAAGTGCGTGGCGGTCAACCCGCGCAGGCCGTACCAGCTCGCCGTCGGCGCGAACGACTTCTACGTGCGGCTCTACGACACGAGGATGATCAAGCTCTCCAAGGTACAGGTGCGTTGGCGGGGACAGACGGCGAACTCTACCCGTGACACGTAAAGTTTATGTATGTATGTATATACATACATAACTTAACACATAGGGGATAACTTTTTAAAGTTGTATTAAACATTTAAATTCTTTAAACATCAACATTTACAGAGTTATTGAATTTTCCAAAACAAAGAATTTTAGAACACCCTTAACTATAAAAGCGTAACGTAAAGTTCATTTGTAAAGGTCACAAAGCATATGAATGGGCTGAATGAATTTAAAAGAGACAAGACATACTGTTAAAAGGAGGGGCTTGTAATGCGACGCTGTGGCGCGAGTTGTATAGGATGTTACAAATTTTGTTTCTTTTTTACATAATTAGTTTGTTTGAAAAATATTTTTTTTAATTATGGATTTTGTTTAACGTTAATATTTTTTTATGATTATTGGCAAGTAGCGTTAGACGTGTGTTCATTTATTGTCGCGATGGTGACGACACGCTGTATATATTTATATTTATTTATTTATATATATTTAGTTACATATATTTATGTATTTATTTATATAGGTATGTATTTCATTTATTCGGTAGTAATCTTCTTATGCAGTTTTTTCTCTGTGCACCTACCTAACTGTCTCTGTACCACCCCAAGGTTGACTGGGAGATAATGCCTATGGCAATAAGTCCGCCTTTGTACTTTGTGTGCATTAAGAATAAGAATAAAACGCCCTATTACTACACACAGGTAAGTGGGCTTTGAAATTCCCTTACCGTTAGGGCTACATTTTGTCTATTTACTAGTGACCCACCCCGGGTCGCACGGATTTAATGTATTTATAAAACCGCATCAAGATCCGTTGCTTAGTTTTAAAGATCTAAGCTTGCATGGAGACAGACAGACAGCGATACGACTTTGTTTTATAGTGTAACTATGTAGTGATGTTAGTATGTGGCAAACTAGCTGGCGGTTCACATGATGTTAAGTGAAAATCGCCGCCCATGGAGCATTGCAACACCCTGTAGGGCTGCAGCGATACCACCTTTCAATAGTCGGTGACTGGGAGCGGTGAGAACCGCCCTGGAACGCGGGTGTGTGTAGTGGTTGTGTTGGTTTCGCCGTGCTCGAAGGCGAGGACGAACTATGGGGTTGATGGTATGTTTATTAAGTGTGGTAGGGCCACGCCACAGTGACCGGCCCCAGAGGACCGGCGTGATGTGTATGTGTTATACTTCTGCGTTCCTGGTGAGTGAGGTTGCCGGGTCCCATATTTAGGCAACGCATCTGCAACCCTACTAGGTGTACCTAGGTGAACCGCTAGCTCGTTTGCCACTTTCTCACAATAAAAATGTGAAAGGTTGCCAAGCGAGCAGACTGTTCACCTGTTCACATCTGCTACACCCTAGGGTTTGCAGATGCGTTGACAACCTTTTTGAAAATTGGGCTCCGGCTACCTCACCCACCAGAAGAAACGCGAAAGTATTATACACTTTACGCCAGTCTTCTGTGCGGTCGTGGTACTTACTTCTATGAGCCGAGGCTGCTGCGTGGCCCTATCACCGTTAAACCCTTTAATCAACCTCTCTAATAGTATATACTAGTTTTAATAGTGCAGCGACTGTGGTGGGCCCGCAGATGCGGAGCCCGCAGTCCCAGATTCCGTTCGACCGCCAGAGCGCGGTGAGCGCGCGCGCCGCCAACGGCGACCCCGACGGCGAGCTGCCGCGCGCCGCCGTCCAGTACTTCGCACCCGGTTCGTACCGCCTCACGATGGCTTCTCGTTTCTCTTCACACGATCCCCTCTCCCCCCCGCCTTTAACCCACGCTAGGTGGGCTCGGCACTATTTGTCCCTGCCTCGGGGCCGGATTTGGGGAGCCCTCCCGCGGCTAACCGGGGCCTCCACAAAAGAGACCAAATTTTGATTAGTACAGAACGATTATATTTATGCGCTCTTAAAAAAATAAACTTTTTAAAAAAAAATTTATTGGAAAACTCAAGTGAAAAAAATTGTTAATTTCATTTGGAAAATAATTTGGCGCCAAGGGGCCTCCACTCCTTTATCGCCCCGAGGCCTCCAGATCTCTAAATCTGACCCTCTCTTTCCTTCCACTTTCCTCTATAAGCCGTCGTAACAATACCCACCCCTACACAAATATATCATTCTTCACACAGTCCATCCAAATCTTTCTTGTATTTGACCGCGTGGTGGGCTATGCCCTAATATTTTTTGTATAGACGAGCCCTTCTCCCAACAGTAGGACATATACAGACAGTTACTATCTTTTTTTTAAATAAATTTTCGAGATTCTGAAGATATTCTTATTTTAAACGGCCTATAAGAACAGATCGGGGTGTCCTTTGCACCATAGACGTCGATAATCGGATCGACCATTCTATAGATTTAGTTCCACGAGTGAGCAGGAGAGTTGTTGGGTAAAGAGAGGGGGCTATTGCATCAAGCCCGCGTGCGAGCGGGACAGTTGCGTGCGGGTATTGAGAGGGGCCAACTAAATGGAGTGGCACGCGGTTTCAGGCCACCTATCCCTGGACCTCAAAGACCACAGCTTCCCGAAGAAGGCGACCACCTACGTCGCCTTCAGCCACGACGGCAACGAGCTGCTCGTCAACTTGGGTTCCGAACAGGTGATCTTCCTACTTTACCTTCTTAACCAACGTGACTTCAAAACGATGAGGTTCTCAATTCGAGTTTTTTTTGTGTCGGTTACCTTAGAACTTTTGATGATAACTTTTGTATTTGAAAGAAGAAAATATTAATTTCATCGGTATTGAATCTTAGGGCTCCGGAGATAGTTAGGGAACTCCTGAAAATCAATTGTAAAATGAATACAGAGCGAGATATTTGAAGTCGGTCTTCTTTTTCGTTAGTAAAAAAAAAGGCTGTTATTTTAACGGTTTGAAAAAAGGGGGGCAAACTGAGTCTTGCTCCACTCGATGGGAAAATACTGCCGAGTGTCGCTGAGTTGAGGCGAATGGAGAAAGGAAAGACAGAAGAAAGAAACATTTATTGAACAAATACATACAATACATACATACATAATATACATATACATACAACATTTAAAAAAAAGTTATAATTAATAATTGTGAGGAGACGTCACAGATAGTTGAAAGTGAGTGTTATGCAAGCTTCATATCATCAAGATCATAAAAGAATATATCACGTTTCTGTCTTTCTGTTTGTATTCGAAACAGGTGACCCGTACACTATTAATTAGAAACGCTGGCTCGATTTGCAGGGTAAGGTTTTTGCTTGGGCAATGGTGGAAGTTTTATCCAATTACAAAGTGAGATTATATTACATATACTACATCTCTACCGTGTATACATCCATATGCATTTACTAAAAAGCGGTTGTTTCAATGTTATAAACGGACACTCCAATTTTATATATCTACAGATAAATAAAATTGGAGTGTCTGTTTATATGTATGTCTGTGTGTATGTGTATAGACAAAGATAAGACTCCAGAGCACCAAAACTGAGCCACTCAAATTGCGTCAATTGGTGTTTGCAATTATATTGCAATTCTATAGACTGCTATCCCTTTCCGTATCATACGTTCCAATATCATATGCCACATTAAATTATATATGTCATATAATGTAAAGCGGAGCAATTTTCAAACGCCGCGCAGTATGGACATGCGTCGTCTATATTATTAAACATTAAATCCATACGCGTGATTTCGCCAGGTGTACCTGTTCGACATCAACTCGGCGCGCCGGCCCGTGCTCGTGGAGAGCTTCATCATCGAGCATAACCACGCTTACCGCGAGGGTGAGGACAAGCAGCCGCCCAAGAACGGCACCAACGGCGCTAACGGCCCCAACGGCACCATCGAGCCCCAGCAGCAGCTGCCCGACAGAGTGCGCCAGCTGAAAGAGGCGGTAAGGGATTTAGGAGGGAAGTCTCTCTTTTAAGTCCTTTGGTGAGAGTTTGGACCGAGTTCAACGTTTGAGGTGATTTGGGACGGCTGTCTTATGCCCGATTCCTACAATCAACGAACGGCCGTTAGTTACATAGCTTCGTAACTTTCATAACGACTGGTAGGTAAAAGGCGTGCACGCCCGGTTCTTATATTAACAAAACGAGGAGTTTTCCTTGCGAACCGTTGCATCACCTACGGAAAGCGAGTTACCGAGTTTCCTTTAATCCTCAAGGCGTTATGAAAGTTACGAAGCCATTTAACTAACGGCCGTTCGTTGAATATAGGAACCGGGCATTAGGTTGGCTTGAGTGGGAGTATTTGTTTTACAAAGTGCAGTGCAATTGTGCTTGAATCAAGTGCCTTAGACAGGGTATAAAGGAGTCAAAAGTCAGGAGCAGATCTTGGGTCCAATGTTTGTGACGACTGTATGGGCAGGCAACAGTGCAGGGGAATAGTTCTGTTCTTGAATCAAGTGGTTTGGCCAGGGGGCAGGTTATAAGGTTGGAAAGAGTTTGTGGAAAATTTAAGAAATAAAAAGATTAACGTGGTGAAGGCGCATATTGAGAAAGCGTAATAAAGCTAACTAACGTATGTCCGTAGATAGAAATAAAAATAACAACAATTTACTTGACATAAAATATATACAAATTGTAATGATTCTATTACGTTAACAGAGTCACTAATTTTTATTTCTTTTATTTATTTAAACAAGCTTACCAACTAAATAAATAAAAAAAAAAACAAATTAGTATTCTGATGTGATGCACTTAAAAGTTAAGTTTAAAATTGTATTCATAATTATGCATTTAAATTAAAGGTAATCACAACATCGAATACAATAAAAAATACATACAAACCTACAAAACTGGCCATGGAATATAATATGAGATTTAGAACAAAAACTTATTTAATGTACAGGTAGAAACCTAAAAGGAAAGAAACAAAAACTTAAAATAAAATGAATGGAATGTATGGAATGAATGAAATGAATGAAATCTAATCGATCTGCTTGTTCTTTGCACTTGTTCCCTTCTGGACAGGCCAACGAGCTGGTGGGCAAAGGGAACTACTCGGCGGCCATCGAGCTGTACAACAGGGCGATAGCGGAGTGTCCGGATTGCGCCGTGCTCTACTCCAACCGGGCGGCCACCCTCATGCGTCGTGGTTGGTGGGTGACCTGTCCTGGCCGACCCTGGCCGCTATTAGACTATATCCCTGCCACGGGGAGTTTCTATCGGAGGTGGCCTCTAAGACTCTCGACCTCTAAGGCAGGCAGTGGCAGCGGTCTTCACAGGAGACGAGTAAAATGTGTTCATAATTTTTTAAATGTTTTACTTCGCTGCAGTGGCTCGGTGGCGCCGTTCCTAAGCTGTTGGCTTCGACGTCGGGGTCGTGGGTTCGATTCCCACGCGGGACAAGTATTTTTGTGAACTGCTTCATCTGAGTGTCACTTTTCCAAGAAGGGGTGACGTCAGGCTGGTCGTAAAAAATATAGCTGAAACCGCTTAACACATGATTCACATATTGTGTCGATTCTACCTAGGTATGATAAGGGCAGGAGGTTGATGATGATGATTTTGTAGCAGTATAAAACCTGCTTCTTGTGGAGGGCGTATTTTTGACCTTCACTATAACAATTGTGCGATGAACATTTCGAGTGTTTGGGTGTTTATAATTATGTCTATTGTGCGCATTTGCTGTATGTATATTAAGAAAGATGTAGATGGTGGTCCTCTTTCTTGTGTGTTATCAAGTTCCTGGGCTGTCTCGATAGATTTTTGACTTCATTTATAAGCATGCTGTCCGATATGCAGTGTTATAATGCTAAAGCTCTCCCTTCACTTTCCCAGTTGATTACAAAATTAAGTTTGTGAGTCTTATCGGTCTAAAGAACTTTGGGTTAACTTTTTCCCCATCTCCACCTTTGAGGTTCAAGGTCACTTGTACCTTAGTCCACCGTAGTGGAATGTACTCCCAAGTCAAGCTAGCTCTGAAGATTTTGATGGTTTCAAAAATAACGTCTTCATCCTGGGTACTCGGTCGTAAAAGAATGCTTCCGCAGTCCTCAAAGGAGGATCTGGACTTTGCTGTTCTCCGTTTTACCTTTTTTACCGTTCCTCTGATCTGGGGGGAGAGAGCTATCTCCCTGAATTTTGTTTCAAACTCAAAGCTACCACTAGCGTTTTCGTGCAGACTTCGCAAAAGCCAAAGACTTTTGAAGATCCAGAATAAGTGGTATGGTTACGGTTAGACGACGCGTACTGCCTCAAGTTAGTGTAATGTGCCTATTGTGTCCGGCCCGAGGTCCGGTCCCGGCGAGTGGTGTAGCACCGTACAGTAGCGCGGGCGTGCGCAGGGCGGGCGACGCGTACGCGGCCATCCGCGACTGCTACGCCGCCATCGGGCGCGACGCGGGCCAGGCCAAGGCGCACTTCCGGCTGGCCAAGGCGCTGGCGGAGCTGCGGCGCGCGCGCGAGGCCGACGCCTGCCTGGCCTACTTCGCGCGCCGCTTCCCGCGCCACGCGGCCAGCCACGCCGTCTTCCTGCTGCAGAAGGACATCCGCACGGCGCTCGACGCCCACCGCGGCGACGGTGAGCCGCCGCCCGACCTTGCATCGATAACGTGCCACCCCTCACCTCCCGCTCTACCATATAACTCACCTCTGCCACGCCTCACCACGAACTACCATCGGCCGCTAGGTTAGCGTGCGGCTCACCCGATCTTAAGTACCATCAGCCAAAGACATCTACAATATCCGATGGCTTGCAGATGCGTTGACAACCTTTAAAAGCCCAACAAGATGAAACTCAGAAAGTTTAACACTTCCGCTTCACGCCGATCATTTGTAAAGCCATGGTACTTTCCCGGGCGAACCAATCCATTTGCGCAACTACTACCACTGCCCTACCAAAATAAAAATACTTCTTACTGGTCGATACTTACTTTCCCCGAACGATTGCAGCATAATTCATCACCATAATACATGGTCCTTGCGACCGGATATCCCCGATTAACCGCAGCACAATTCACTACCATAACACATAGTCCTTTCGACGACTAATATCGCCGATGCATAGCATCACAATTTAATTATATTGCACATATTTTGTGACACATTGGTCCTTCGATCGGTGGCAGCACAATTCACCGCCATAAAACATGGTCCTTCCGACCGGATACTCGGTCGATCGCAACGGCGGTTGGGATCGTGATGTAGGCGTGTCCACAGCGGACGAGTGCGAGGAGGTGCCCGCCACGAGCGCGCTGGAGCGGCAGCTGCGCGCCTCCGCGCTGGACTACAGCCACCGGTTCCTGGGCCACTGCAACACCACCACCGACATCAAGGAGGCCAACTTCCTGGGCCCGCAGGCAGCCTACGTCGCCGCGGGGTGAGCTCTCACTAAACATTTTTTTATGGGGGAAGGTGATGTTAAGTGATAACCGCCGCCCATGGACAGTAGCAATAGCCGTAGGGTCGTAGATGCGTTGTCACCTTTTATTAAATTGGACCCTGGCTACCCTGCTCACCAGACGAACCGCGAAAGTTTAACACTTTCAATACACGCAGGTCTTCTGTGAGGTCGTTGTACACACCCAGACAGACCTGCCCATTCGCGCAATAGAGAAAACTGTTGCGCGGTCCTACCACAGTTTAAAGTTTTTTTTTACTTGAATTGACTTTAATTGAGGCACTTTCAATAAAGTGGACCCCCGGCTACCTCGCTCACCAGACGAAACGCACGAGTATAAAACAGCTCGCGGTACTCGCGGACGGACCTTGCCGGTTCGCGCAGCACCGAGGAGCTAACCTCCCCCCCATCCCCACCGGCAGCTCCGACGACGGCAGCATGTTCATCTGGTGCCGGCGCTCGGGCAACATAGTGCGCTGCCTCCGCGGCGACGAGTCGATCCTGAACTGCGTGCAGATGCACCCCTCGCTGTGCCTGGTGGCCACCAGCGGCATCGAGGCGGCCGTGCGGCTGTGGAGCCCCCGCGCGGAGGACGCCGACGGCGAGGGCGGAGGGGGCGGCGGTGGCGGAGGGGGCGGCGGAGGGGGCGGAGGGGGCGGAGCGGGCGAGCGCGCCGTGGCGGACGTGGCGGCGGCCGCGCTGGCCAACCAGCAGCGGATGCGCAGCGACCCCTTCGAGGCGATGCTGTTCAACATCAGCTTCGCGGCCGGCGGCGAGCGCGAGTTCAACTCGCCTGTCTGCCGCGCCACCTGAGCCGCTCCCCGTACTCAGGCTAGTCCACGCACACCCGCATTTCTGCGTTCACGCGCATGACCACTAACATGCGCATTTTCGACGTACGCACGCTTGTCCGATGTACATGCCGCGTATATTCACGTCCACACGCATGTCAAATGTACACGCCGCGTATGTTCACGTCCACACGCATGTCAAATGTACACGCCGCGTATGTTCACGTCCACACGCATGTCCAATGTACACGCCGCTAATTGTCACGTCCACACGCATGTCCAATGTACACGCCGCGTATGTATACGTCCACACGCATGTCCGATGTACTCGCCGCGTATGTTCATGTCCGCACGCATGTCCGATGTACCCGCCGCGTATTGTCACGTCCACACGCATGTCCAATGCACACCCCGCGTATGTTCACGTCCACACGCATGTCAAATGTACACGCCGCGTATGTTCACGTCCACACGCATGTCAAATGTACACGCCGCGTATGTTCACGTCCACACGCATGTCAAATGTACACGCCGCGTATGTTCACGTCCACACGCATGTCCAATGTACACGCCGCTAATTGTCACGTCCACACGCATGTCCAATGTACACGCCGCGTATGTATACGTCCACACGCATGTCCGATGTACTCGCCGCGTATGTTCATGTCCACACGCATGTCCAATGCACACCCCGCGTATGTTCACGTCCACACGCATGTCAAATGTACACGCCGCGTATGTTCACGTCCACACGCATGTCAAATGTACACGCCGCTAATTGTCACGTCCACACGCATGTCCAATGTACACGCCGCGTATGTATACGTCCACACGCATGTCCGATGTACTCGCCGCGTATGTTCATGTCCGCACGCATGTCCGATGTACACGCCGCGTATGTTCACGTCCACACGCATGTCAAATGTACACGCCGCGTATGTTCACGTCCACACGCATGTCCAATGCACACCCCGCGTATGTTCACGTCCACACGCATATAACGTGCCGCGTACACGGGCATAGCCGCGTACACGTGCATGTCCGCGTACATGCGCATGTCTGTGTACACGTGCATGTCCGCTTACATGCGTATGTCCGATACAAACACGTAACCCGTCATACTAGCCCCACATAAGTTCGTTTATTAATACAGTTTTTCGTATAATTGATACACAAGTTCTGAAGTAAATTACCACTGGTTCGGAAAGAACTTTCTATTGGGAAGACACCAGCAATAAACCCAAAATAACAGTCCCTAACATGGGTATAATATTCTTATTTAAGCCTACGTGAGTAGGAAACAGTAATTAACTCCACACATTGGCGTCGTCGAGGTATTTCGCAATTATATAAGGTTATGCTATTTAGAACCAATCTAACTAGCATATAACACCGGCTGCCTCTCGGTTTCTACAGGGTGCCTTTTAGGGTGTGCATTGAATTTACAAGAGTCCCTTATAAAAAAAAAAAAAACTCACAAACGCGTACAAAACAGCACACCTAACTACCATCGGAATTTATTATACTTCCTATATTATATATTATGCGATAATAATTTTGTTGCCAGCATTTAAATTCAGACATGTATGAGATATCATTTTCGGTTTACAGATAAAACTGCGGAGATACGTGAGACGCTAAGCGAACGGCGTCTGGAACCATCACACCAAGTCTTTTGTAAATAAAAATAAATGTTAAATTTTAAAATGTATGTTAAATTTATATACCTATTTCGAAACGGAACATTCGCGTTGTCTGTCGTTTTCGTTTTTATTTCGCACTTCGTCCGTTGAATGCATGTTTCGAGATGGCGATACATTTGTATACTCTGTGGTGCCAATGTTGTTTTGTAACTTTATCAAGTTACATATTATTTTTTTTATAATTCTAAGCATGGTCAATCTTGGGCAGGATCTGTGTGGGATTTATGTTTTGCCTTTTCTCTCTCGTTTGATTGTATTAATGTCTTAGTTCTAAGACTGAAGAGTTAGTTTGCCACCTCGCGAACAAAACGGTTATATGAAATGTTTTAATGGTTTATATTGTAAATATGTCCCTTTAGCGTTATTACTCTTAATATATCCGTTATACTCAACAGGAATATGTAACAGTTATATATAAACAATATGCGATGACTTCTTGTTATTTTTTTATATAATTCTTCCCTTTTTGCTTAATTTATACAGATTATAAATGACTAATCGATTTTACGTTATTTGCTTGACGTAAGACCGGCCTTGTTTTGGTTGTATTTAAATTTTTAAATAAAATGAAGTCTATTCGAAGCACCAAGAATTCGTTTAATTTGTAATTGTTGTATCAAGTAAGTTTTATCATCTATTGGAGATAATAGAATAATGAGTGAGGATTGTTCTTGTTTAGACAAGAAACTGGAGTTTCAACAATAAAACTCAGGAAATTCGTTATTTTACAAGTGAAGTGATGCGTGTAATGGTTGGATTTTGAATATGACAAATCACATCTACTTACAATCTCTTATACAGCGTGTCGTTACAACCCCGACAATAAATGAACACAAATATAGAGGATAACTTTTTAAAATTGTATTAAACATTTACATTCTTTAAACATAAATATTTACCAAGTTATAAAATTTTACAGTTAATTTTAGTTCATTATTGTCGCGGTCGTAAGGACACGCTGTATATAAAAATGGATTGCTGTTCGTTAGTCTCGCTAAAACTCGAGAACGGTTTTGAAATATTCGTGGCAGTCCAGAGAAGGTTTAAACAATGAGAAATTATGGAAAAATTGCACTGAAAATCGAAATAGCAACAATTTTATTTTCCTATACAAACTGTACCTGTCAACGTGTCAATGTCAACTATGTCCAACGCAGTGATTACATTCTATTTGCTATGTCTGTGTAACCTGCCAAGCACTTTATGCGTGCTTTCCGATTCCTTCTAGAAATCATTTATATGGCAAAAACAAAATCTGGACTTATCGGTAAATATTACCCCGTACCAATCTTCGTCTGTCCGAAGGTCGTTGAACCTGATGTTCACTGAGATTTTTTCAGAACGCAAATAAATATGGAGGCATTATTGTCGCCTCAAAGTGACAGAACGAAAAACCATACCGTGACGGCGCGGGGCTTTTAACCGCGACGCTGTTTTAGGGATGTAGATTTAGTTGAACAAACAAAAAAATCATTTTTGTTGACGGCGCGCGATAACTGTCAGTGAGAGTTGTGGTGCTATTTATTAACAATCACTTATATGAACGTGCATTCTATGTAGGGTTACAACCCTTCGTGAAGACTGAACAGACAACTTCGTGAAGCTGATATACATATCAGCTTCACGAAGTTGTCAAGGTCGATCCCATTCTGTTACATAGTCGATGTTATTTTTGGAATTTCGGTTTTTAGGTTGGCTTTCTCTCTCTGCAGTGAAATGACGTGTAAGATCGTGGAAATGGTCCCGGAGTGCTAACATTGTGTATCTCTTTGTTTCAATTAAAAGCCAATATGACAATATGAATTCTGCCGGTTTAATTAAAGCCTATAGTACCCGTAGTGCACAATAGAACCCATAGTACACAGAACCGAATAACAAAGTTGTAGCTAGCTATAGAGATGGAAACTATCCTTGTTTCAGCCCCGCATGTTTAACCGACACCTAAAGGATCTACCATTGTATGCCTTGGGTGGCCTTTACAGATGTTGAGGCGGCCGGGCGCCCGGGGCGCCTGAACCTCGGTTACCCGTTAGGTTGACTCGAGGGCTCCCGAGGGAACCTCGGGCCGGGCTATTATTATTCTCACCGGTTTGGGAGGCCACCAAGCTTTTGAGTCGCTTTGGCGGACGTTCCATGCAGTGACTGGGCTCAAGGGCCCCAGAGAGGGGACCTCTGCTTGGGCTGTCACTCAATACACGTTTAGCATTCCGATTGGAGGGTGCCAATCAGGTCGGCTCGATCGGTAGCTATCGTCTGACTGGGATCTATAAACTGTGTATTGCGCGCTAACTTGCGACGAACTACAGAGCTAAGTTTTTCGCTATTAGATTGTTAGCGATTGCATAACTATCAAATGAAATCGGTATTTTGCAATTCGAACCGTCTGAGATCTGCGCTCACAACAGTCTCTTCAGTGAGACCCAAATTAATTTTTATGGAAAATATACAATAATTTCCTCTGTGAATATCGTTGAGTACTCAAGAACAACACTCGTTATTATGTCATTATTCCTGTGATTATTTGTTATTGTTCGGGCGCTCGCTTTAAATTCCATATACTCGAGGAACCTGAGTTCGATACCCGGTGCCGGCACAGATGAAATAGTTAATTTTGAGTGCTGAGTTATCACGTGCTCAGCTATGAGGGAAAACATCGTGAGGAAACCTGCATGTTTTCGAAATAATACCAAAAAATATATTTAGGAGATATGTGAAGTCCGCCAATCGGCAGGGGGGCCGCGTGGTGGACTATGTCCTGATCTGATACCCTCTGTACAGAGGCCTTTGCCCGGCAGTGGGACATTTACAGGCTTTACTTTATACTTTAAATTTAAAAATACTGTTAAACAGAAGGTATCTTTTCCACTTCAAACGATTTAAGGAGCCGTGATAGCTCAGTGTTCGAGCTCTTCGCTTTTAATTCAATGTATTCGAGCAAATTGAATTCAAAACTCCGTACCGGCACTTATGAAATTACTCACCACCTCAATTACACCACTCACCTAAAGGTTATGAATTTTTCACATAAGATGGACTCAAGATGAAGGATTTTGATAATTTTATACTTATAAAATACATTTAAATCTCAAATACGAGAATGTAATCACTAAGTTTATTTGACATAATAAATTTGATATATTATAATATGATGTAATATATTTGATATAATAGATATTTGACGTGATAAATATTTCGACAAACATCAAATTTATATGGAGTATTACATAAAATACTATACTAACTAGTCATATCAAGCAAATAGAATGAAGAAAGACTGTCTGTGTGTTCTGCTGAAGCAGGATTGGGGCGATGATTA